TTACGGAGCGCGGCGCGCCGCTGCGCCGCGAGCTCAGTCGACGCAGTCCTCCTCGGGCTCGGGGATGCCCTCGAAGGGGTCGTCGGGGTTCTCGCCCTGGGGCGGCGCCTTCTGCTGGATGATGGGCGGCTCGTACTCCTCGTCGGCCTTGGTCAGGTCCACGCCCATGTTGTGCGTCGACGTCGGGTGGCCGAGGGCCTCCTCGTGGAGGCCGCCCTTGAAGCCGCTCTGCATGGAGTCCGTGAGGCGGGGCCACTTGCCCTCGGCGGCCTTGAAGAGCTTGAGGATCACGCGGTTCTTCCCGGGCTTGCGGACGAGCTTCGCGCGCTTGACCTCGCCGAAGAGCGTGTTGAGCGACAGGAGCCGCAGGCCCTCGTGGCTCAGCACCGTGAAGACGACCTGGCGCCCCGCCGACGCGAGCTCGACCTCCATGAACTCGTCGGGCACCTCGTCGAGCTTGGCGAACTCGACGTAGACGTTGACCTTCTTCTCGTCGTCGTCCCAGGCGTAGTCCGTGATCATCTCGCCGCCGGCGCCGTTGTGCGCCGCCGCCGTGCGCTCGTGGAGCTTCTCGTAGGCGACCTCCTTCCACGTGTACTTGCCCTTGGCCGGGCCGACGAAGCGCGCCGGCTTCTTCCGGCGGTTCTCGGGCTTCATCCAGTCTGCGCGGGGACGCGCCCGAATCACACTCGCGGCACTCGCGGACGCTCGGACTTTCGTTGCTTCGCGACCCGCCGCGCGCTCTCGCATCCGGCGCCGGAGAGCGAGCGAGGGGCACCGTCACCCCGATCGAGGACGCCGGGAACGCGCCGCCGGCGAAATCGTCGCTCTTCGGCAGCTCCACGGTCTTCCCGCGGATGCGCTCGAACTCGTCCTCCGGCACGTCCTCCATGGGGCGATCGAGCGCGGCCATGCTGTGGCCGAGCCGTGCGAAGACGACTGCACTGTGGGGGCATTGTCAACATCGGGGCAGCCCCACCAGCCAGACGGCGGCGATCTTCACGCTCTTTTGACGATGCTGCGGTTCCTCGGCGTGGGCGACGCCTGCGGGGATGGGCTCTGTGATTTGTGCGCGACTCCGGCCGGCGACCCCGACACCGGGGCGCGGGGGGCGCTCGCGCTGGACGACCCCGACAGCTTCGTCCTCGAAGAGGGCGACGTCCTCGGCCCCGTGTGCGACCTCTTCCACGAGGCGGACCTCGTCGAGTCGCGCACGCGCCGCGCCGCGGCGCTGCGGCACATCCAGGCCATGGAGGGCAAGGCGCGGGAGACGCACCTCGAGGCGAACAGGCGGAAGCTCTGCTCCGTCATCAAGCGCGACCACGTCGCGCGGTTCGTCGGCTACTGCGAGGTCGCGCGGAAGAACCTGCTGGCGGAGGCGGGGCTCCACCAGCACCTCGCGCTCATCCCGCTCAGCGCGAAGCCCAGCGAGGAGGACTTCGACGAGGTCTTCCAGGTCGTCGGCATCGCGGACCACCCCGCGGTGGAGAGCGCGAGGTGGTGCGTCGGGCGCTGGGTCGAGTGCCGCGACGACCCCGAGAAGCGCCTCATCGTCGAGCGCCACCTGCGGGCGCTGGGCGTCGTCGGCGCCGACATGGAGGCGCCGGACGCCAAGGGCACGACCGCGCTGCTCCACGCCGTCGGCGAGAACTGCGTCGACGGCACGGAGCACTGCCCCGTGGCGCTGCTCCTCGCCTTCGGCGCCGACGCCTGCCACCGCAACGACGCCCACGTGACGCCCCTCCTCGCGGCGGCGGCCAAGGGCCACGTGAAGCTCTTCGAGATCCTGGTGCTGGTCCTCGAGCGCCAGGGGCGCCTCGACGTCGCCGTCGAGCGGTGCACGAACGGCGACGGCGCGACGGTGCTCCACTTCCTCGCGGACCGGGGCCACGCGCAGCTGTTGAGCTTCGTGCTGAAGCGCGACGCCTTCCAGGCCGTCGTCGACGCGAAGACGAAGAAGACGGGCGAGACGGCGCTCGTCGACGCCGCGCGCCACGGCCGCGCGCCCTGCGTCCACGCGCTCCTCGACGGCGGCGCCCGCCCCGAGGCCGCGGCCTTGCTGGCCGCGGCGCAGCACGGCCACGCGCGCGTCGTCGAGGCGCTCCTCGCCGCGGGCGCGAGCCCGGCCGCGAAGGACGGCAAGGGCCGCACGGCCGCGGACCTCTGCGCGGCCGACGCGAGGCGCATCGCGTCCCAGAACAAGACCATGCTGACCATGCTCGGCGGCATGCGCAAGTCCTTCACGAGCACGGCGACGCACGCGTCGTCCGCGGACCACGACGCGTGCCTCGCGCTCCTCAAGGCCGCGCAGGACACGCGCCACGAAAAGCACCACCACGCGCACAAGAAGGACGACCACCACCACGCGCACAAGAAGGACGACCACCACCACGTCCACGCCCAGAAGCACCACTAGGGGGCTGGCGCGCTTTAGCGTCGGGGTCGGGGTCTTGGACGGGGGGGGAGGTTCCCGACCTCTCAGCCGCCCGCGGACGGCGCGTCGAGCTCCGCGAGGAGCGCCCGGAGGCAGGCGTCGATCTTGCGCGTCTTGTGGGCGACGAGGGGCTCGTCGCCGTCCATGGCGGCGAGGAGGTCGAGCGCGGCGCCGTAGTGCGCGACGGCCGCGGCCGAGTCGCCGCGCTTGGCGGAGACGGCCGCGAGCTTGCCGAGCGTGCGCACGAGGGGGTACTCCTGGCCCGCGACGAGGCGCCGGCGCATGGCGAGGGACGCGGCGAGCTGGACCTCCGCCGCGGCGAGGTCGCCGGGCCCGCCGCGGTGGCCGAGCGCGTGGCCGAGGTTCTCGCGCGAGTTCGCGAGCTCCGCGTTTGCGGCGTCGCCGCCGTAGACGGCGAGCTGCATGGCCAGCGCCTCGGCGTGGTGGGCCGCCGCGGCCGCGTAGTCGCCGCGCGTGTCGCGGACGACGCCGAGGTTGCCGAGGGCCTTGGCGACGTCCGCGTTCCGCGCGTTGGCGCCGTGGATCTCGCGGAAGGCCGCGAGGGCCGCGCCGTAGCAGGCCTCGGCGCCGCAGATCTGGCCCGTGGACATGTAGACGTTGCCCAGGTTGATGCGCGCGCAGGCGACGTCCGCCGCGCGCGCGGCGCCGTCGCCGCGGTCGCCGTCGGCCGCGTAGAGGCCGAGCGCCTCCTCGAAGCAGGCCTCGGCGGCCTTGAGCCTGCCGAGCTGCTTCCGCGCGATGCCGAGGTCGTTGAGGCACGACGCCACGTTCGCGTCGGCGCCGCGGACGACGCGCTTGAGCTTGAGCGCGGCCGCGAGCGTCCGCTCGGCCGCGGGGAACTCGCCGCGCGCGAGGCGCACGCTGCCGAGGTTGTGCAGCGCCGCGGGCACGAGGTAGTCGCGCGTCTGCGCCCGCGACAGCTCCAGGAACGTCTCCGCGAGCGCCAGGGCCGCGTCGCCCGTGTACCTGGGGGGGGGCGGCCGTCTCGGTCGGAGGAGCGCGCCGTTCCCGGGGACGCGGGGCCCGCGCATGGTGAGGCAGACGCCGCACTGGCGCCAGCCGTCGACGGCGTGCTCGCGGAGCCGCGCCCAGCGCTCGAGGCAGGCGAGGTGCACGTGCGCGGAGTCGCCGCGGCACGCGCAGGGGCGGACGAGCGCGCCGGCCTCGGCGCCCTCGAAGCAGATGCGGCACACGGGCGCCTCGGCCTCGCGGGCCGCGGGCGGCGCGGCGGCGGCCGCGGGCCCGCGGCCCGCCTCGGCGCCGGGCGCGCGGCCCGCGGCCGGCGCGACCTTGGCCGCCGCGGGCTCCTTGCGGGGCGCCGGCGCCGCGAGCTCCTCGGGGGCCGTCGTCGCGGACTTGGGCGCGCGGAAGAGGCGCGCGTAGCGCAGGCTCGCGAACTTCATGGCGGCGCGGGGGTGCGGGGCGCGCGGGGCTGCGGGCGCGCGGGGCTGCGGCGCCGCGTTCTGCGGGATTGATTCGCCCTCGAAAGGGGGCTTCTCCAGGGGTGTGCGAGGGCAGCCTCGAGTGTTGTTCGAGGGCCAACCAAGGGGTAATAAATAGTATGGGGTGGCAGCTCAACGAGATTATGTTGCGCGAGCTCCTCGTACTGCAACCCATCGTTTTGGGGCAATGTTGACGACTTTTGGCCGGGGACTTTTCGACGCCGCCGTCGTCGACGCGGCCCCAGACGGACCGCAGCGGTATTCGCTCCCCCGCGAAGGCGCCCGCGACAAGACTTACGCGTCCGGGCGGTTCGGGTCCGGTGGAAGGAAACCGAGGCGCGCTGGAGGGCACCGTGTCCGGTTTGGCGCCACGCGAGGAAGGGGGTTTTGGGGCAGCTCTTGGACGTGTTCGCGATGATGATGGTCGTGGACCGTCTGCTGGCGCTGCAGAGCCCTTCGTTGGTACCTATGGATGGGCTCGAGCATCTCAGGACACGAAAAGTTCTCGACCTCGAATGCCCGCACGCTGCCCGAGAAACTGTGTTGCGACACCGTCGGCGCCGGGGCTGCGCAGGCTCTGAGATCGTGGGAAAAGTGTGTCCTGAAGGTTTCGAGCCCCCCGCGGGTACCCATAGGGCGCCTCCAACCTCTAAGGACAAGAAAATATCGCACACTCGACTCACACCGCCGCCCTCTCGTCCCGCCGCCGAACAACCGTCGCGCTCGCGAGCCAACGCAATGATCTCAGCAGCCCAAATTCGCTGCCCCGCCCCGTCGAAGGGTTCCGCAGCCGCGCCGCGCCGCGCGACCCGCCATCGTTGCACTCAGCCCGCGCGCTGCGGCGTGGAAGAAGAAAGAAAACGCTAGCGGCGGCCCCGAGTAGTACGAGGACCTCGCGTTTCGCCTGCCACCCCATCTAGATTTATATCCCCTTGGGCCAACGCGGATTTATCGTCAACGTTGGTGCACTCGAGCGCCGGTATAAAAAAAGGCAAAAAACATCAAAACGGCGAGCCGCAGCTCGTGTCGCACCAGCGCCGTCGTCGTTCGGCGCTTGTTGCATCGGTCCTTCGGCGCTCGCACCGCTGCATTGCAGTCGCGCCATGGCCGCGCCGCCGCGCGAGCAGGCGTGGTGGACGCCGGCCGTGCCCTTCGCGTCCGGCGCCGTCGCCGGCGGCGTCGTCAAGACCTTCACGGCGCCGCTGTCGCGGTCGACGATCCTGCTGCAGACCGCGGGCCACGGGAGCATGGTCCAGGCCGCATCGGGCGCCGGCGGTGCGCGGAGCGCGTCGGAGCTCGCCGTGGGCTACCTCGCGCACGTGCGGGCCTCGGAGGGCGCCGTCGCGTTCTGGAAGGGCAACGGCACGTCGATCCTGCAGAAGATGGCGACGACGGGGTCGAACTACTTCGTCTACGAGCGGCTCAAGGAGTTGCTGCGGCCGATATGGAAAAGCGACGACGACGTGGGCTTCCCCGCGCGGCTCGCGGCGGGCTCGCTCGCCGGCGCGGCCAACGTGACGCTGGCCTACCCGCTCGACGTCGTCCGCACGAACATCGCGTCGTCGTCGAAGCGCGCCGCGGGCGCGGAGCGCTGGGCGGGCATCGCCGAGACGTTCCGCCTGCTCTACCGGACGCACGGGTTGCGGGGGTTCGCGCGGGGCCTCCCGGCGACGCAGTTGTGCCAGGGCGCGAACATCGGCCTCCACTTTGGGATCTACGAGACGCTGAACACGAACGCGGCGCTCGCGGCGACGTTCTCGCGGGCCTGCGGCTACGAGCCCGCGCTCGAATCCGGCGACCGGCCGCGGAGCTCGTTCGCGTGGTCCATGGTCTGCGGGTCGCTCGCGGGTCTGGTCGCGTCGACGCTCGTGCAGCCCCTGGACCTCGTGCGCCGCCGCCAGCAGCTCGTCGGGTCCAAGGACGCGGGGCGGCCCTTCTGGGCCGTCGCCGCGGCCCTCGCGCGCGCCGGCGGGCCCGCGGCGCTCTACCGGGGCCTGCTCCCGGAGCTCTGCAAGGTCTGCCTCTTCCCGGCGTCGGGCCTCAACTTCTACGTCTACGAGCTCGTCCGCCAGGACATCTTCGGCCACACGACGGGCATTCGATAAGAAGGCTTACTACCTCGGCGCGCCGGCGCCGGCGAGCAGGGGCTCCGCGTTGATGGCGACGTCGCCCGTGAGCCGCGGCGCGCGCTCCGCGCGCTCCGCCCGCGCGAGGGCGACGCCCGCGGCCGCCGACGCCGCGAGGAGCCCCGCGCAGACGAGGAACTGGGCGCGCCGGGACGCGGCGCGCGCGAGGAGCACGGCGACGACGCACGCGTTGAGCGGGACGCGGTAGAGCGAGTAGACCGCGGCCCGGCTCTCCTCGGGCACGACGCGCGCCTTAATTGCACCGACCAGGGGCCAGTAGCAGCCGACGCAGACCTCGAAGACCAGAAACGCGAGGAGCTTCCACCGCCGGTCGTCGAGCGCGGCCGCGGCGCCGAGGCTCAGCGCGGCCGCGGCCGAGTTCGCCGCGAAGCGCCGCGCGCCGCCGCCTTTCGCGAGGCACGAGCCGCCCATGACGCAGACCATGAACGTCGAGAAGATGAGCCCCTCCGGCGGCTCGTCCGCCCCGGCGAGCGCGGGCGTCCATAAAAAGACGAAGATGTACATGGCGCTCTCGAAGGTCGACGACGCGACGCCGCAGAGGAGCGCGCGGCCCTCGAGCGCGTCGCCGACGGCGCGGCGCCAGCGGCGCGGCCGCTCGCGGTCGCCGTAGTTCTCGTCCCACGTCGAAACGCAGGCGACGCCGCAGGCGACGAGCGCCAGGGCCGAGAGGTCGAAGGGCCAGATGTCGCCGCCGTAGTAGAGCGCGCCGGCTCGGGTCAGCGGCGCGCCGCGGTCCACGGCGGCCTGGGCGAGCTGCCCCGCGATGATGGCCGCGAGGCCATTGCCGAATTGCGCCGCGGCAAAAAGGTCCGGCAGCGCGGCGGCCTCGCCCGCCTTCGCGTGCGCGGAGACGCACCACGCCTCGAAGCTGCTGAAAAGGAGACTCGTCGCGACGCCGCCGAGGAGCCGGCCCGCGAGGCACGCGCCGTAGGCGTTCGAGTGCTTGCACGCGCAGCAGGCGACATACACGGCGCAGTAGGCGACGGCGCAGGCGCGCCGGCCCACGCGGTCCGCGAGCCCGCCGGCGAAGGTGCCGATGACCGCGGAGCTGCCGAAGCCCGCGACGAAGAGGAACGCGATGCGCGCTTCGGAGAAGCCGTACGACGCGTAGAGCGCGTAGACGTAGGGGCCCTGGAGCCAGTCCGCGAAGAACGCGAGCAGGTAGACCACGAGGTACTTTTTTCTCAGCGCTTTGCAGGCCTGCGACGCCGGCGGGCCCTTCGAACGCGTCCAGGTCGCGGCGACGAGGCCGAAGGTGAGCGCCGACGTCACGCCGAAGGCCGCGTAGCAATAGGCGACGAAGCCGCGCATTGCTATTGAGCAGTCCGATGAGTCGAACTAGTGAACGATACCGAGCGACCGCGCGCGACTCAGCAGCGGGATTCGGCAGCCCGACGCGTCCATCGTGGAGCGGAAAGGTTGGTGTTTGACCTCGCCTTCGATGTTGAAGCCCTCGGCTCTCGATCACGAGTGAGATCCCGCCGCCGCGCGCGTCGTCGTCGCACGTTCAGAGATGGCGCTCAAACTCGTTCTCGCCCTCGCTCTCGTCGCGGATGCGTTCGTCGTGCCTCGGGCGCCGCGGCTCGCGACGATGGTTCGACCGGCGCAGGAAAAGGACACGGTGGCGAGCATCCAGGAGGCGGTCGCGAGCTTCCAGGACGACATCATCAAAAAGGCAAACGAGTGGGGCAAAGAGGTGAACAAGGAAGCGGCGCCGGCGCCGGCGCCCGCGCCGGCGCCCGCGCCCGTGGCCGTGGCCGAACCGGAGCCCGCGCCCGCGCCCGCGCCCGCCGCCGCGGCCGAGCCGGAGCCCGCGCCCGCGCCCGCGCCCGTCGCCGTCGCGCCCGTCGCCGTCGCGCCGAAGCCCGTGTTGCAGACGTCGCCGTCGCCGGCGGCTGCGAAGCAGGAGGCGGCCTTCGCCGCGATGAAGCAGGAGGCGTACGCCGCGCGGGAGGCGGAGAAGAACGCCGAGGCGCGCGTCTTGCAGATGAACGCGGCCGCGGGCGAGATCTTCGCGGCGCGGGCCGCCGCGAAGAGGAAGGCGTCCGCGACGGCGGCGCTCGTCGCCGGCGCCAAGGTCGCCGGCTTCGGCGTCGCCGTCGGCCTCGCGTCGTCGGCGCCGGTGACGTCCGCCGCGCTCCCCTTCGCGCAAAACGCCGTCGCGCTGCTGCCCGCGGGCGCCCAGGGCCTCGTCGCCCGGGTGCCCGCGGCCGCCTGGCCCGTCGTCGCCGTGTCGACCGTCGCGACGGTCCTCGCCCGGGCCCTCGCGAAGGCGGAGGCGCCGCCGCCGGTGACGTACTCGTCCGACGCCGTCCGGCGGATGAACGAGGACACCGCGCGGATCTTCGAGCGGCTCAGGCTCGCGCGGATCAAGCCGCTGTCGCCCATGGCCAAGGTCGTCCGCCTCTTCGCCTTCGGCTGCGCCGTCGGGCTCGCGGTCGACCCGGGACTCCGCGCGGCGTCTCTCGCGATCGCGAAAGACGCGGCCGCGAAGCTCGTCGCGGTCCTCGGCGTCGTCTCCGTGACCGCGGCCGCGGGCGCGACCAAGGCCGGCGTCCTCACCGCGTCGGCCCTGAAGGCCGTGCCCTTCGGCGAACCGGTCGTCGCGTTCGCGGGCAAGGCCGGCGGCGGCGCCGCGGCGGCCGCGGCCGCGGCCGCGGGCGCGGCCAAGGCCGGCGTCGTCGCCGCGGCCTGCGCCGCAAAGACGGGCGTCGTCGCCGCGGCCTGCGCCGCAAAGACGGGCGTCGTCGCCGCGGGCGGCGCCGCGAAGACGGGCGTCGCCGCCGTCGCCAAGGCCCCGGTCGCCGTCGCCACCGTCGCCTGCGTCGCCGCCGCGGCCTTCGCGAGCGCGTAGCTCCGGGAAAGGCGCCCTAAGAAACTCAAAGCCTAGACCTCGAAGTTGTCGTCGGCGAGGCGGACGGCGTCGGCCTTGTCGTGGTGGACCTCGATCTCGTGCTCGTCGGCCTTCTCGTCCTCGGAGTCGGACGCGTTCGCGCAGCGGTGGAAGAACTCGGCGGCCTCGGCGTCCGTGGCCTTGCCGGACGCGTCGATGAAGGACGCGATGTGCTTCGAGTGGTGCGCGTCGCGCGCGTCGCTCTCGCGCCGCCGCCGGTCCTCGACGAGCTGCCGGACCTGGTTTGCGATGCTTCGCATTTTCACCGCGGCCGCGAAGAGCATCGCGGCCCCGAGCACCATGGGCAGCGCGGGCCGCATGTCGCCCCGCGCGGCGCGCGAGCCGCGGCGGTGCTGCGCGAGGTCCGACCAGCGGCCCGTGAGCGTCATGAAGGACACGAGGCTCACGGCGACGCACGGCGCGCCCACCGCGACGACGAGGATGACGACGCAGACGCCCGCGAAGCGGCCCTGCTTGTCCAGGGGCGCCTGGCTCGCCCACATGGCGCCGAGCGGGATCGTCGCCGCCGGTAGCGCTACGAAGAAGAATGCCAAAGCGACGAGGAACCCGGCGTACGACGACGCGAACGCCGCGCCGAAGAGCGCCACCGCCAAAACGAACTGGTAGCGCGGCATGACATAAATCTCCGCCTTGTCGCCCTGCTTGAAGTGGCGGATCCACAGGAAGACGCCGATGACGAAGGGCGGCAATAAGGAAAAACCGAACTCGATGCGCTCCTCGACGGACGGGTCCAATTTGTACTGGAAGACGTTGAAGAGCGTCACGAGGTGCACCGTGAGCCCGCCGAGGAGCAAGAACAGAAACACCGTCAGGTCGTCGAGCAATTTCTCGCCCGCGGCCCAGCGCGCGCGCTGGTCCGCGAAGCCGAGCCACATCTCCGCGCGCGCCTTGGCCACGGCCTCGGCCAGGAGCTCGGCCAGGCCCGGGCCGCCCGGCACGCGCGGCTTCGACTCGGGCAGCCGCAGCGCGAGGAGCTGCGCGGCGAGCATGACCACGAGCGCCAGATAGGCGGCGCCGCGGACCTCGAGGGCGTCGCTCGCCAGCAACACGCCGCCCAAAATCTGCCCCGCGAAGGACCCGACGCCGCCGTACGCGCCTGAGCTCACGCTCCCGCTCTGGACGTCGTCCAAACCGCCGTCCGCGGCGACGGCGCGCGACAGCAATTTCGTCTGGGGCTTCGCGTCCTCGGCGCCGCCGACGGCCAGCCGCCCCAGGTCGCCGCCCGCGACGTAGAGCGTGAGGTCGAGCACGTAGAGCGACTGCGCGAACGAGTGCACGTTCGCGATCGCGCGCACGAAGTACAAGAATAAAATGAAGCCCATGTGGGCGTAGGAGCAGATCAGACACCAGAGGAAGATCTCGAAGCAATAAGACGCAAAAATGCAGGGCACGCGCGGCAGCCGGTCCGTGATCTCGCCGTGGATCATGACCAGCGACACGCGCGGCACCTCGTAGCAGACGTAGGCCAGCGCGCTGAACACGGCCAGTTTCCCCGGGTTGTCGCCGCAGACGTCCTCGACGATGTAGGACAGCAGCGGGAACTGGAGGAGCCCGCTGCCGAAGCCGAGGACTAATGAATAATGATAGTACGGCCGCAGCCGCTCGCCGACCTTGCGCCGCCGCGCCTCCTCCATGGCCTCGTTCTTCGGGCCCTTGGCCTCGTCGCCGAAGCGCGTCGGCGTCGCCATGTCCAGCGACGGCTGGTGGCTCGCGCCGCTCGGGTAGATGAAGCGCATGTCCAGCGACGGGTCGTGGACCTCTTCGACGGAGCGGCCGACGGCGCCGGTCTTGCTGTTCTTGTAGAGCGTGCAGCCCGTCGACTCCTCGTAGCCGCAGACGCGGATGTCCTGCGGCAGCGACGACATGGACACGCGCGAGGACATCACCAAGGCCTTCCGGGACTACCAGATGACCCAGTTCGGCAGCTGGCCCTGGCCCTCGGACGGCGTCGTCCCGGCGTCTTCCGGTTCAGCTCAGGGGGCTGCCATCGATGGGCAATTTTCGGTCGGGGGGTTGCAAGGCACCTTTATCAAGGTTGCACCAACGCAGCCGGCCGCCGAGATCTCGAGAGCAAAAGCCAGGCTTGTGCGCCGAAGCAGCAAAGCCGCGCCGCCGCGCCGCACCGCCGCCGCAGCCGCAGCACCGCGGCCATGTCCGGCTTCAATCCCTTCGGCAAGAAGCCCACGGCCAAGGAGCAGGCCAAGCAGGTGAAGCGCGGCGTGCGGAGCTCGCAGCGGGACCTCGACCGGGAGCTGCGCGACCTCGACCGGCGCGAGCAGCAGATCATCGCGGACCTCAAGAAGGAGGCGAAGCTCGGGCGCAGCGAGAAGGCCGTGAAGCTGCTCGCGAAGAATCTGGTCCAGCTCCGCGCGCAGCGCGAGCGCGTGCTCGGCGCCAAGGTGCAGGTCGGGTCCGTCGCGACGCAGGCGAGCGCCATGGCCGCGTCCGTCGCCGTCGCCGACAGCGTCGGCGCCGCGGGCAAGGCCATGGGCGCCATGAACAAGACGATGGCCAAGGCCAACGTCGGCCTCTCCATCGCGCAGTTCCAGCGCGAGACGGAGCGGATGAACATGACCGAGGAGATGATGGGCGACATGCTGAGCGACGCCTTCGACACCGACGAGATCGAGGAGGAGACCGACGCCGTCGTCGACGGCGTGTTGGCCGAGATCGGCCTCGACATGACCAAGGGCATGAGCGACGCGCCGACGGCGGCGCTGCCCCAACAAGCCGCGGCGGAGCCGCAGCAGGCCGACGACGACAAGGCCCTCGCCGCGCTCCAGGCCCAGCTCAACGCGCTGTAGCACGTAGTTCAATTGGTTTTAGTCGGTCGAGGAGAAAAGTACGGGGTGGCTACAGCTCGCCGCCCGGCGGCGTCGCCTCGAAGCGGAACTTCCCGGGGCGGCTCTCGGGCGGCTCCGAGTCGACGTCGCCCACGTCGCCCTCGTCGTCGTCGCCCGCGCTCGCCGCCGCGCGCCTCGCCGCGCGCTCCGCGGCGCGCTGCTCGCGCGCGCGCGCCGCGGCCTGCTCCGCGGCGCGCTCCTCGCGGATCTCGCGGCGCGTCCGCGGGCGGCCGTCGTCCTTCCGCGGCGGCGGCGGCGACCGCGGCGGCGGCGGCGGGTCCGTCGCCGGCGGCGGCTGCGGCGGCTCGTCGGGCTTGCGCTCGCAGATGAGCGTGCCCTGGTTGTTGCCCACGTGCTCGTCGTCCTGGCAGCCCCGCGGGTCGATGGCGGCCTCGCGGAAGTCGTCGCGGGTCTTGCCCGTGAGGCACCGCGTGCACCGGAGCACCCGGGACCCGTCGTCGTCGTCGTCGAAGGCGCAGCCCTTGCAGGAGCCCCGGTAGGAGCCGCCGGGGATGTCCGGGCCGTCGGGCCGCGGCGGCGCCTCGCGCCGCTTCCGCTCGAGGACGTCGCGCTTCCGCTCGAAGGGGTCGCCGAAGGGCTCGAAGCCAAAGTCCTCGGGGAAGTACTTGCGCGAGACGACCTCGGAGAAGGCGGCCCCCTGCTTGTTGTCGCGGCCGACGCCCCGCTCGAGGTCGTCGCCGCGGTCGTAGGCCTTGCGGAGCTTCGCGTCGGCGAGGCAGTCGTGCGCGGCGGAGACGCGCGTGAACATGGTGTTGGACCCGCCGTGGCGGTCCGGGTGGTAGACGCGCGACGCCGTGCGGTAGGCCTTGCGGAGCTCCTCGTCGCCGAAGTCGCGGCTCAGACCGAGCACCAGATAATGGTTGTGCTTGCCTTCTAAAGTGGCCGCGTCGGCCCCGTCGCCGATGGCCGACGCCGCGGCCCGCGCGGCCGCCGCGTCGAGCTGGCGCCGCTTCTCGTCGACGGCCGCGACGATCACGAGGTCCCGGAGCCCCGCGCGGTCGCGGTCGACGCGCGCCAGCCGCTCCGCGTTGCGCACGGCGCCGAGCGCGTCGCCGGCGTCGAGCGCGAGGCGCACGTCCTCTTCTAAAGCGTCGCCGAACGTCGGGAAGAGGCCGAGCGCCGCGTCGAGGCGCTCCCGCGCCTCCTCGCGGCGCCCTAAGCGCCGCAGGCAGCCCGCGTGGTGCAGCGCGCCGACGGCCGACGCCCAGCGGTCCTCCACGGGCTCGTAGATCAAGCGCCGCCAGCCGCTCGGGTTCTCCGGGCTCTCGGCCCACGCGGCCGCGCACCCGACGAAGTCGCCCGCGCGCTTCAGCTCGTCGGCCCGGGGCGCCCGTTTCAGAGCAGCGGCGAAGGCACCCTCCGTCGGCGTCGCCGCGCCGCTCGCGTGCTCCGCGTTCTCCGGCGCCGCCAAACGGTGGAGCTGGCCCGTGTGGTCGTCGACGAAATGGCCGAGCAGCGCGTGGTCCGCGACCTGGCGGTGGTACGCGGCCTGGCGCTGGAGGCGCCGCACCATGTGGGGGTCCCCGATGTAGATGACCTGCCAGGGCAGCTCGTCAAAATCATCGTCGTCGCCGTCGCCGGCCGCGTCCGTCGCGTCCGCGGGGCCGAACGGCGGCCGCCGCTTCGCGTGCGACCACGAGTCGCCCGCGCCGGGGATGATCGTCTCGCCCGCGTGGCCGAACTTGTCGTGGCCCTTCTTGTCGACGAACATCCACTCCGTCGACTTGCGGCCCACGGCGCCGTAGCCCTCCGGGGGCCGCGCGAGGACCATCGACCACTTGCTCGCCTCGTTGTAGTACGCGAGCTGGCACTCGCGCAGCAGCGACCCGCAGGCCGCGCCGGCGCGGCTGTCCGTCGGATCCACGCGCGCGTAGACGCCGTTGAGCCCGCGCAGCGTCGAGCCGGCCACGAAGAAACCATGAGCTGGATCGCGCACCGTGCCGTAGCGCCGCGGGCCGCCGCCGCCGCCGCCGTAGGGCACGACGCCGCCGGGGCCGACGAGCTGGGCGTTTGAGGACGCGAGCAGCAGCGCGAGGCGCAGGAAAGCGCTGCAGGTCGCGCGCGCGCGCATTTCGACGGCGCGGGGCGTTCCAGCCTAGGTATTTTTGCTTTTAGCGACCGCAACTGCGCAGCAAGGTGCCGCTCTGTAAAAGCTGCCGATTAGCATGGCAGCCCTCTCTAGGTTCGCTGAGAGACTTCGTGCTGAGAGACTTCGTGCTGAGAGACTTCGTGCTGAGAGACTTCGTGCTGAGAGACTTCGTGCTGAGAGACTTCGTGCTGCAGACCGCTGAGAGGCTTCGTGCTGCAATTCTTGCGACAGGCAGCCTCCGCAGCCAAACATATGAGCAGCAACGAGGAGCAGGCGAGCCCGAGGCCCATCGAGTGGTTCTGGATCGCCGCGTTCCGCCGAGACGCCTGGCTCGCGCAGCATCGCGCGAACGCTTCAAAAGCAACAGGCCGCGAGCGCGTCGTCCTGCTCGGCGACTCGATCACGGAAGGCTGGTCCGTGCCAATCCCATTCGCGTGGTATCGCGCGCTCGCGCTGGACCACCGGTCCGCGGGCGCGCTGGGCCCCGGCACGGCGGGCGTCTGGAAGGGCCTGCTGCACCAGTTCGCGGCGATCTGGGTCTGGTTCCTCGCGTTCCCCTTCGGCCGGCGCGCGCGCGTCGCGGCGCTCGCGCTCGTCCTCCGGCGCGTCCTCGACCACCGCCGCGACGCGTTCCGGCGCCTCGCGGACGACCTCGGCGGCGACGACGCCGTGGTGAACATGGGCGTCGGCGGCGACCGGACGCGGCACGTGCTCTGGCGCGTCGAACGCGGCGAGCTCGACGGCGCGATCTCGCCGCGGCTGCGGGCCGTCGTCGTGGTCGTCGGCGTGAACAATCTGGTCTTCGGCGAGGACGCGCCTCCGGCCGTCGCCGCGAAGATGCTCGGCGTCGCGCGCGCGGTCGAGGCGCGGACGCCGGAGGCCGTCTCCGTCTTCCTGGCGGCGTTGACGCCCGTGGACAGCCCCAAGGGTCCCGTGACGCCGGCCATGGCGCAGGCCTGCAACGACGCGCTGGCGCGCGAGCGCCGCGACGCGGGGCTCACGCGGACGACGATCCTCGACTTCGAGAAGGCGCTCGCCCGCGCGGGGACGCGCCCGCCGGAGCCCCTCGACGCGCTATCGCCGGACAGGCTCCACCTCAACGAGCGGGGCTACGCGGCCCTCGCGACGGCGCTCGTCCACGGCATACAAAAGGCGCTTAAGCTTTAGCTAGCTCGCCGTCCACTACAAAAGGCGCTTTAGCTCGCGGGCTCCGCGCGGCGCGGCGGCTTCGTCGGCGGCGTGGGCAGGTCGGCGATCGACAGGCCGCCGAGGGCCGGGAGGTCGTCGTCGTCCGCGACGAGCGCCTCGAGCTCGCGCTCGAGGCTGCCGTCGTCGTCGTCGGACGTCGTCGCGCGGGCGAGCGCGGCGTCGACGTCCGCGACCTCGTCCATCTCCGCGGCGAGCGCGTCCGTCGCGGCCTCGACGTCGTCGGCGGATAGGTCCGCGCGGGCCGCGCGGAGCGCGCCGGCGGCGAGCTCGAGGGCCGCGACGACGCTCCGGTCGTCCCACAGCTTGCGGAGCGCGTCGTAGGGCTTTTCGAAGTGCTCGAAGTGCGCGCCGCGCGCGCGCGCGGCCGCGGCGTCGAGCGCCTTCCAGCGCCGCGCGGCGACGACGTCGAAGGCGCCCGTGGCCCGCTTGTTCGCGCGGCAGGCCTCGAGCGCCGCCGCCGCGCGCGCCTCGAGTCTCGCGGTCGCGCGCGCGTGCTTCCGGAGCGCCGCCCGGAACTGGACCGCGGCCTCGTCGGCGTCCGTCGGGGCCGCGCCGCCGCCGACGCGGACGAGGCCGCGGCGCAGGTCGTAGACGTCCACGTCCGCGGCGACGCTCGCGCGGCCGCGCGCGACGGCGAAGCGGACGAGGGCCGCGAAGTCGTCGTCGTGCGTCGCGCAGCGCGCGAGCGCGGCCGCCGCCGCCGCGTCGCCGCAGCTCGCCGCCGCCGCCGCGCAGCAGCCCCGGAGCGTCGCCGGCGGCACGTCGTCGTGCGGCTCGTCGGCGCCCTCGAGCGCGAAGACCCGCTCTCCCTCCCTGAGCGTCGCCGCGTGGGCCGCGAGCGCGCGCGCGCACCGCTCGAGGGCCGCGTCGGCGACGCGGTACGCGCCGCTCCCGCCGCCGCGCCAGGACCGCAGCGCCGCGACGGCGCAGCGCGCCGCGTCGCCCGCGGACGCGCGCGACCGCCAGCGCCGCGACCGCTCCGCGTCGTGCGCGAGGGCGTCCGCGGCCGCGAAGCGCGCCGCGAGGCAGGTCGCGAGGCCCGGCGGCGGGCCGAAGGCGTCGTGCGCTAAAGCGGTTTCGAGGTCGCTTTGGTGGAGAACGAGCCAGCCGCGCGCCGCCGCGCACTCCTCGACGGCGCGCTGCCAGGTGCTGTGGAAGTCCTCGTCGACCTCTCCATTTTTTTTCGGGATGGAGTAGAGAAACTCGATGCGCTCCCGATTAATACCGAGGGCCGACGGGAGCTTGTGTCCCTCCGTGCCTGGTTCGTCGGCAGCTTGCTCGAGGCCCAGACCCAAGCGGACCATCGTCTTTTGCCGTGCGGCAAATCTGCGGCAAGTCGCCAAATTTACTCTTCGTTGCCCTCGTGGCGCGCGCTGGACGCGCGTTCGGGGCGTGCGCGGCTCGACGTGGCAAACAGAGGCGCGCCGGCGTCGACCAGACAACGTTTACGGAGCGTGCGCCACAAGAAGAAGCGCTCGAAGAGGCGGAAGCGGCGCATCGGCCCCAAACAAACAAGTACTGCATGATGGCGCGCTGCCTCTCCCTGTCTCTACTCACGAGAACCGTCGCCGCCTTCGGCATGCCCGCCGTCAAGAGGGCCCGGTCGACGCTCGTCGTCGCGCCCGCCGACGGCCAGACCTTCGCCGTCGCCGGCGACAGCGCGGACAAGATCACGCTGCTCCTCGACGACGTGAAGGCGAAGATCTGCGTGCGGACGCAGCTCGAGGGCCGGGAGCCCTCGCCGGAGACGTGCCTGCAGAACGTCGGCAGCGTCGACCTCTTCAACGTGCCGCGCGGCGGCCTCCGGCTCCTCGTGCGCGACGCGGACCGCGAGGAGTCGCTGTCGATCGCCGTCGCGAAGACGAAGGAGTTCGTGCCCGGCGACGACTGGCGCGAGGTCGGCGAGAAGGCCGTGCCCGCGGGCCTCGACATCCGCCTGCCCCTCGACGGCGCGGCCAAGGTCGCGCGCGTGCCGCCGACGTGGCGGCTCCAGCTCTACGTCGAGCCGCCGGACGGCCGGCCGGGCTTCTGGCGCGCGGACGTGACGCGCGACACGCCCATCCGCGCCCTCGAGGCGGACCTCCGGAAATGGCTCGCGGGCCGCGGCGCGTCCGCGCTCCCGAGCCTCGCGCTCGGCGACGGCCGGCCGTTCCACGCGGCCGCGACGGCCGGTTTGGTGAACCTCTTCGCGCACCAGCACGACCTCGCCTGCGTCTGGACGCGGCCGACGGCACCGCCCGCCCCCGAGGCGCCCGTCGTGCTCACGCGCGACGCGCCGCCCGCGAAGGTCGAGGCGCCCGCGGACGAGGCTCCCGACGCGCCCGTCGTGCTCACGCGGGACGCGCCCGCGAAGGCCACCTGGGCCGCGGGCGGGCCGCTCCGCGTCGTGCGTCCGCCCGCGGGTTTCACCGACGCCGCCGCGGCGATTCGGTAAGCATTTTTCACGCTGCTTTATCGATGTGTGGTGTGGCGGAAAACGACGCGACGATGCAGAGCGGCACGACGAGGTAGGGCAGGTAGATGAGCGCGAGGCGCGCGCGCGTCGCCGCGGCCGCGTCCGCGCGGAGCAGGATCTCGCCGAGGATGGGCACCATCGTCGTCGCGACGTGCGAACCGTAGGCGACGAACGCCCAGCGGAGGCGCGCCTCGGTCTTCGCGAGGAGCGATCGACACGCGACGAAGAAGAACGGCAGCTGCAGCACGACCTCGACGAGGATGAGGCTCCGGAACCAGGTCGGCGGCGCGCCCATCAAGAAGTCGCCGTTCGTTTCGACGTGAAAATCCAACAACTTCGCGGCGATGTGCGGGTAGAGCGCGCGCGGCAGCAGCGCCTGCGAGTCGATGAACATCGTGATCGGGATGTGGCTCGCGAAGTAAGCTAAGTAGAGCTTCCGCGCCAGCGATCCCACGCTTATGCAGCGCAGATCATAGCTTGGCTTGGCCTCCAGAGTGCGGCAATTGGCCGGCATAGCTGCTCGCGTCCCGCTGCGGGCTGTCTGCGAGGCGCGCAGCGGGCGTCACGAGCGCAAGCCGGTTACGCTGCGGGCGTCACGAGAGCAAGCGCGTCACACTGCGGGCGTCACACGAGAGCAAGCACGGTGGGCGTGCAGGTCGCCCTGCGGCCATCTGAGAGCGCTGGAAGTCGGGGTAAACGTGCCTCTGTTTAACATGTCCTTGAACATACAAAGTCGCGCGCGATGGCGCGCGCAGCCCGAATCGGGCTGCTATTGTTGCTCTGCGCGCCCATTGTAGAACCCTACGCCATCCCGAACCTCACGGCGCCGCACCCCATCAACGCGTCCTGCGTGCTGCGCAAGCTGCCCCAGCCCTGGGCGGCGCGCATCCACTTTTTTTCCTACGTCGCGAGCGACCTCTACCACATGCTCGCGCACGCGCTGCGCTACTACCGGCGCCTCGGCGTCGACTTTGAAAAGCGAGCGAAGTTCGTCGTGCACAACGCGTCGGGCCCGAGCGTGCTCGCCAAGGCGACGACGTACCTGGAACGCTACGGCGCGCGCTACGACGTCTCGAACGCGTGGAGCTCGGCGATGAAGCGCCAGGCGGCGAACGCCTACCTGGCGTCGCTGCCGGCGGACGCCTGGCTCGTCTACCCGGACCTCGACGAGTTCTTCGCGTTCCCCTGCGAGCTGCCCGCGGTGATGCGGAACGGCAGCTTCCTCTCGGGCGCGATGGTCGACCGCGTGGCCTACGACTGGCGCCTCGCGGGGCTCCACGCCCTGCCGGCGGCCGCCAAGGAGTCGCGCGAGTACGCCATCGACCACCAGTTCCCGCGGAGCTGCGCGCTCACGGAGAAATTGTTCCAGACGAACGCGCACACGTCTGTGTGGAAATCAAATCTTCAACCCGACTTCAATTTGCGCGTATTTCAAAGTTTGACTCTGCTTAGAGAACTCGACGAGAGCAATCGATTCGTCCAAAAATCAGCCGAATCGACTTCGAATTGACTGAGCTAGAGAATTTCAAAGTTTGGTCGGGACGTCCCAAACCAGTGGTTGATTTCCACGCAGGCACAAGTACACGCTCGTGCCGGCGCGCGACGCCGCGGGCAGCCCGCTGGCCTACATCAACGCCCACTCCGTGACCTGCCGGGGCGACCCGGACCGGCCCGAGCCGCGGCGCCGCCTCGCGAAGCGCCACGCGCAGCGCGCGATCGGCTGCGCGGGCGTCGTCGTCCACCGGGGCCCGGACATCGCGCACTACGGCTTCACCAAGGTCACGGTGCCCATGATGGAGCGCAAGCTCGAGACCTACCGCGCGCTCTACGCCGCCGAGGGCACGACGTCGTCCCTCGACGCCGTCGCGCACTACGAGCGGCTCCGCGACAACTTCGAGTGGTGCGCGAAGACGCGGAGCTACCAGTTCACGGCCGAGGCGCGGCGGCGCGTCGGGACCATGTGCGCGCCCCTCGGGGCCGACGCGGAGGACGAGCGCCCGGACATGGTCCTCTGCCACCCGCGGCCGACGAGGGCGCCGACGCCGCGGCCCTCGCGGAGCTTCCGGCCGACGCGACGGCCGACGCCGCGGCCGACGCCGGAGCCGACGCGGTCCTTCGCGCCGACGAACGCGTCCCGGGTTCTATCATCGTAGGGGTCTCGACGCGCGCCGGCCGGGTCGCAGGCGGCCGCGCTCCGCCGCCGGGAGCGCCGGGAGCGCCCCGCCCTTCGCCTTGCCCTTGGCGAAGGCCGCGGCGGCGCGCGCGACGGCGCGCGTCGGCTTCGGCTTCGCCGAGGCCGCGGCGGCGCGCGCGACGCCCTGGGTCGGCTTCGGCCTCGCGAAGGCCGCCGCGGCGCGCGCGACGGCTCCGCTCGGCCCGGCGGCCGCGGGCGCGGCCCGCGCGAAGCGCAGGAGCGCCCGGAGCCACTCGAAGCAGCTCTCGAGCGCCCGCAGGAGAGGCTCGTCGCCCTCGGGGAGGCCGCGCGCGACGGCGGTCCAGGCGACGCCGTCGAGCGCCGCCGCGAGCGCGGCGGCCAGGTCCGGGTCCGCGTCGTCCGGCCGCCGCCGGAGCAGGTCCCCCGTGAACGACGGCGCGGCTATGCGCCGCGCCGGGCGCGCGCTCGCGGCGCCGGGCTTGTCCGCCGCGCGGACGAGCGCCGCGGCGAAGCTTCGCGCCTCCTCGCCGGCCGCGTCGCCCTCGAGCCACGCGGCGAGGCGCGCGAAGACGTCGCGCGAGCAGGCGGCGGCGACGCCGCGGTGCGTGACGAAGACCCGCAGGCGCGCGAGGTCCGCCTCGGACGCGGCCGGCGCCGCGGCCGGCGCCGGGGTCTCCGCCTCGCTCGCCGGCTTCGAAGCGCGCCGGTTGCCCCAGACGACGACGCGCGCCCAGGAGCGGTGCCAGATCATCTCCACGAGCTCGTCGGCGGCGTAGCGCGCCGGGTCGAGGTGCTTCGCGGCCTCCGCCGGGTTTGGCGCCAGGGCGCATAAAATGCGATGTACGATTGGCTTTGGCAGCACCGCCAGGCCATTGCCGGGCCGCGCCGCCGCGAGCACGAGGACGAGGGCATCTTTCAGCTTCGCCGGCGACGGCGCGAAGAAGCCGCCGGGGCGCCGGACGGGCTTCATCGTTACGTTAGCATGTCCATGCTGCCCTCGCTTTTATCAACTTCGTTATGTCGCATGTCCATGCGCTTTTATCAACTTCACTAATCCTTAATTACCCAAAGTTTACCAGATGTTACCCATCAACACACGACTCGTGCCACATGCCGATGTGCTCTAGCTTTGCTCACTGGTGAAGCATCCACGCTTCCAACCGAGCAGTGTCGGCCCTGTTTGTGGCGCGTCATACGGAACTTGCATGAACCACTACGCGTGGACGGTCTCGTTGAGCGATGAGGGTCCTTGCGCCCCTCCTCGTCCTGGGCGCGGCCGCGTTCCTCGGGGAGATGCCGCGGCGTGCGCGCCGCTTGCGACGCGACGCGCGCCGGCGGGGGGCCGAGCTCGACGTCGACCCGTTCGCCGTGCTCGGGCTGGACGCGGCGGCCCTCGCCGCAATGGATCCGCGGAGCCGCGACGCGGCGGTGCGAGCCGCGTACCGCGCCGCGGCGCTGGCGTCGCACCCGGACACGTCGGCGACGGAGCGCGGCGACCGCTTCGCGCTCGTCAAGCGCGCCGCGGACGCGCTGAAGCGCGAGGACGATTTCGAGAGGCTCGCGCGGGCCCACGCGGCGGCGCGCGACGACTCGCTGGCGGCGCTCTGGCGCGACGAGGTCCGGGAGTGGTCCGTCGAGCGGCTCGCGGCGCACCTGCGGGACGAGGGCGCGCCTGAGCCGGTCGTCGCCGCGTTCGTCGAGGAGGACGTCGACGGCCGCGAGGTCGTCGGCGTGCCCCAATGGGAGGGCGACGACGTCGACCACTTCATCTGGGCGCTCCGCTGGCTGGGCACCGAGGACGAGGCCGTCGCCGCGCGGACGGAGAAAATCCTCCGCGACCTCGCGGGCCGCGAACGCGGCGCGAATTTCGTCCGGCGCGACGGCGCCCAGGGGCGGCGGGCCGATAGGACCAATTTCTAGATCCGTCTCTTTTTAGGAGCCGTCGTATGCTCACGCGTGGGCGGCTATCATATCGTTTACCTACAGCTCGGCCCAGCCGAAGCCCGCGGGCTTGTTCGCCTTGGCCTCGGCGACCTTGTCCGCGTAGTCGATCGCGAGCTGGGCGCGCTGGGCCCAGTCAGGGCCGACGCCGTCGTGGGCGCCGGCGATGGCGGGCTCGAAGGCCTCGGAGCTCACGAGGCAGAGCTCCAGGCCGTTGACGTCCGTCACGATGGCGATGAGCAGCACGCCGAGCCCCGTCTCCTCGTTGATCTCCTGGAGCTCGTGGACCACGCGGTCCGGCTCGTCGCGCGCGAGCTGATCGTAGATCGCCCGCACCCGCGCCGCCGGCAGGGAGAAGGCGTTGCGGCCGTCGTGCTGCGTCGGGACGACGGCGTCGCCCTCGTGGAAGTCGAAGACGACGGACTCGGCCTCGTCCGCGGCGAAGTAGACGCGCTCGCCCGTGCCGTGGGGCGCCGCGGCCATGCCGAGCGTCTTCGCGTACCAGGCCGCCGTCGCCCTCGGGTCCGCGACCTCGAAGTGGACGGATTTGAAGGGCTCGCGGCGGCCGGCGGGCCGGTCGCGGAGCTTGAACGCGTAGCCGTCCGGGCCGACGACGGACGTGCCGTGCACGCTGTAGCCCAGCGCCGTCGCGCGCGCCGCCGCCGCCGCCGCGTCGTCGACGTACATCTCGAAGAGGTGGAGGCCGGAGCCGCGCGCGTAGCCGTCGACGCCGTAGTTGTACGTGATCTCGAGCGCGTAGGCCTCGTCCTCGGCGCGCGTGCCGACCATGGTCTTGCTCCAGGGCACGGCGTAGTCGCCGTTGCACGTGATCGGGCAGGCCTCCGGGTTCTCCTCGTGGCGCAGCACGACGAGGCCCAGGACCCGGGTCGTGAACTCGAGCGTCGCGTGCAGGTCCGACGTGCGGATGACGTAGTGGGCCGCCGGGCCGGGCCGCGTCCCGCCCGCGGCACTGGCGGCCGCGACGACGAGCGCGAAGCGCAGCGGCGCGAGCATGGCTTCGCTGCCGACGCCGATGGAGGCGAACCAAGAGCTTGTGGGCCCACAATAAAAAGGCACACAAATAGTCAACAAAATCGGTATCTTACTTCCATAACAGCCGCGTTGGACCTGGGGCAGCGTCTCGCGGCGGTCGTCGTGCGCCGCGCCGACCGCGCGAGCGGCGCCGGTTCGCGACGATGATGGGCCAGCCGCAGGCCCTGTGCGAGGAGGACGAGATCATCAACCGGCTGCGCGAGTCGCGGAGCGACGGGGAGATGTTCTTCGACGTCGAGTTCGGGGGCGTGGCGACGGCGCTCTACGAGAACGAGAGCGAGGTGCCCGAGTACGACCAGGACCTGAGCGAGCCCGTGGTCTGGCTGCGGCCCCAGGAGCTCGCGCACTCGCCGGAGTACTTCGTCGACGGCGCGCTGTCCGGGTCCGTCGTCGAGGGGCGGCTCGGCGACGGCTGGCTCCTCGGGGCCATGGCGGCCATCAGCGGCCACCCGGAGCTGCTCGTCGAGAACCTCTTCGGCAGCGACCCCGACGACTTCAAGAAGTGGGGCGTCTACACCTGCCGCTTCTACAAGAACGGGAGCTGGGTCGAGGTGACGACGGACACGCGCGCGCCGGCGACGTCCGGCTTCGGCGACGGCGGCGCCCACGGCTCGCCGGAGCCCATCTACGGCCGCTGCCTCGACCCGCGGGAGCAGTGGGTGTCGCTGTTGGAGAAGGCCTACGCGAAGCTCCACGGCTCCTACGAGGCGCTGAGCGGCGGCAGCGTGACGGAGGCGCTCGTGGACCTCACGGGCGGGTCCGGCGAGGAGGTGAAACTCGAGGAGAAGGACCACGCGCGGCTCTGGGACCTGGTCAAGGCCCACGCGGAGAAGAAGCACGTGCTCTGCGGCACGGTCGACGTCGGCGAGGGCCTCGAGGCCGTGCGGTCCACGGAGCTCCGCGAGACGCCGCTGGGCCTGCTCCCGGCCCACGCCTACGGCGTCCTCGCCTGCGTCGAGGTCGCGGACCAGCGCTTCCTCCACATGCGCAACCCCTGGGGCAAGGGCGAGGGCAACGGCGACTGGCGCGGGCCGTGGTCGAACGCGTCGACGCAGTGGGACGACTTCCCCGAGGTGCTCACGGAGATGATGAACGACGAGTCCCTCGCCTGGGACCGCAACGCCAACGACGGCACCTTCTTCATGGCCTTCGAGGACTTTTGCGCGCGCTTCGACACGCTCCACGTCTGCAAGCTCTTCGTCGACGACAAGTACAAGCAGTACAAGGTCGTCGGCAAGTGGAGCGGCAAGACCGCCGGCGGGCCCGACGCCAAGTTCGAGGCCAAGCAGAAGGCGGACCTCGCCGCCGCCGCCGACGTTTCCCCGGCGCCGCCGCCGCCGGCGGGCGCCGCCGCGCCGAGCCCGGACCGCCGCGCGTCGCGCGACAAGGCGGGCCCCGGCGACGAGCTCAACGACGCGTCCCTCAAGCTCGCCAACGCTTTGCGGGACCACCACGGCAAGTTCGTGCGCACGGACGGCGACCCCTACTGGTTCAACAACCCCCAGTTCCGCGTGACGACGCAGGCGCCCGTCGAGGTCCACGTGTCGCTCACGCAGTGCAAGAACCCGACGGCGCCGGCGGCGACGAAGGGCCACTTCAAGATGGCCTTTGAAGTCCTGCGGACGAAGCGCAACGCCGAGCACCCGCGCATCTGGAGCCTCGACGGCGCGGAGCTCGTCGCGCACGCGCCCGGGCTGCCCGCGGCGGCGACGCGCGAGGTCTCGCTCTCCGGGCTTTTACTCGAGCCGGGCTGGAACTACAGCGTCGTCGCCCACGCGACGCTCCGCGGCCGCGAGGCGCCCTTCGTGCTGCGCATCTTCTCGCCGGGCGAGCTCAAGGTCGCGCCCGCGCCCGAGACGCACAGCCAGTACGTGCCCGGCGCGTGGCAGGCGGACCTGGAGCACGACACGGCGGGCGGCCCGCCCCTGCTCTCGGGACCGAAGCACGGCGTCCTCAAGGTCGCGCCGAAGTGGTGCCACAACCCGCAGTACCACCTGAAGCTCGTCGACGGCGACCCGGGCCGCGACCCGGACGCGCCGGAGCCGGCGAACGCGGGCACGGTGGACATCAAGCTCGTGCTCCGGCGCACGGACGCGGCGCCCCAGGCCGCGGAGCCGCGGAAGAAGGGCCTGCCGCGGAAGTCGTCCGCGGGCAACATCGACGCGGCGGGCTCGTCGCGCGCGCTCGGCGGCGGCGGCGACGACGCGGCCGTCACGACCGTGGGGCTCGTCGTCTGCAAGGCGCCGGCGCCCGAGGAGGAGCTGGGCCGCCGCGTGCACAAGGAGACGAAGACGAACGCGCTCGGCGAGCCGAAGCCGACGAAGGAGTCGACGCTGCGGAAGAAGCGGCCCAAGCCCGGCGTCGCCGAGGCGCGCCAGCTGCTCGAGGGGCTCGGCGGCGCGTCCTGGGGCGCGGGCATCGGCGGGTTGGGCGGCGGCTTCGAGGGCGAGCCGGAGAAGGCCATGCCGCCGCGGAAGATGCTTTTAGAAGCGAACGAGTGGCACCAGACGTCGAACTTCCGCGGCGCGACCGTGGCGACGCTGCTCCTCCCGGGCATCGTCAAGAGCCGCATGCCCAACGGCATGGTCGTCGTGCCCTGCCTCAGCGACGTCGACACGCAGGGGTCCTTCGTCCTCGAGGTCCACAGCGACGCGCCCGTCTCCGTCGAGGCCGTCTCCGAGTCCAAGTCGAAGACCGTCGTCGGCGAGTGGGTCGACTCCAACTCCGGCGGCTCCCACCTCCAGCCCTCCTGGAAGACGAACCCCAAGTACAAGCTCACGTTCGCGAACGCGACGGCGCGCGCCAAGGTCAACATCACGCTCACGCGGCCCGAGGCGGACTGGAAGATGCGCGACATGGTTGGCTCAATGATGGGCTTCTACCTGAGCCGCGGCGCCGCGCCGTCGACGCCGAACCCGGGCAACCAGTCGCCGTCGTCCGACGGCGCCGCGATCTTCCACGAGGGCAAGCCCTGGAACGAGTCGCCCTTCGTGCCCATGCACTCCGTCTCCACGCCGCCGGGCTTCGCCCTCGAGGCCACCGACGGCTCCTACGTCATCATGCCGGCCACCTACGCGCCCAACAAAAAGGGCCGCTTCTTCCTCTCCGTCACCTCCGACGTCGACTTCGTCCTCACGGGCGCCGGCGGCACGACGTCCGTCACGCACTAGGGGAGGGGCGAGGCGCGTAAGGAGGGGCGTTGCTGCTTGGCGCGGTCGCGGGGCAGCGTCGCGGCGCGCCGTCACGGTCGTAGCGCCGGGGTAAATGATGCAACTTGAAGTGTGCTGAAAGTGGCTCGAGAGTGGTGCCGCGGGCTGCCGCTCCGGATCAAAATGGGCAGCTCCGTTTGAGCTCGCGGGTTCGCAATCCCAGGATGGGTAAAGAGCGCTACGTGAAAGTGAAGTCACCGCTGTTCGAGGATGCTTACTGGGAGGGTTTGGCTCTCCGAAGCTCCATACGGAAGGACGTCCTGAAACTTGATAATGATGCATATCAAGAAGCATGCGCGTTCCAACTCAACCTGGAATTCGACGACCAGCCCTGGACGCTCGAAAACCTGCGCGAAATCATCCACAAGTTCACGCGGATCCCGGCTCGACGAATCGTGTTCGCCGAGCAAGGCCGCGACCTCGAGGCTGACTTCGAATTTGACGGAGGCGAGACGCTCGCCAGGAACTACAAGCTCTCCATGCGCATCTGCCGCGACGCGGTGGGTCGTTGCGGCGTCCCAGCGTCCCCCGACGCGAGGCCGCTCGAGATCCTTCCGGATGCCGCCCTCGGCGCCTGCGTCGCGTTCTGTCGTCCGCGAGCGGTCGCGATCCTCGGAGCGACCTCCAAGGCGACGCGCGAACGCCTCGTCGCCGACGTCGTCGGCCATCAAGCGGCCACGGTCTTCGCTCGTTTCTACGGCGTGCGCGGCCTCGACGACGTGGCGTCGCTGCTCGCTTCGCACGCTCCCCGCTTTTCCGAGTGGACCGCGACGCACCGGGACGCGACTCTCGATCCGGCGCTCGCGCTAGCCTTGAGCCGCGGTGTGGTTGCCGACGCCTACTCCGATGGGGAACGCGAGCGGGCGCTCGCGGCGTCTGGCGTGCGATGGAAGTCTTGCGAGCGCACCTGGTTCCACGAAGAAACCGACGTCCGACAAGGCTTTCGCGGCACGGTCGTCCTTGCCGATCGCCTGGAGGTGTCCATCGACACGGGTCTCGACATTTACGCTGAAAGCGGTTTCGGCTGGGCTATTAGCATCGAAATTAGAGTGCACTACAGGAGGAAGAGCAAGGCCCACCGGAAACCGTCACCGCTAATGCTCGCCAGCCTCGGTTCGGGCTACGGCGATCTACGCGACGATAGCAGTAGAAAGATCTCCGGGTCCGTCTGCGAACAGCTTTCGGCTGAGCTGGAATTGCCCGTCGGCGTCGACCGGCTGCTGAAGTTTCTCGCGCTCGTCCTGGCTGGCCCGCTTCGCTGGGAGAGGCCCGCCCACCACTATGTCCCGCATCAGAGTCTCCTACTCCTGATCTCGAGACAGATCGAGGTCGCGACGTTGATCCACACCGGAAAGATGAGCGTCGACAACGACAACGACTTCGACGTCGACGACGAGAAGCGCGCGTGCCAGCCGCCGCCGCCCGAGTTCGAGCGGCCACTCTTCGCGTGGTCCGCGGAGCAGGACTCGGGCTGGTGGTCGCGCTACGTCGAGCCGGCGAATTGAGGCTGCAAATAGGCGAAAGCATGTGGGTAAACGTGAGTTCAATGATACTGTAACTTGAAGGCGACAACAACACGGCTCGAGCGCCACGATGGCACGCCTCGCGTGGCTGCTCAGCACCCTGCTGCTGCAAGCCAATGCGCTCGCTCCGACCCTGCGCACGCTCCTTCGCCGCCGTGCCACGGTGGCGGACCGCGAGGCCGCGCTCGCGCAAGTGATGGGCGCGCCGGACCGCGACGCGCTGCTCGACGAGTGCCTGCAGCCGTCGCGCATCCCGCGCTGGCTCGCGCGCGCGCCCGTGAGCTGGCCGGCGCGCGACCTCGCGGCGCTCGAGCGCGTCCTGAAGCTCGGCGGCGAGCTCGACGACGCCGGCGCGGCGCGGCGCGCGCTGCTGTCGACGCTGCGGCAGCTGCCCGAGGCCGGCGGCGCCGTGCGCCTCGAGCGCGAGGCGCGGCGGCGGTCGCGCCTCGCGCCGTCCTTCGACGAGATGCTCGCGCGGACGCCGGACCTGTCGACGCCGGCCTTCGAATTGGTCGACACCGCGGACGACTTCCAGGTCCGGCGCTACGCGGACTTCTCCGTCGTGCGCACGGCGCGCCGGGCGCCGGTCGCGGCGGAGGGCCTCGAGCTCCAGAACCCGAAGATGGCCGGCGCGGGCGCGTTCCAGGCGCTCGCGGGCTACATCTTCGGCGGCAACGGCCGCGAGGAGAAGATGGCGATGACGACGCCCGTGTTCACGCGCGGCGGCGACATGGAGTTCGTGCTGCCCGAGGCCTACTGGTCCGACGCGTCCCGGGCGCCGGCGCCGACGTCGGACGTGGAGCTGAGCGCGGGCCAGAACGGCCTCGTCGCCGCGGCGTTCTTCGGCGGGTACGCGACGAAGGACGAGGTCGAGCGCCGGTCCGCGGCGCTCGTCGACGCGGTCCGGGCGAGCGGGGCCTGGACGCCCGTCGACGACCCGTACCAGGCGGCGTACAACGACCCCTTCACGCCGCCCTGGCGCCGGCGCAACGAGGTGCTCGTGGCGGTCGAGGCGGCGAATTAATTAGGCGGCCTCCGCGGGCGTGACGCGGATTCGCCGCGCGCCCTTCGTCCACAGCTCCTGCTGCGACTGCCGATAGAGCAGGAGGAGGTCCATCGTCGCGATGTTCTTGCGAATCAGGAGCGTGTGGAAGAGCAGCAACGATCCGAGCAGCCCGACGAGGACAAGCGCCACCGCCGTGTGGGCTGCGACGACGAGCGCGCGCCGCGACGCGCGGTCCCGCAGGTGCCAGAGGACCCATCCGCCGAACGCGCTTTGAGCTGCGAACTGGAACGTGGAAAACAGCGCGATGACATAGAAATAGGGATAGTTGCGCTTGCCCACACACGTATTCAACCAAGGGCAATGGTGGTCCATGCCCGGCGAGAGCTTGTTGCACAGGGAGCAGTAGCTCGGCGCGCGAACCCAGCGCGACGTCGACGTCTCCGCGTCGAAGCAATAGAGCGGGCCGCAGAGGCGCTGCTCCCATGGGCCCGGCGGCTCCGCGGGGTCGACGAGGCTCGTGACGAAAAAATTCACGATCGTGACGGCCGCGAGGCCGCCGACGACGGCGTGCGCGCCGGGGACCGACCAGTCCTCGACTGCAAAAAAGGCGGCAGTGGTCGAAACATAGGCCACGACGGCTGTAATCTGCGATGGAGAGAGAGGTCGTTCGAGCCCGCAGGACCGCCGCGGGCGCATGTCATCTGCGGACCACCGCGCCGCTGCACCAGCAGCCGGGCAGCGTCACCATGCTATTGCCCTGGTTCAACGTCCGTTGTTGATGCACTAATTCGTGCAAGCAGCAGCCGGGCAGCGTCTGGAGCGCCAGATGGGTCTGGCCGACGCGGCCATCGCCCTCGCCGCGAGGCCCGCGCCCCCGGGCGAGCAGCTCCCGACCCAGAGCGAGATCAAATCCGTCACGCAAGCGTTTTCGGGACCGACGAAAGGCGGCGCGCCGTCGAAGGAAGAGATCGCGCGGCTCGTCGCCGCCGTGAAGACGCCGCGGTAAGCGCCCCTCGTCGAGTAGGATGGGCGTCGTCAGCGACGCGCTCACGTCCGGCATCGGCGCCGCGTCGCGGTCCGTCGCGCGCGCGGGGCTGGACCGAGAGATCAACGCGCTCACGGCCAAAGTCAAGGCGCGGAAGGAGGCGCTGGGCATGGACCTGTTCGCGCCGCTCGACGCGGCGGATTACGTGCAAGTCTCGACGATGTACGCCGCGGCGCGGCGGGACGTCGAGGAGCTCGAGCGCGCGATCGAATTGAAGCGGTCGGCCAAAGAAGCGCTCCGCGCGGCCGCCGCGCCGCCGTCGCCGCCGGCCGCCGCCGCGCCGCCGCCATCGCAGCCCGTCGTCGCCCGGACGCGGACGGCGCGGGACGTGGAGGGCGCGGCGGCGCGGGACCGCGCGCTCGCCGACGAGCTCTCGCGCGCGGCGGACGATCTCTCGCGCGCGCTCCAGGTCCAGCGCTCCGACGCCGTCGACGCGCTCCGGCGCAGCCACGGCGACCGGGAGGCCGCGGCGGCGCTCCTGCTCGACCCCCCGCCGGGCATCCAGGAGGCCCAGGTCCTCTCCGTGGAGCCGGTCCACGTGACCGCGACGCTCGTGCCCCACACGCCGGCGGACGCGCTCCCGGCGCCGCCGAAGAAGAAGTCCGTCACGCGGCGCCTCAGCGAGGCCCTGCGCGCGCCGAAGAAGAAAGGGTAGGACCCCGTTTTAGCTGCCTAAGTTCAACAAATCAGCTTGAACAATGTGTATCTAGGTGTTTTATCGTGCCCGGGCGCTGGTAACGAGTTGGCCCCGCGCGTTTTCAGGGCAGCATGGAGCCCCCCGTGTGCGCGCCGCCGGAGAGTCTGCTGAAGCATGACGAGCCCCTCTTCGTCGGGTTCGACGGGAACGACGAGGGCGGCGTGAAGAAGGGGGACGCGTCGGGGTCGCAGCTCGAGGAGATGGTCAACTCCATGCTGCCGCCGCGCGAGTGGACGCAGACGTCGGGGACGTGGATGCAGTACGTGTCGAAGAAGACGGCGACGCGCATGGACGTCATCTCCCTCCAGGAGGACCTGGACAAGCGGCTGCTCGACCGGCAGGCGCGCGACGCGGGCATCTGCCCCGTGCGCGAGGATTTGTACAGCCAGTGCTACGACGAGCTCATCCGCCAGATCACGCTCGACGGCCCCGAGCGGGGGCTCCTGCTGCTGCGCGTGCGCGACGAGATCCGCATGACCATCGACGCCTACAAGGTGCTCTACGACAGCAGCGTGACGTTCGGCATCCGGAAGCAGCTCCAGGCGGAGCAGGGCATGTCGGAGCTCGAGGGCCGCATCGCCGAGCTCGAGGCCGAGAACAAGGACTTGGAGAACCAGGTCCTCGAGCTCCGCAACGGCGTCGAGGTCATCGAGAAGCGCGAGAACGAGCACAAGGCCGTCGAGGACAAGAAGCGCAAGGACGAGATCGACTTCCTCAAGTACCAGGGCCAGCACCTCGACGCCTTCCTCCGCCAGCTCGGGCCCGTCGGCGGGAAGTGAGCGGGCTGATCGCGCGCGCGACACCGCTAACGCCCCCTGTTACCCCGGAAACCCGTAGAGCAGGGGCGCCGCGGGGTCGAGGAGCTCCCGGACGGGCGCGGCGACCTCGACGGCCCTGACGAAGCGCAGCGTGAGCTTCGTGATGCGCGCGTGCATGGGCTTCCCGCCGAACATGCCCTGCTCGAGCTCGACCTGGTCGCCCTTGAGGAGCGCGGCCATCGTGGGGCACGGCGACCAGCGCCAGCCGTCGGGCCTCGCGAGCTCCGCGAGCGCGGCGTCGCGGTTCGCCGACGGCGCGCCGCGGTCGACGACGATGCTGAACTCGTCGTGGAATTCGAGCGCCGTGAATGGCGGGAGGACGAGCTCCTTCTCCCTGTGGTCTGGTGTCTCGCGGGTGCCCCTCCGGGACGCGGGGCGCGCGCTGGGGCCCGATGAGCGCGTCGGAGAAGAATTGGACGGGCACGACCCACTCGCTGTCGCGCCAGCAGCGGAGCACAAACACTAAAACGTGGCCGTATTTTGCCTGCCAAGCACGTCCGTGACGATCTCCCATCGATTTCCCGGCCGAAATCTCTCAAAAACGTCATGGCTGCAGGACGCCGTGGTTCGCGGCCGTCGCCGCGGCCTCGGTGCCCTCGAGGGACGCGTAGAAGTCGAGGACGCCGCAGACGCCCTGCATGGTCCGCGAGTAGCTCGCGATGGACGTCGAGAAGGCCGCGCGCGCCTCGTCGATGGCGTCGGGGACCCAGACCCCTCGATACGCGTGGCGCGGCGCGCCGTCGTGCGCGGCGAAGGCGCCGCCGCCGCCGTGGACTCCCGGCGCCATGTCGACGCATCCCGCGCCGAAGACCTAAAAAAACGCCGATGGACAAACGACAACGCTCCCTGGGACGCCGACCGCCACCATGGGCGCCGTGCTCGCGAGCGGCTCGACGACCGCGGGCCCGTGCGCCGCGCGCGCGCGCCGCACGAACTGGAGCGCCGCGAAGAGCGAGAACACGAGCCACGCGGATTTCTGCGCGCCGGCCTCGAAGTCGCGCTCCATGGTTTGCGCGTCGCCGTAGCGCTCGAGCCGGAGGCCGTGGAACTTGCGCAGCACGGAGTAGAGGTGCGTCGAATTCCTCACGTAGACGGCGAAGGGCAGGCAGAGGTACTTGAGGAGCAGGGGAACCTCCTTCCGCTGGAGCTCGAACGCGACCGGCGTCGACGTGTCGCGCTCCGGGAAGCCGCTCGCCGCGAGCGCGCGGTCGATACTGTTCGCCTCCGAGTCGCCGAAGCCGAGCTCGCCGCCGAGCTCCGCGAGCCACGACTCCTGCGGTGCGCACTCCGCCACGCATAGCGCCTGGAGCTTCGCCAGCGCGTCCCGCAGCAGCTTCGCCTCCAAGTTGCCGACGGCGACGCGCGCGAGCGTGCCGTAGATCTCCTTCGCGAGCGCCCAGTAGTTCGTCTGCCTACGATGCGGCGGATGTGGACCGCGGCGACGCGGGGAACGACGGCGGCGCCGCGCTTCGTCCGCCGGATGAGCACGTCGTCGTCCTCCGAGACGACCAGCGGCGCCATGAGCGCCTTCTCCATGCCCTCGGACCAGGCCCTGGGCCCGCGCGCGGCCATGCCGCGGACCATGTCGCGCAGCACGGCCGCGTTGGCGAGCCACGCGGCCCTGGTCTCGTCGACGTCCTCGCGCACGGTCTCGCCCGCGACGCTGCGCACGACCTTGGCCGAGCACCAGCCCGTCGCCGTGGCATGCCTGACGAGGAGCCGCTCGCGGCCGTCGTCCAGCGTCGCCGCGTCGACGACCATGCATCGCTGCCCGGCCGCGATGTGGCCGCATTGCTCGGACTCGAGCGGTGCAGCAGCGCGCAGCAGCGCACCGTTCTTGCCAGAAACGATCACGTCCAAGCGCCGCTGTCCCATGACAGGTCATTCCATCACGCAGCGGCGTGGCCTCGCTGTAGTATCAGACAGGCAGCGCGAGTGCAGCCCATCATGATGCTGGCCATCGATGTGTTGGTCTTCAAGTTGAAGGCAAACAAAGCAAAGTTTAGCGCGCCCCTAGGCGTCGCGCCGCTCCTCGTCCGTGAGGCCGATACCCGTCACGTCGCGGACGCGGATGGCCGCGGGCCGCTTGAGCCGCGCGTGCTCGGGCTTGCGCAGGTCCGCGAGCACGCCGCCGTGCTCGTCGACGCGGGCCATGTAGGCGCACTCGGGCCCGTAGGTGCGGTTCAGGGACGCCCAGGGGTCGTTGGGGATGTTGACGTCGATGTCGTAGAGGCGCAACGACCGGAAGGGCTCGAACTCGGACGCCTCGAAGTACTCGTCCTGGAAGTAGGACACGTGGGGCCCCGGCCAGGCCCAGTCCGCGCCCGGCGTCCGCGTCCAGCGGCCCGGGTCGAAGAGCAGGTTCTTCCAGTGGACGTCCTCGGGGATCACCAAAAAGGTCGGCGGGTCCGCCCGGTTGTCGAGCGCCGCGAGCGCGTCCTTCGCCGCCGCGAGCTTCTGCGAGAGCGGCGGCCACTTGGGCGTCTCGCCGTGGGCCCAGGGCGCGTAGCTCGACTTCGCTAAGACCAACACGTCCAGCGAGCAGGCGTCGCGCGTCGCGTGGAAGAGCTTGTAGCCGAAGCCGCAGCAGGGCGTCCACCACGTCTCGTCCACGAAGCCGCGGAATTCCAACGCGCCGCAGTGGGGCTCGCGGCGGCCGTGCGCGCAGTCCACGGCGACCTTGAAGATCAGATCCGACGCGTCCCGCGCGGGCACGTAGACGTCGACGTCGTGCTCCCAGGGCAGAAGCCCCGGCGGCTCCGTGCGCAGGGCGCCGAGGAGCGTGCCCGCGCCGAGCGTCCACCGCGCCGTGCCCGCGAGCGCCGCGAAGGACTTCAAGAGCTCGTAGTTGCACTGCGCCGCGTCCGGCGTCGGCTCGAGGTCGACGCCGTCGCGCGCGAGCGCGAGCGCCGCTTCGCTCGCGTAGGCGAGGCGCAGCGCGAGCGCCGCCGACGCCGCGAGGGCGAGGAAGACCAACAAGCCGACGCAGGCCGGGTGCACGGTCCGCGGCTTCTTGCGCAGGACGTAGATGAAGACTTTGTCGCCGCGCCGCTTCGACGCGCGCAGCGTCTCGCGCTCGAGCGCGCACCAGGGCTCCGCCGTGTCGTGGCCCTCGAAGTACTTCAGGCGCGTCTCCGGCTGGCCGAAGGACGCGACGAGCAGCACGCCGCCGGGCGCGAGCACGCGGAAGCACTCGGAGACGTAGCGCCGCCCGCGCCGCAGCGCGATCTTCTCGTCGTCGTGGCACGCCATCGCGTCGAGCGTGCCCTTGTCCACCACGACGTCGAAGAGCTCGTCCTCGTAGTCCATGTCCGTGCAGTCGCCCTGGTCCCACCTACGAAGCGTTCGGCTCGAGCGCGCTCCGACGACTCGTCCGGACGAAACGATAGAGATCGCGTCTCGAGCGCTCCAAGAAATACGACGTCGATTCGACCGAGAGCGTTCGCTTGTCGGCGCGGGTCCGCGCTCGACGCTCGGGTAGGCCGCCTCCATGCGGTCCACGACGGCGGCGCTGTAGTCGACGTTGACGCAGCGGTCGCAGTAGCCTGCGCGCGCGAGCTCGAAGCCCAGCGGCGAGTTGCCGCAGCCCGTGTGGAGCACGCTCCGCGCGCCGGGCCCGCCGACGTTCCGCTCGAAGACGGGCGCGAGCGCGTCCCAGTCGCAGAGCCAGTCGTAGTCCGTCGTCACGTCCTCGTCGTCGTAGCGCGCCTCCCAGTAGCGCCGCTCGCCGTAGGCCTTGGTCTTCTTCTTCGCCTTTGCCGCCACGTCCTCCTTCGTCGTCACGACCTCTTCCGCGACGCGGCCCGCGCTGCGCCGCCGCAGCTGCTGGCGCAGCTGGATCGGATCCATGGGCTTGTTCATTGCTTCGTTGGCTGCGTCGAACACTTCGTCGAACGCTGATTTCACGCGCTCAGCGAAGCCATTGCTTTGCTGCGAGCAAGCTTGAGATTCTCAACTTCGCGTCAACATAGGCCTCCCGCATGCCATTAGCCCCCGTCCCGCAGGTCCTGGAGCGCCTTGGCGACGGCGGGCGCGTCAAAGACCGCCGTCGCGGCGTGGACGTCGATCACCGTCGCCGTGCACGCCGCGGCGGCCGCGCTCTCGCGGAGGTCCGCTTTCGCGCCCGGGTGGACCCAGCCCTCGAGGACGATGCGGACCGTGTCGGTGCTGTTCGGCCGCTTGACCGTGCGGTTGAAGGTCTGGTCGAGGGTCTTGAGCTGCGCGTTGTCGAAGGCGCCGTCGCTGAGTACCGCGAAGGGCCGCGCGAGGCCCGTCTCCCGCGGGGGCGCTTTCGCGTCCGCGTCCCGGAGCATGAGCGCGCAGTTGAGCACGGCGCGGCAGGCCGTGGGCCCGCGGCCGGCGACGACCGTCGCCCGCGCTTGCGGCGCGAAGCGCCGGTCGCTTACGGCCGGGTTCGGCACGGACACGGCCTCGCGCGGCACCTCGCAGTCGTCGATGGCCTCGGCGACGGCGGCGCTCGCGGTGGCATCCGGCGAGTAGGCGAGCACGACCTGCTCCGCGTCCTCGTCGCGGGCCCAGACGATGGACAGCCCGTTGAACCGCGCGTAGACCTTGGACGCGCGCTCCGCGCGCCACCCCTCGTACGCGGAGATGACCGCGTCGCACCACTCGCCGTCGCCGGCGGCGACCGACGCCGCGAAGGCGCTCGCGCCGTACTCCCAGCGGAGCCGCGCGCGCCGCCAGCGGCCCGCGACGGACAGCGCGTCGGCGCCGGCCGCGGCGGCGAACGACGCGACGCCCGCGGACGTCTCGCCGGCGGTCGCGGCCTCGTTCCAGGGGAAGGACGGCGCCTCGAGGGTCACGCGCGTCGCCAGCGCGAAGCCCGCCGGGTCCGCGAGCGACGGGCCGCGGTGCACGGGCTCCTCCTCCTCCTCGGCCGCGTCGGCCGCCGGCGCCGGCGCGTCGGCCATCTCGACGTCCGCATCGTCGTCGTCGTCGCTGTCAGACGCCGGCACGTGCACGTAGGCGTCGAGCTCCGCGAGGAACGCCATCGTAGAGCCGCTGTGAGAACTGGGTTAGGGGTCTGGCAGCGATCCCATTCGATCGATCTCTCGAGCGTCAACTAAATTGGTTGGCCTTCAACGCAGCTTCAAGGCGGCGCCATCTTAGGCTGCCCGCTCGCAAACGATGAAGGCGCGCGGCCGGCAGAAGGAGACGCATCGCGCGAAGAAGGAGACGAAGGAAAAGGAGAAAGGCGGCCGCGGCTTCTCGATGCTCCCGCTCGTCGCCGCCGTCTTCCTCTTTGGCGTGGTGATTGGGACGACCATGGGGCACGACGCCGGCGCCGCCCCGGACGCGCCGCTGCGCCGATCGCTGCGCGGCGGCGCCGGCGCGGCCCCGCCGCCGATCGCAGCGGCGCCAGTCGCAGCGGCGCCGATCGCGGCGGCGCCGAACGCGGCGGCGCCGAAAGCCGCGGCGCCGATCGCGGCGGCGCCCGCTCCGCCGGCGGCGGCGCCGCTCGAAGCCCCGCGGGCCGCCCCGCCGCCGCCCGCGGCGTCTACGGACCGGTCGCGGCGCGTGAAGTCCCTGCGATCGCTCCGCGACGGCACGGCCTACGCGAGGGCGTCGGCGCCGCTCGACCGCGACAGCGTGTCCGGCGCCGCGTTCGTGTACGTCGACGGCGCCGACAAATCGGCGGACATCAAGACCGTCGTCAGCAACAAGGAGACGGGCTGCGACGTCGGCGACGCGCGCGACGGCTACGCGCTCGCCGTGAACAACTGGGAGACGCGCGACGGCCAGCTCACGCTCGAGTGGGGCGACGCCGCGACTGGCTGCCGCAAGCTCGCGTCGGGCCCGCGCGCCGTCGTCGCGCCGGACCGCTGGACCCACGTGGCCTTCGTGCTGTCGCCGACGACGGCGGCGCTCTTCGTCGACGGCGCCGAGGTCGCGCGGGAGCGCGTCGGCGACCGCCGGTCGCCGCAGCGGACGCAGCCGCTCCGCGTCGCGCAGTACGCGGACGCGTTCTACCCCTTCGTCGGCAACATCTCCGGGCTCGTCATCTTCGACGGCGCGCTGACGGCGTCGGACGTCCGGGCGCTCGCGGCCGCGTCGGCGCCCGGCGCCGCCGCGGCGCCGCCGCGGACCGGCCCGGCGGTCGCCGCGTCCTTCCCCCTCGCGGACTGGCCCGGCGCCAAGGGCGCGAACGTCGCCGGCGACGGGCGGGGCCTCGCCTACGCGCGGGCGTCGCCGGCGGCGCGCGCGGGCGCCGCGCGCGCGTCGCCCGGCGGGTCGTTCGCCGTCGGCTACGACGCCTGGGAGCCGACGCCCGAGAAGCTCGCCGCGAGCGACGCGACGGCGGCGGGGCGCGCGGCCAAGGTCCGCGACGCCATGCGCCACGCGTGGAAGGGCTACAAGGACCGGGCCTGGGGCCGCGACGAGCTCAAGCCCGTCTCGGGCCGGGGCCACGACAACTGGGGCGGCATGGGCGTCACGCTCGTCGACTCGCTGGACACGCTCTGGCTCATGGGCCTGCGCCAGGAGTTCGACGAGGCCAAGAAATGGGTCCGCGACTCGCTCCGCTTCGACCGCACGGGCGACGTCTCCGTCTTCGAGACGACGATCCGCGAGCTCGGGGGCCTGCTCGCGGCCTTCGACCTCAGCGGCGACAAGGTCTTCCTCGACAAGGCCCGCGACCTGGGCCAGCGCCTCGCGCACGCCTTCGACACGCCGACGGGCATCCCCAAGGGCTCGACGAGCCTCCGCGAGGGCCGCGCGAAGGACGTCGGCTGGACCGGCGGCAACGCGGTGCTCGCGGAGCTCGGGTCCGTCGAGCTCGAGTTCCGCTACCTCGGCTACAAGCTCGGCGACGCGTCCTTCTCCGACAAGGCCAACAGGGTCTTCGAGCAGTTCTCGACGATGAAGGGCACGCAGGGCCTCTTCCCCATCTACGTCGACCCGCGCAACGGCGGCCTCAAGTCGCGGAAGATCACCTTCGGCGCCCTCGGCGACTCCTACTACGAGTACCTGCTGAAGACCTGGCTCCAGGGCGGCCGCACGGAGACGAGGCTCCGGGAGATGTACGACGAGGCCATGGACGGCATGGTCGACCTGCTGCTGCAGCACTCCTCTCCCTCCAACCTCGCCTACGTCGCGGACATCGACGGGGGCACGGTGCACAAGATGGACCACCTCGTGTGCTTCCTGGGCGGCGTGCTGGCGCTGGGCGCGAAGACGGACCCGCGGGGCTTCGACTCGCCGCGCGCGCGGCGCGACCTGCACGTCGCCGAGGCGCTGACGCACACCTGCGTCCAAATGTACCTGCGCCAGCCGACGAAGCTCGCGCCGGAGTTCGTCACGTTCCGCCGGGGCGCCGACATGGTCGTCGCGCCGTCGGCGCCGTTCTACATCCTGCGGCCCGAGACCGCGGAGTCGCTCTTCGTGCTGCACGAGGTCACGAAGAATCCAGTGTATCGCGACTGGGGCTGGGAGATCTTCTCCGCCATCGAGGCGCGGTGCAGGACGGCCCACGGCTACGGCTCCGTCCCGGACGTCCGCAAGGTCACGAAGCCCGACGACCGCATGGAGTCCTTCTTCCTCGCGGAGACGCTCAAGTACCTCTACCTCCTCCAGGACCCGAACCACGCCGTCGACCTCGAAACGGCCGTCTTCAACACGGAGGCCCACCCCCTGCGCAACATCGGCCCGGGCAAGTTCACGTCGTCGAGGCTCACGACGGGCTAAGAGGCCTCGGTTGAAGTACAGATTGAAGCTCACTCAGCGACAACATGGTGCCCAAGTTCCTCCTCTTCTTCTGCGGCGCCGCCGCGGCCCTCGTCGCGCCGCATCCGAAGCGCGCGTGCGTCGCGGCGCGGCCGTCGGTCGCACTCCCCGACGCGGACGTCGCCGCCGTCCCCGGCGACGGCGAGGCCGACCGGCCGCCGGAGCTCGAGGCGTCGGGCCCGGCGCCGGCGACGCTCGCGACGCCGTTCCGCGCGGGCTTCGTCGGCGTCGTCGGGTCGCCGAACGTGGGCAAGTCGACGCTGACGAACGCGCTCCTCGGCCAGGACCTCTGCATCACCAACTCGAAGGCGCAGACGACGCGGCACCGGATTTTGGGAGTAGCGAACGGCGACGGCTACCAGCTCGTGCTCAGCGACACGCCGGGCATCCTCTGCGACCCGGCCTACGCGCTCCAGAGCACGATGATGACCGCGGCCAAGGCCGCGGCGCGCGACGCGGAGTGCGTCTTGTTCGTGACGGACGTCTTCGAGGACCCGGAGGTCGTTGCCGAGTCCGCGGCGTGGCTCGACGCGCAGCTGGCGAGCCGCGCCGGCGACGAGCCGAAGCCGCCCGTGGTCGTGGCGCTGAACAAGGTCGACCTGCTCGGCGTCGACGACGACGGCTACCCGCTGCTCGGCGAGGCCGCGAGCCGGCGCGTCGGCTCGCTCGACGACGCGGTCGCGCGCGCGCGCGCGGCCGTGCCGGGGGCGGCGGCGGTGGTGCCGCTGAGCGCCGCCACGGGCGCCGGGGTCGACGAGCTGGCGCGCGCGCTGGCGTCGGAGCTCCCCGAGAGCGCCGCGCTCTTCGACGACGAATACTTCACGGACCGGCCCTCCCGGTTCTTCGCGGCGGAGATCATCCGGGAGAAGATCCTCGCCCAGTTCGCCAAGGAGATTCCGTATTCGTGCGAGGTGCGCATCGACCGCTTCAAGGAGGACCTGGAGCTCAAGGGCAGGCCGTTCGTGAACATCGACGCGGCGGTCCTCGTCGCGCGCGACTCGCAGAAGGGCATCCTCGTGGGCAAGCGCGGCGCGGCCATCAAGGCCATCGGCGTGGCCGCCCGGGAGCACCTCGAGACGTTCTTCGACGCCAAGGTCCACCTCGCGCTGCGCGTCAAGGTCTCGAAGGACTGGCGCGCGGACGAGGGGAAGCTCAAGGCCATGGGGTACCCCGTGGCGGGGCGGTAGTATAAGTGCGTCGCTGCGCCCGGCTCGATATCACTCAATTACAATAGTCGACGACGCGACGTGTCACCGGCGCTCTGAGAGCGGAGGAGGGGAGCGCGTCCGGCCGCGGCCGCGAGCCTAGCCCGTGTTGTGCCGCCGCGGGCCGGCGCCCGGGCCGAGGCGGAACGTCGGCGGGCAGGAGCCCGGGTCGCGCGGCTGCATCGACGGCGACCCGTCGGGCGTGAGCCCCCGCGTCGGCTCCGTCGCCGGCGAGACGCCGCCCGCCGTCGACTCGGACCCGTAGCCGTCGGGCGCGCGGCCGTAGCCGTCCATGGACTGGCGCTGGCCCGGCAACGACGGCTGGAACATGCTGCTGCGCAGGAGCGGCTGGCCGAAGCGGTCCAGCGGCCGCGGCTCGCGCGCGATCGTGTAGATCGGGCGGTTCGTCTGATAGGGCGTCGCGCCCAGCGACTGCGCCGGCGACGAGTAGGCGCTCGGCGGCGGCGCGGGCGGCGCTAGTCTCGGCGCGAAGACGGTGTCAGGCGATTGCTGCTGCTGATTCTCGTGTTTTTCGCGGTTGCCGCTCGATTGCCCTTGATCGGCGAAGAACGACATCGTTTCGAGCCGGGAGTTTTTGTGCGCGTGCTCGAGGGAGGTGTGTCCGGCCGTCGGGAGCGCTTTCCAGGAGTACAGTCGAGAAGTAAGCCTCTCAACAGAGGCGCAAAAACAGCAGTATTTGTTCTCGTCACCCCAATCGAGCTCGATTGCATTTGGCTTGAGGTTCGCCGACCCCTGGCGAAATCCTGACGCAGCCCAAATAATACCCCCCTTCGTCGATTGCAGACTGATTGCACTTGATCGCGGGTTCTCTACGACGACCGGCGCCGCCGCGCTCCGGATCGCCGGGATCGTGTCCGAGCGCGTAGGAGCGCTCGGGTTCGCGTAAGGTCGCCCGAGATCGCTCGGGATCGCTCGGGATCGCTCGAGATCGCTCGGGCCCCGGGATCGCGCCGGATCGCCGCCGGGATCCCGGCGGCGCCGGCCCTTCTACGCAGGCTCCAAACCACAACTACGCCGCCTGAATTTAGCTAGGGCGGACGCGCATCCCACAGGTCTTCACCACACCATCATCGCCGGCTTGCTCCGGCCCTTGGAGTCGCCGACGCCGAGGCAGAGGCCGCCGTCGCCGTCGCCCCAGGCGAAGTACGTGTCGTCGAAGGTCTTGACGAGCGTGTGGAGCGCGGACGTCGCGAGCTCGGCGACGGGCGCGTGGAACGTGTGGGTCACGACGGCGCTCTTGGGCCGCGGGCCGGCCGCGCTCGGCGCGCCGGACGTCGACGACGACCGCGCGCGGCCGATGCCCGCGGTCGCCGTCGGCGACGCCGCGCCGGACCCGGACCGCGGGCGGCCGATGCCCGCGAGGGAGCTCCGGGCCTTGGGCGACGTCGCCGCGGGCTCGCCCGACGACGAGAGCGCGCCCGGCGGCCCGAGGACGTAGACCACCCCGTCGGCGTCGAGGCACGCGGTCTCGCGCTCCGACGCGCAGACGGCGACGACGCGCACGTCGGCGAGCGCCGCGACGCGGCGGGGCGCGTGCTCGCTGTCCGGCGCCGCGCCCGACGAGTGCGCGAGGACCTCGCCGAGCGCGCGCGCGGACTCCCACGACGGCATCGACGACAGGCCGCCCTCCTTCTTGCCCGCCTTGGTCGACTTGGGCTTGGGGCCCCGGTGGCCCAGCGCCCCCTTGGACCCGTCGCCCCAGGTGTAGAGCGCGCCGGCGTCGTCCACGGCCGCGCCGTGCGCCGCGCCCGCCGCCGCGGCGCGGCAGAACGCGTCCAGGGGCACCTTCTCCGGCAGCGACGCGTTGAGGCAGTGGCCGAGGCCGAGCCGCCCGTCGGCTCCTAAACCGAAGGCGTACAGGCTCCCGTCGTCGACGACGACGAAGCTGTGGAAGCCGCCCGCGGCCGCGTCGACGCATTTTCGCGCGCGGAGCGGCAGCACGCGCTTGGGCGTCGGGCTCGGCCGCGTGCCGCCGTGGCCGAGCTGGCCGTGGGCGTTGCGGCCCCAGGACCAGACGCCGCCCGCGTCGTCGACGGCGACGCTGTGCGCGCCGCCCGCGGAGCACCGCGCGCACCGCGCGGGCCGCCCGGCGCCGTTGCCCGCCGCGGCCACGGCCTCCCGCAAGACGACGCGCGTCGGCGTCGCGACGACCGTGAGCTCGAGGTTGCCCAGGCCCAGCTGGTGGTCGCTCGCCTTGCCCCAGGCCCAGAGGCCGCCGTCCGCCGTGACCGCCAAGGAATGGTGCCCGCCCGCGGACACGGAGACGACGTCGCGGAGCGCGACGATGGGCCGCGGCACGCTCACGTCGTAGGCCGCGGCCCCTAAACCCAGCTGGCCGCAGGTGCCCCGGCCGCACGCGGACACGACGCCGCCCGTATCGCCGCCGTCGCCGTCGTCGTCGTCGCCGCGCGAGACCGCGCGCGCGCGGAGGATGAGGCTGTGGGCGCCGCCGGCCCCGAGGGAGCTGCCGGCGCCGGTGGCGTGGTAGCGCCGCGCCGCGAGGAGCGCGCGCCAGGCCGGCTCGCAGAACGCGGCGCTGACGACGCAGCGTTTCGGGGCCGGCGCGGACGCGTACGGCCGGAGCAGGAGCCGCGCGGTCTCCTCGACGGGCAGCGCGAAGGCGCGGTGGGCGAGGACCGTCGCGCCCATGGCGCCGGCGGAGCAGAAGGCGAGCGTCGCGCGGACCTCGTCGAGGCTCAGGCGCTCGAAGAGCGCGGCGCCCGCCATCTTCGGGCCGTCGTCGCTCGCGGGCCGCGGCGGCACGTAGGCGCAGGCCGCGAAGGTCCGCGGCGCGGCCGGCTCCGCGAGCAGCCGCGTCAGCGGCGTCACGGCGGATTGCGTCAGCACGCCGTTCGTCGCCGCCGCGCGGATCGTCCGCGGTTTCAAGGTCACCAGCTCCTTCTCGCGGTACTCGCGCTTCGCCGCGGCGAGCGTCGCCTTGGCGAGCAGCAGGCCGGGCTCCGCGTCGCCGTCGCGGAAGGCAGTCATTTTCTAGAAGCGGCGCGTCTGCTGGGTGCCAGGACGCTCGTGCCAGCAAGCTTGTGGGCCAGCACGCTCCGAGCAGCAGCCGATCGAGAACAGAGATCTTGGGACCAAGAATCGTCAAGTTGAGGCAAATGTTGCACTTTCAAGTTACCTGGGCTTCGTCTTCATCAGCAGGATCTTCGCGCCGGGCTTGAGGGCCGTGTCCCCCAGCTTCTTGGCGTCGTCGCGCGCGAGGTCGCCCTTGAAGATGAGCTTCATCGCCGCGGGCTCGACGCCCGTCGCCGCGGCGGCCGCGGCCTTGAGCTCCGCGACGGTCGACGCGGGCGTCAGGTGCGCGATGGTGTGGTCCCGCTTGTCGTACTTGACGACGAGGTCGTAGGCGCCCGCGGGCGGCGGCGGCGGCGACGGCGACGGCGACGACGGCGAAGCCGCCGTCGGCGCCGCGGCCTCCGCCACCCCCGAAGCCTCCGCCACCCCCTCCGCCGCCCCTTCCGGCGACGGCGCGGCCGCCGCGCCGCCGCCGCCGCGCACGAAGGACACGCAGGAGAAGGACGGCAGCGCGCCGTCGAGCGCGAACAACGTGTCCGTCGCGCGGAACGTCGCGCCGTCGGCGGCGCGCGCGAGGGCCGCCGCCGCCGGCGAGACGCGCAGCAGCGCCGCGACGGCCTCCGTCGCGCGGCCGAGCGTGTCCTGGCGCGAGAAGAAGCAGTAGAGCGCCGGCGACGCGGCGCCCCGGTCGACGACGAGGTAGTGCCGGTCCTCCTCGCGGAGGCCGTCGCGGCCGACGGCGTGGCGCTTGGCCATCATGCGCCAGAGCGTCGCCGCCGTCTTCGGGTCGCGCGCGCCGGCGGCCTTGCGCCGCGCGGCGTCGGTCTTCCGCGCCTTGGCGTCGCGCGCCGCGTCCGCCGAGGTGTCGGCCGCGGAGGTCCGCACGCGCGCGCGCGTCGTCCCCGCGTCGAGCGCCGGCGCGGCGTCGTGGCGCGTCGCCACGGCCGCGAAGAGCGACGACGGCGGCGCCTTGGCCGGGGCCGCGCCGGGCGCGGAGGCCGCGGCGGCGGCGGCGGCGGCGGCGGCCTCGACGACGAGCACGCCCGACGGGAACCAGCCGAGCGTCTGGAGCGTCGACGCCGCGTCGGCGACGCGCAGCGCCTTCGGCGGGCCGCAGGACGACCCGTCGAGCGGCACGGGCCCGCCGGCGGCCCACGACGTCGCCGTCGCGACGGGCGCCTCGATGCCCTCGCCGGGCAAAAGCGCCAGGAGCTCCGCGAGCGTCGTCGCCGGGTCGAGCGTGAGCAGCGCGCGGCGCTCGTCGGCGACGCGCACGGCGATCGTGCAGAGCGACGCGGGCGCCGACGCGCGGTCGTCGTCCATCGCCGCCGCGTCGACGGCGCTGGCGGCCGCCAGCGCGACTCGACTCGCAAACGATGGGGGCTGTGATTTGTGGCAATTCCTAGAGCTAATTTTAGCGCCGCGATGAGCGCACTCGCGGAAAGCGATTCTCCGCCTGCTCAGTCATCAGCACCACCGCCCGCTCAGTCGTCGGCAGCAGCACCACCACCTGCTCAGTCGTCGGCACCACCACCGCCGCCGCCGCCGCCGCTCTCCGACGCCGCCGCCGCCGTGCTGCGGCTCCAGGAGACCGAGCGGTCCGCGAAGCGCCAGCGCAACGGCGACGGCACCTACGCCAAGCTCTGGCTCGAGCTCTTCTTGAACGTCGACGTCGAGGAGTGCCTCCGCGTGCGCTGCGCCGTCGCCTCGAACCTGTGCTTCCGCGCGCGCGACGGCGCGCACCTCGACGTCCAGTTCGTGCGGCGCCACCTGTCGCCCGCGGACGACGCGCGGCTCCTCGCGCGGCTCGCGACAGCAGCACGACACGCGCCGCAAACGAGCGGCTTCCGCGTCGCGTCGGACCTCGACGACACGATCGTGCCGGGCGGCTACGGCGCGCTCGGCGTCGCGGGCTGCGACACGACGGCCCCTCGCGGCTCGTTCTATGCGGGCTGCGCGGCTCTGCACGGCGAGCTACGGCCCGGGGGCTACAGCACGCTGCTCACGGCGCGGCCGCCGCGGCTCGTGCGCGCGCTCGTCGCGAGCGACCGCGGCGCGGAGCTTTTGCGAGCGCTCGGCCCGCGCCTCGGCCTGTCGCCGGGCGCGTCGCGGACCTCGGAGGTCGGCGCAAACCTGAAAAATATCCTGGCGGCGCGCGTCGGCGAGCGCGCGCGAAGGTTCGAGAATCTCGCGGCCTACGACGCGCACGCGCGGCGGCGCTACGGCGGGCTCGCGGACCACAAGGTCCGCGAGTTCGCCGACTGGGCCGCGGCGTACCCGGACGGCGACGGCCGCTTCGTCTTCGTCGGCGACGACCACCAGGGCGACTACCTCGTCGCCCGGCGGCTCCTCCGGCTCGCGTGCGCGGCGCCCGACGGCGCGGAGGGCGCGACGCGGCCGCTTTTAGCGTTCGCGGCCATCAAGCACGCGCGGCGCCGCGGCGAGCCCCCGGACCGCGACGCGCTGCCGCCGGCGGTCCTCGCGGAGATGGTCGACGAGACGCGCGGCGCCGCGGGCGGCGACGCGCGCTTCTTCGTCTTCGACAGCTACCACGACCTCGCCGCGCAGCTCCACGCCGCGGGCTGGCTCGACAGAGACGCGAAGAACAGGGTGGTGGAGGCCTCGGCCCAGGAGCAGCAGGCCAACGACTTCTTCGGGTAAGCTTTTTTGCGAAGCCCGCGCCGCAGGCGCCAGGCCAGATCTTCTGGCCGAAGGGCGTAGCTTTTGTCCGAAGGTTGCGAGACAGCCATACGATGCGCTCCGCTCGATTTGTGTCCCACATCAGTGCGCAAAATCTAGAGCCTCTCACGCGGCGAGCCCGGGCTCGCCAGAGAGCCCCTACGGAGAGGATCAGGCGGAAAATACGCTTTTCCCGGAACGACGTCGTAACGGCGAACGCGGCGGGCGGTTTCGCGTCGAAAGCGCTCATTCGAGCCCGAGGGGAGGTCTGCGGGCCCCGAGGAGCGATCGAAGCGTATGTACACGCTCGGGGGGGGTCGGGGAAGGGGTGCGCGCAGGCGGAGACGTCGCGCGCGCCCACCTACCCCGCTTGCGGCCGACCGAATGTCGGGGGGAACGCGTCCGGCGGCCGCCGCGCGCGTCCCATGGCTCGGTGACGCGCTCGCAGCGCTTGCAAACGCTCGGGGGGCTCGGGGAAGGAGTGCACGCCGGCTGAGACGTCGCGCGCGCCCACCTCCCCCGCGCGCGGCCGACCGACATTTGGGGGGGAACCCGTCCGGCCGCCGCCGCGCGCATCCCAGCCCCCGCGCAGCGCTCGCAGCGCGCCCAAACGCTCAACGGGGTCGGGGAAGGGGTGCGCGCCGGCGGCGACGTCGTGCGCGTGCAGCTTCCCCGCGCGCGGCCGACCGACATTCGCGCGGGGGGAACGCGTCGGCCGCCGCCGCACGCGTTCCAGGCCCCCGTGCAGCGCTCGCAGCGCTCCCACGCGCTCGGGAGGGTCGGGGAATGAGTGCTCGCCGGCGGCCACGTCTTGCTCGACATCTCTCTCGCGCTCGCGGCCGAGCGTCTGTCGGGGCGAACGAAGCGCTCCCGATCGCCGCCGCCGCCGCCGCGGACACCTTCGCGGGTCTGCGGCGCCGCGCGCTCCGGGGCATGCGCGCGAGAGAGCATGAGTCGCGCGTCGGACGCTGCGACGTTCTTGAAACTGACTCCGCGCGAACGTTCGCGCCCTTTCGGGCCGTTTGGTGCTCGCGCGTACAATAACATGAGTAGTGGAGCTCTGCACTCGTATACTGACGCAGGGCTTACACCGCCCCCCCCGCGCTGAGACGCGAAACCGCCCGCCGCGTTCGCCGTTACGACGTCGTTCCGGGAAAAGCGTATTTTCCCCCGATCCTCTCCGTAGGGGCTCTCTGGCGAGCCCGGGCTCGCCGCGTGAGAGGCTCTAGATTTTGCGCACTGATGTGGGACACAAATCGAGCGGAGCGCATCGTATGGCTGTCTCGCAACCTTCGGACAAAAGCTACGCCCTTCGGCCAGAAGATCTGGCCTGGCGCCTGCGGCGCAAAAACCGCCGCGAAGCGGCGGCTCACGGCGCCGCAGGCCGATGGACTACAGGTTCGCCCGGCCCAGGCGAGTCGCCGCGGCTGGCGGAACACCCCTCCCCCGCGGCGCTGCGGCGCGCCGGCGCGCCGGCACGGCGAGACGGACCGTGGTGATCGAAGGGCATGGCGGACTAGAGGTGGGCAAATCTCCCGCGAGCCGCAGTGTACGGACGACGCGGCGGCGACGGCAACGGACGGCCCGGGCGGGAGGCGGACTGTCGTGAACGAAGGGTAGCACCGCGCCGTTGCCGGGGGCCCCAAGGTTGCGAAACCTCGCCCAGCGCCCGACGGACAGTCGTAAATTTGCCCGAGGGCACGCCTGCGGCGCGGGCTTCGCAAAACTTGGGGACCCCCCACTATTATTTGGAAGTTTTTTTGGGCACGCTTCAACTCCCCTTGTTGAACAATTCAGCCGCGGGCAGCCCGCGCAGCGCTATGGTCAAGCTCACGGTTCGCTGCGCGTCGCAACCGGCGGTCGCCGCTCCTCGGCGCGTCGCGCCGACGACGCTGTCGCCCGCCGAGCGGCTCGCGGCCGGCGAGCGGCTCAAGAAGAGCGGCAACGACGCCTACGGCCGCGGCGACGCCGCCGGCGCCGTGGAGCGCTGGGTCGAGGCCGTGGACGCGCTCCGGGGCGCCGGCGGCGCCGCGCGGCTGCTCGGCGAGCCCGCGGCGGCGGCCGTCGCCGTCGCGTGCCTGAGCAACTGCGCGCGCGCGCGGCTCGAGCTCGGCGGCGCCGCGGGCGACGGCGACGGCGCGGCCGCGGCCGCGCTCGAGGACGCGAACGGCGCGCTGGCCCTCGACGGCGACAACGTCAAGGCGCGCTTCCAGCGCGCGCGGGCCCTCGCGCGCCTCGGGCGCGTCGACGACGCCGCCGACGCCGTCGCGTGGCTCGAGGGCCGCGAGCCGGCCAACGCGGCCGTCCGCGCGCTCGCCGCCAGGGTCGCGACCGCCCAGGCCGTCGTCGCCGCGGCCACGGGCGCCGCGCTCGCGCCGGCGAAGCCGAGCGCCGAGGACGCGGCGGCGGCGAAGGCCGACGCGGACGCGGCCTTCCGCGCGGACTTTCGCGCGGAGGCGAAGCGGGCCATGGCCGACGCGGAAGCCGCGTGCGCGAAGCAGAACGCCAAGATCTGCGGCACGTCCGCGTCCGCGGCGCTGCGCGGCGACGGCGCCGGCGACGGCGCCGGCGACGCCAAGCTCCTCGAGGAGCTCGCGGGCGTCGAGCGGGAGGCGAACGCGCTCCTCGACGACGCCGCGGGCGTCGCGCCGCGGAGCGCCTCGGCCGCCGTCGCCGGGGCCCCCGTCGAGGTCGTCGAGCCGAGCCCCTTCAAGGTCGACGTGCCCAAGACGGCGCGTGCGACCACCACCAGGGCCGCCGACAACAACACGGCCGGCGCCGCCGAGGCCGCCGACAACAACACGGCCGGCGCCGCCGAGGCCGCCGACAACAACACGGCCGGCGCCGCCAAGACCGCCTCCGGAAGCGCCGGGGCCGCCGGTCCCCGTCCCGCCGCCGGGACCGCCCTGGCCGCCGCGGCGAGCCCGTTCAACGTCGACCTGCCGCGGCGGCGGGCCGTCGCGGCGCCGCTGGACCCCGCGGCCGAGGAGCTGCGGCGGCTCCGGGCCCGCGCGGGCGACGTCCGCGCGGCCGCGCGGCCCGCGGCCGCCGCGGGCCCGTCCGTGTCGGAGATCCTCGCCGCGAAGCGCGCCGCGAGACGCGCGGCGAAACCCGCCGCCGCCCCGGCGCCGGGCGCCGCGCTCGACGCCGCCTGGGCGGCCATGGCCGACGGCGAGTCCGCGGACGTCGCGGCCGCGGCCGCGCGGCGGCCCGCGGCGGCCGCGGCCGCGCCGCGGGACCGCGTGGACCGCGGGCCGAGCGGCGTCGCGCCCTGCGAGCCCGGGCCGATCGTCGCCGAGGTCTGGGCGGACCTCGCCGCCGACGAGCGGGGCAAGGCGAGCGTCGTCGACGCGCGGCGCGCGGCCGCGGCGGACGTCGCGCCCGACCGCGCGCGGCGCAAGGCGCGGAAGCACGCCAAGGCCGTCGCCCGGGCCGCCGCCGCGCCGAAGATCGGCGCGAGCCCCCTCGCGGAGCTCGAGCGCGGCCACGAGGCGCAGCTCGCGGCCTACCGGGAGCGCGAGGCGAAGATCCGCGGCGCCGCGGCAAGCGACGGAGGTTAGTAGAAGGCGGCGTCGAGGGGCGCGTGCGTCGTCTCGCGGCGGCCCGCGTTGACGCCCGGGTCCACGGTGACGCGCTGGCCCTTGGGCACGGGCTGGGCCGCGGACCGCCGCGCGCGGTCGGGCTCGGGCTTCGGCTCGGGCTCCGCGGGCTCCAGGGGCGTCACGGGCGTGTACTCCGCCGGCGCGACGCGCGCCGCGTCCTTGCCGTCGTCGGCGACCTTGGCGTCCTCGGCGTCACCGGCCGGCTCCGCGGCGCGCGCGGACGCGCGGCGCGCGTCCGACGCCTTCTTGCGCCCCGTCTGCCGGCGGTGGCCGCCGTTCGCCGCGGGCCGCCGGGCCCGGCCGTCGGCGCCCGCCGCGGTGTCGCCGTCTTCGTCGCCGACGTACTCGGCGTCGACGATGTCCGCGCGCGCGGTCGCGACGGCGTCGACGACGACGCCGAGGAGCACGTTGAGCACGAGGAAGGTCATGACGACCTCGAAGCTATAGAAGAAGGCCATCTCGAGCCAGAGCGGCGCGCAGTCGACGAGATCGTCCGTGTCCTCGCCCTCGGAGAACGAGTGGATCGTCGTCTCGTAGCGGACCGCGTACTCGTCGTCGCCCGACGACGCGCTGTAGCCCCAGGGGATGCCCTCGCAGGTGTGCGTGAGCCGCTTCGCCATCTCGCCGCCCGCGCTGTCCGTGAGGAAGGACCACATGGTGAAGAAGCTCTCCGCGAACGTGCCGAAATACGCGGGGTGGTCGCGCTCGAACCTGGGCAGCAAAAGAGTGATTCAAGTTCGCTTCAACGTGAGTGTTCCGCGCGCGCGCGTTCCGGAAAAATCGTCCACGCTTCGAGGCCGTTCCAAGAGATGATCGCTCGTCCAAATATCAGCCGAAACGAGTGGGAAACGGCCGAGATAGGAGCCTCCAAAGTTGGGAATTTCGCACCCTTTTGCTGCCCTGGCTCGAACGCGATGAAGCCGATCGCGGACCAGAGCCAGAGACCCAGCGCGAGCACGAGGCCCGGGTAGAGGATGACCGGCAGCGCGCGCGCGATGGGCACGATCTGCTTCTGCATGACCCGGAGCCGGAACACCGACAGCCCCGTGAACGTGTCGAGGAGCAGCGTCGCCGTCTTCGTCGTCTCGTCGCGGTCGACGCTCACGCCGTGGCCCGTCACGCGCGCCTCGGCGTACAACAGCCCCCAGTACGCCGCGGCCCAGGGGCAGACCACGAGGCACCAGACGCGGTCCGCGGCCGTGTTCCGCAGGACGAGCCGCGCGACGATCTCGAGCGAGAAGACGGCGTTCGCGCCCCAGTCGACGCGCCGCAGGTACCACGTCGCCGCCGTGCCGTCCGGGTAGTAGGACGCCGTCAGCGACGCGAGCTTGCCGACCGTCGCGAGGCCCATGACGACCTCGACGGCCGCGCGGTGCCGCCGCCACGCGCCGGTCCACCGCGCGACGAAGCGCCGGCGCTTGCGCAGGGCCTTGCGCAGCTCCGGCGACTCGTCGAGGAGCGCGCTCGCCGCCGCCGCCGCGGCGGCCGTCGCCTGCTCGACGGCGTCCATGCCGGGCACGCCGGACTTGCGCGGGCCGCGCGGGCCGCCGCCGCGTTGCGCGGCCTCGGCGCGCGCGGCCGCGTCGCCGAGGCGCAGCGCGAACTTGCGCAGGGCCGGGACGAGCGCCGCGCCGCCGCCGCCGGCGCAGCGGGCCTCGGCCAAACGCACGGCGGACTCGAGGACGCCCACGGCGAGGGCCTCGGCGTCGCCGTCGACGTGGGCGTGGTGCACGCCCTCCATGCTTTTGCTGCGGGGGCTCAGGCAGCCGTCATGCTTTGCTGCGGGGCGCGGCGAAACCCTCCTGGCATGTAGCTCCCGCTTTGATGCGCCACCATTCTCGAGCGTTTCGTCCGGGGCAGCCAAGACAATAGTGAACGCATGATGTAAGGTAAAAAGGCGATCGAGCAGCTAGGCTGCTCGCAACCCGGGCCTCGGCGTCTGGCGAGGCTCTTGAGGCAAAAGCTTATGGTTCTGCGCGTATCGAGTGTGCGCGCGCAACGCGTGGCGCACGCCGACGGCCGGAGACGATTGCAGCAGCATCGCTACGACGTGCGCGACGCGCGACGCGATTGGGGCGACCCCGTTCGACCAGGGGGCGGCGCGCGACGACTTGCAGGACGGCGACGCCATGAAGAGCACGCCGTCGAGCGCTGGCGCCGCGACCGCCGCGCGGCACCGCTTCGACACCTTCTCCAGCGTCCGCGGGACCGAGATGCCCCCCGCTCGGGGACACGGGGCGCCCCCGCGAGCGCCACTTCATTTTTTGGCAAAGAAACGAATGCTCGCACCCACATGACCTGGAAACGAATGCTCGCACCGAGAGAGGTCCCGCGCGCGCTGCGATCCAGGCGCGCAGGCCGCGCCGGCTCGAGCCATCGTGCTCGCCGGTGCGCCGGTTCGCGCACCTTGGCCTCTGGTCGAGTGCTGCGCATGCGCGCACTGCATGGCGATGCAGTGCGCATGCGCGCGGTCAGCGGACGCGCAAGCGATGCCTCGCCTGGCTCAACGGTACACGCCCCGAGGAGGCTCTCCTCTGCGTTTTCCCTCGTGAGAGGTCTTTTCCGCGCGGTTTCTCGAAAAAGAGTTTCCGCAAATCTACGCGCGTCGTCACTCCACGACGCGCAAGCTCACGTCGCCTGCCCTGAGGTTGGCCTTCGGGTCTGGGCAGAGTGCGCGACGTCCCGAGAGGCTCCGGGCGTTGGGCTCCCCGCCGGACTGGGGTCAGCAGCCCCGCCTGCTGCCCTGGCCGCGAAACCCCGTTCGGTCGACCGAGCGGGGGGACGCGGCAGGTCCGGAGGCTTACCCGGCGTCAGACGGCCACGAGGCAGCGAGAGCGCTGGACCAGCGCGCTCTTTGGGGTTCCTCACCCCGGACGCGACGCGCCTAGGCGCTCCTCCCAGCGAGAGTCCGGTTCCCCCGTGGGTCTCGGCTAGGCCCGGGCTAGCAGTAAGCCGAGGGGGTTGACCGCCGGTATGCCTGGTAGTGCCGTACCCAGAAGATCCATACGGAACCTCATACAGGAACTGAACTGTGCCATCTCAGGTAAAGACGAACCCCTGAAGGCAACGAGCATTTTGTGCGACAACCTTGGAACAGTTCACACCTCTTCCAACCCTGTCTCTTCAGGCAGGTCAAAACACATTGATATGCGGTACTTAAAGATAAGAGAGTACCAGTCTTCCTCTCAACTCGAGGTAAGACACATCGAGGGCACCAACAATGTAGCCGACATGTTTACGAAGCCCCTGGTAAGGGACCCTTTTGTGAAATACTGTCGTGCTAGGTAGCACACTGAGCTTCCCCTCTCACCCACTGTGCCTATCCTGCTACTACGGACTGTACCTTAACGTCAAGTTGATGTACAGGACTTAGTTTCTTTACATGCGGCTGCTATGCTGGTGGTATGCGCCTGCTATGCGCCTGCTATGCGTCTGCTATGCGCCTGCTATGCGCCTGCTATGCGTCTGCTATGCGCCCGCTATGCGTCTGCTATGCGGCTGCTATGCGGCTGCTATGCTGGTGTATGCCGTGGCTGGTGTATGCCTGGTGGTCGGCCCCCTCTGGCAGTAAGCGACTCCAGGCCAGGGCCTACCGGCGGCTCGTCGGCAACGTCGGTTTGGCCGCGCGCGCGGACGGCATCTTCGACGGCCTGCCGAAGCGGCCAACAACGTTGGTCGGCAGCAGCAAGCGCAGCGCAAAAGCGCCGGCGCGCCCGGGCGCAGCCTCCGCGATATGGCCGCCGTGCAGGCGGCCGTGGAGAAGTTCGCGAAGGCGACCGTCGGCGAGCCGTCGGAGTTCGACTGCGACGTCGTCGTCGTCGGCGGCGGCTGCGCGGGCCTCGCCGCGGCGCGGTTCCTCATGGCCAAGGGCTGGTCCTGCGTCGTCGTCGAGGCGTCGGACCGGCTCGGCGGGCGCGTGCGCGAGGCGGCGGTGCGCTGCGGCGAGGACGAGGTGCGCGTCGCCGCGGGCGCCGAGTTCGTGCACGGCGGCGACGGGAACTTCCTGCTGCCGCTCCTCAAGGACGCGGGCGTCGCATTGGAGGAGGCGAGCTGGCCCGACAGCTACTGGCTCGGCGGGGCCGGCGCGCTCGTCGCCGCGGCCGCCGCGGACCGGCGGCCCGGCCTCAAAAAGGTCCACGGCGCGTTCGAGGACGTCGTCGCGGCGCACGCGCCCGGCGAGTCGCTCCTCCAGTACTGGGTGCGGGCCGGCGTCGGGAGCGCCGATCTGGGTTTGGCCGAGGCCGTCTACGCGAACGACTACGGCGGCGCCGCGTCGGGCCTCGGCGCGGCCGAGGTCGCGTGGGAGCAGCGGCACTGGACGCACGGCGAGGCCTACCTGCTGCTGGAGACGGGGGCGACGCTGTCGCGGGCCGTCGGCGAGCTCGCGACGGGCGTCGACGCAAAGCTCGGCTGGGCCGTCGCGTCCGTGTACCGCGACGACCGGGGCGTGACCGCGCGGCGGACGGACGGCGTCATGCTCCGCGCGCGCGCGTGCGTCGTCGCGGCGCCCGTCGCGGCGCTCCGCCCGCGGGGCGGCGACCCGGGCGTGGCCTTCGTGCCGCCCCTGCCGCCGGACCTGGCCCGCGCCATCGACGCGTTGCCCGTCGCGAACGCCGTAAAAGCCGTCGTCGTGCTGGACCGGGCCGTCTGGGCCGACGAAAATTGGTGGAACTGCGTCTGCGGCGACGCGCTCTACCCCGAGTTCTGGCGCTCCGGCGGGCCCCGGGGCCCCCGGGGCCTCTACGTGCTCGTGGGCTTCGCGACGGGCGACCGCGCGGACGACGTCGCCGCGCTCGGCGAGGCCGAGGCGACGCGCCGGTTCCTGCGCCAGCTCGACGACGTCTTCGGCGCGGCGGACGACCCGCACCCGGCGACGAACGCCTGCGTCGGGTCCGCGCTCTTCGACTGGGCCTCGGAGGCGCACGCGCGCGGCGGCTACACGTACCCGTCGCCGGGGTGTTTGCCGCTCCGCGCGCCGTTCCGCGAGCCCGTCGACGGGCGCCTCTTCTTCGCCGGCGAGCACGCCACGGAGGGCATCAACCCCTGCGTCCAGGGCGCCGTCGACAGCGGCTTCCGCGCGGGCAAGCTCGCGCACGCGTCGCTCCGCGGCGGCGCGCCGGCGGCCGCGGCCGCGGCGGCCGCCGCGCGGCCGCGGCCCGCGCGCGCGACGCGCCGGGTGCGCGGGCCCCGCGTCAAGTGCGACCTCAACGGCTGGCGCGAGGAGGCGCCGCGGAAGCCCCGCAACGGCTTCGACGCGGCCGTGACGGCGCTGCCCCAGTTCGACGTCGCCATCGGCGACTCGACGCCGCTCCGCCACTCGAAAACGTCCGCGAAATTCCCCTGGAACGCCGACGGCGCGGGGTCGCCGAGCCCCCGCGCGCCGGGCACGACGGCCTGGGGGCCCCACGTCGACCACCCCCGCGAGCGCGAGACCATGGCGCCGGGCCGGTCGCCGCCGCGGCCGCCCTGGCACGAGGCCACGCCCGTGAGCCCGGGCCTCCGCCTCCCGCGCGGCCTCGCCGAGGACGACCTCCCCGCGTTCTACCACTAATGTTTAGCCGGGGTCGAAGCCGAAGTTCTCGATGAACGCCTCGCGCTCGCGCGGCTCGTCCGCGTCGCCGTACCAGTTCCACAGCTCCGACCCGGCGGGCGTCGCGGCGTCCGGCGCGTCCACGACGACGGCGCCGCCGTCGACGCGCCACGCCACGCACGCGTCGGCGGCGCCGGGAGTGGGGTGGTTGAACAAATCGAGGAACGGCACGAGCGCCGGGCCCCGCTCCCCGAGGTCGAACGCGCGGCTCCTCGCGAGCCGCACCGCGCCCCAGGCCCGCGCCTCCGACGCGTCCGCCAGCTCCGCGCACCTTCGGGTCTCCGCGAGCCACCGCTCCGGGATGTCGTCGGCGTCGTCGAACCACGGCAGCGACCGCGCGTACGCGGCGAGCGGCTCGTCGGCGGACGCGTGGCGCAGGCGCGCGAGGAGCGCTCGCGTGGCGTCGCGCCGCGCCGCGTAGCCGTCCGCGCGCCGCCGCTTGCCCTTCGCCAGGAGCTTCGCGCGACGCGCCGCGACGCGCGGCAGCGCCGCTTCGGCGGCGGCGGCGGTCACGCACGCGGCCAGCGGGATCTCGGCGAGGCGGGCGCGCGGCGGCACGTCGCGGACGGCAAAGACGCCGACGCCGTCGCAGGTCGGCGATTGCCGCACGGCGAGCAGCGATGCGTCGTAGCGCGCGCCGCAGTAGTCGCTGCTCGTTGCAAGCAGGGAGAGAAGCAACATTGTGTGTGCGTCGCGCCTGCTCGGCTTGACGGTTCGTCGCGCCTATAGGGGCAACGCTTCACGTTGGAGTTCGCCGCATCCAAAAGCCTTGAGGGACCCCGCGACGCGATCGCCTGCTGACGCCTCTGCTGGCGTTCGGGGCACGGCCTGCTCCACGTTGCTGCATATGGTCTGCACCTGGTCCACGCTTGCGCTGGCGCCCATGGTTCGTCGCACCTCCACGTCACGAACCGTAGCGGCCAGCCACACTCATCATAATGCACGCAGCCCTACGCTGGACATCCAGGGAAGCCCTTCAACATTGCACGTTGGACTAGTTATTGAAGGATGTTCAAGCCATGCCTCAGGTGAAACCTCGATTCGACGTGCCGTTCTATTGCGTGCCGGTGCCGCGCTGTTCTAGAACAGCGCGGCATGAGCGGCGCGGTCGTCACGGGCCCAGCCAGGCCAAAAAACGCGATGTCACTTTCCGCGACGAATCGGGACGAACCCCGTACGCCTAAATACATTTCGGAGACTCTGAATTCATTTTCGACGTCCTTGGTGCCGTGTAAGACGACCTCGCGGAAGCGCGCGCGTGCACGCGCGGCCGAAAATATTAAAAAAATAAAATAAAATACAGATACGCGAGCGCATCGAGCCCCTCGCGCTGCGGCATCGCTTTAAAGCTCTTCCAGAGCGAGTTCATGCCGCGCGGCGGCCAGCTGTTTTACAAAGCGCTTAGCGGCGGCTAAAAAAGATATAACTCCGAGTCGGTAGAAAAAAAAATTAACTTTTTTAGTTTACGATTTTGCATTTTTTTTTGTGCGAGACTCTCGGCATTGGGCGTTGAGCTTCAACGTTGAGTCCGGTGTTGAGCTTCAAGGTTGCCGGTGTTGAGCTTCAAGGTCGGCTTCAACGCCGCGGTTTCCGCCGCTCATGCCGCGCTGTTCTAGAACAGCGCGGCACCGGAGGCACCCAAAAAAAAACGCCACGTTAGTCGCTCGCGACGACGACGGGGTAGGCGTGCTCCTTGGGCACGGCGTCGTCGAAGAGCTCCTTCTCGTACTCCTTCGGCGAGAGCGCGGTGACGACGACGAACTGGAAGTCGTCCCTCGGGCACGCGGAGCCGTGCTCCTTCTCCTCGTCCTTCCACATCTTCGTGTAGGCCATCTTGTTGCGCGTGAGGCCCTTGCCGCCCTCGATGAAGAGCTCCTTGCGGACGCCGTCGGGCTTGCAGAGCGTCGACCAGAACGGCGCCTTGCTCCCCTCCGCGTCGCCGAGGTCGAGCGCGAGCGTCTGGCCGCCCTTCATGGCCTGGACGGCCTTGGCCCGCAGTTCCTCCATGAAGACCTTGGGCTTGGGCCGCGCCTTGTTCCGGAGCGGGAGCGCGAGCTTCGTGCCGTCGACGAGGACGCCCTTGAAGCTGAAGAACGTCGCGAGCTTGCGGTCCTCGGACGCGTCGAGGAGCAGGGGCGTCTTCTTCTCCTCCTCGATGATGCGCTTGATCTCGCCGACGACCTCCGTGAGCGCGACGACGGGGAGGCCACCGGCCGCGTCCTCCTTGGCCTTGAGGTCCCCGTCGTCAATAAAACCGTCGGGCCGGTTCGCGGCGAACTCGTGCGTCAGCGAGTGGACGTAGACGTAGCAGCCGCTGCCGCCCATGAGCTTGAGCCACTTGCCCAGCTTCTCGACCTCGGCCTTCTGCTCCCGCGTCAGGGATCCGTGGAGGTCCGCGAGGAGCGGGTCCTCGTCCTCGGCCGCGGCGCCGCCGCGCATCTCCTGGGCCGCCTCCTTCTCCTTTTTCGTGTCCTCCGCGCTCCCGCTGAACCCCTTGCTGTAGTCCATCTTCGCGAGCCTCGCGGCCTCGTCCGCCGCGGCCTTGCGCTTCGCCTCGCGCTTGAGCGCCGCGGCGAGGACGAGCTCGGCCTCGGCGTCGAGCTCCTCGGGCGTCATGGCCTGGCACTTCGTGAGGAGCGCGCTGCCCGCGCCGGCGGTCGCGGACGCGCCGCCGCCGCCGACGCCGAGGCCCTTGGCCTTGGCGGCCTCGAGGAACTGGTCCTTGGAGACCACGGGCTTGCAGGTCGCGAAGTCCTCCTCCGCGAGCGAGTCGAAGAGCTTCTGGTCGAAGTGGTCGCCGGCGAGCTCCTTGGCCTTGGCCTCGTCGAGGCTGGCGGGGACGGAACCGCCCGCGCCCATGCTTCCTACGCGTTAATTAAGAAGGCGTCAACTTCCTGGATTTGTTAATAATGTTTGCGATGGAGAGCATGGTGGTGGACTCGTGGTCGATGGGGCCTCCTCCGGGGGTTTGGTGAGATGCGCGTCACCGTGATCCCGGAGGACGATGCGCTCACGCCCGTCCAGTTCAGCTTCAACGCCAAGTGGCAGCTCAAGCAGGTCGCCGCCGTCGCCGAAGCCTTCCGCAAGAAGCAGGGCCTGGCGCTGCCCGTCGTCCTCCTCCGGATCACGACGCGCCGGCCCGTGGACCTGAACGCCACGGTCAACGAGGCGCTCTGCGAGGGGGAGCACCTGCTCGCCGTCGTCCCCAGCATCCCCGGCGCCGCGCCGGCCCGAGCCGCGGCGGCGACGAAGAAAAAGAAGAAGACCAAGGCCGAGGCGGTCGCCCCGCCGCCGCCGCCGGAGACGCGTCCGCCCGCGGACGTCCCCGCAGCTCACGACGAGACGCCCGCTGCTCCGACGGCCGCCGCGGAGGCCGCTCCGACGGCCGCCGCGGAGGCCGCTCCGACGGCAGCCGCGGAGGCCGCTCCGACGGCCAGCGCCGCGTCCGAGGCCGCGTCGTCATCGAAGCCCAAGGCCACAGCAGCACCGAAGTCCAAGTCGAAGCCCGCGAAGTCGCCGAAGCCCGCGGCCGCGAAGCCGCCGAAGCCCGAGCCCGCGGCGTCGCCGAAGCCCGCGCCCGCGCCGAAGCCCGCGGCGCCGGCGCCGGGGCCCGCGGCGGCCGCGGCGCCGGCGCCGTCGGCGCGCGCGCTCGCGGACGAGGGCGTGCGGCGCTTCGCGCGCAAGGACTACGCGGGCGCCGTGGCGTCGCTCGGCGCGGCGCTCGCGGCGGGCGCGGCGGGCGCGGCGCGGCTCGAGTGCCTCGTGAACCGCGCCGCGTGCCACGCCAAGCTCCGGCGCTGGGCCGACGTCGTCGCCGACTGCGGCGCGGTCATCGCCGCGGGCGAGGCCGGCGGCGGCGCGCCGCGGCCGAGCGAGCTCAAGTGCCTGCTCTGGCGGGGCGCCGCGGCGTGCGAGCTCGGCGACTTCGCGCGCGCGCGCCGCGACGGCGAGGCCGCGCTGCGCCTCTCCTACGGCGAGTCCGAGGCCGCGGCGCGGCTGCTCGAGCGCGTCGCCGCGGCGGACCCCGCGGCCTGCGTCTGCGCGTGCGGCGCGACGTTCGGGAGCCACGCGCTCCTCTTCCGGCACGCGCTCGAGCGGCGCCACGACGTCTTCGTCTGCGACGAGTGCGGCGACACGTTCCGCACCGTCGGCGACCTCGAGGCCCACGCGCGGGCCGAGGGCCACGAGCTCCTGGACCCGCGCGACGCCGCGATGGGGCCCGAGGGCTACGACGTGGGGCGGCCGCTCGTCTGCCCCGTCTGCGGCGCCGAATTCGACGACGAGCGCGACGCGCTCGCGCACGTCGAGGCCACGGGCCACGGCGCGGACGACTTCTTCGGCGCGTTCGCGGGCGGGCCCCTCGACGGCTTCCCCGGCGGCTTCGCCCCGGGCTTCGACGACCGCTTCCCGCCGGGCTTCGACGACGAGCCGCCCGAGGGCGCCTTCGACCCCTTCGACGCGGACGCGTGGCGCGGCGGCGGCGACGGCGACCTCCGGTGCCCGCGGTGCGCCTGGGCCGCGCCGAACCTCGCGGAGCTCGACGTCCACTGCGAGCGCCTCGGCCACGCGCCCCACGCGTGCCCCTACTGCGCGCTCCGCTTCGACTCGCGCGCCGAGCTCGAGGACCACTGCGGCGGGCCCTGCGGCGCCGCGCTCGCCGCGGGCGACCGGCGGCCGCCGCCCCACGCCTGCGACTGCGGCCGCGCGTTCTGCTCCGCGGCCGCGCTGCGGGACCACCGCCGCGAGGAGTCCGGCGGCGGCGACGAGCCCTGGTACTGCCCGACCTGCGACCGGCCCTTCTCCTCGGAAGCCGCGCTTTTGGAACACTGCGGCGGCGAGTCGCCCGAGCCCGGCGCGGAGCCCAAGTTCTGCTCCTGCGGCGTCGCCTTCTGCAGCGACGCCGCGCTCGAAAAGCACCAAGCGGACACGGGCCACCGCGCGGCCGACGGCGCCGCGCCCGCGTCGCCCGCGGCGCTGCGGCGGCTCAAGGACGACCACGTCAAGGCGACGGAGCGCCGCGCGCGGCCGGGCGAGACCTGCTCCATCTGCATGGAGCCGCTCCACGCCAAGGTCGAAGTCCAGGCCCTCCCGAACTGCGTCCACCTCTTCCACCCCAAGTGCGCCGCGCGCTGGTTCAAGCGCGCGGCCGCGTGTCCGGTCTGCCGCGCGACGGTCGAGCCGCCGGCGCCGGAGCCCGAGCCCGAGCGCGTCTACCCGCGCGCGCCGGACATGCCGCCCCTGCGCCTCTACCCGGAGCCGGCGGAGCCCAGCGACCGCGACCTCATCGACGCGCAGGACGCGGCCTTCGACACGGCGCTCGCCGCGGACCGCGACGCCGCCGCCGCGGAAACGCCGGCGGACGACGCGGGGAGCGCCGCCGAAACGGCGGCGGCGGACGACGCGGGGAGCGCCGCCGCCGCGCCGCCGCCGACGAAGGACGAGCTCCGCGAGCGCCGCCTCAAGTTCTTCGGGTGACGATCTGGGTAAAGGAGATGGTCCTTGAAGTTCAAGTTGACCACTTCGGGGAGAGCGGCGCTGGATGGCCTGAGTTTTGCGAGCATCTCGAGCGATGCGGAATCGTCGCGGACAACCGGACGTCGTCGCAGACAACGACGACGACGCCGAGGAGGAACGCGCGCCAACAGCGTCCAACCTCGCGAACCCGCTGAGCGTCGCGGCGCACATCCTGGTCTTCTTCCTCGCCATCGGCGCGGGCCGCTACGCGCGCCTGCGCGAGGCGTCGGCGCCGCCGCTCCTCGACGGCGAGGAGTTCGTGCAGGCGCTGCTGGAGACGCCGCAGCAGCTGCTGCTCGTGGCGACGCGGCTCCAGGTCGACCGGTTCCCGCGCGGGGACGCCGACGACGCGCGGCGGACGCTCGGCGGCGCGCTCGACGTCGACGAGGCGCTCGCGGCGTCGCCGACCCTCGCGGCGCTCTGGCGGTCGCGCGAAATGCCGGACGCGGGCGCGTTCCGCGACGGCGCGGCGGCGACCGCGCGGGCCGTCGTCGACGAGTATTTCGTGGACCTCGTCGCCAAGTCGGCCTTCGACGGCGCGACGGCGACGGCGGCCCTCGGCTACGCCGCCTGGCTCGGCCTGCCGCGCGCCTGCGCGGCGCTCGTGGCCCGCGGCGGCGACGTCGGCTTCGCGGGCGGCCTCGGGCGGTCGCCGCTGCACGTCGCGGCCGCCCGCGGCCACGGCGACGCGCTCGCGGCGCTGCTCAGGGCCGCGCGGCGCGCGGGCGCCGAGGGCCCGCGGCGCTGGCGCGACGCGTTGGGCCTGTCGCCCAAGGCGCTCGCGGCGAAGGCGGCGCGGGGGGACGGCGACTGCGCCGTCGACGTCGTCGACGTCGACCGCTTCCCGGGGAGCCTGGAGCCCTACGTGCTGCGGGGCGCGCCGGTCCTCGTGCGCGGCCTGGGCCGCAACTGGACGGCGCGGCAACTCTGGGATCCGGCGGTCCTGGCGACACGCGACGACGTCGACGTCCAGCCGCACCCGATCCCGCACGGCGAGAGCTTCGGCGTCGCCGCGCCGCCCGCGCCGGCGACGCTCGGCGCCTACGTGCGGTCCTGGGCGCGGGACCCGCCGCCGTCCGCCGGCGGCCGCGCGGGGCCCGACGACGTCGCGGACCTGCCGGCCTACGTCTTCGCCGCGGGCGCGGCCGCGGCGCCGCTCTTCGAGGGCGCGGACGCGCTCGGCGAGCTGCGGAAGCTTTTGGCGCCGAGCGCCGCCGTCGACGCGCTCCTCGACGGGCTGCCGGGGCGGCTCCACGGCGCCCACGGCGGCAGCGACCAGTTCTACTGCGGGCCCGCGGGAAGCGGCGCGCCGCTCCACTACCACGAGCACGCGGTCAACTTCCTGGCCCACGGGTCCAAGACCTGGTGGCTCCTCCCGCCGGCCGACGCGGTCTACTCCGTCGCCCACCCGGCGACCTGGCGTGCGCCGCCCGCCGGCGCGCTGGCGTGCGTCCAGCGCGCGGGCGACGTGCTCTTCGCGCCCGCGAACTGGGCCCACGCGGTCCGCAACGACGAGCCGGCCGTCGGCGTTGCCGTCGAGTTCCCCGACGTCTTCATGATCCACCACATGAACGCCCACATGCTCGGCTACGACGTCGCGGGCGACCGCGGCGTCGGCGGCGACGACGACGATCGGGGCGACGGCGACGGCGACCAGCAGGGCGGCGGCGACGACGACCCGGGCGCCGCGCTCCTCGCGGAGATGATCCCCGCGTAATGTTTTTTGTGATGGAACTTGACTCACTTTGGATCTGGGGCTGGGGCTGGCGGGTTGTCGGGAGTGAGCGCGCGCGCGATTCGCGACGCCCGGAGGCGCGCGCGCTTGTCAATGGGCGCCGCACCGAAAAAACGACACACGTGCAGTTAAGTGCAGGCAAAAAAAAGAACGCGCGATTCCGGTGTGTATGTACAACCAAGGTTGATCCAGGCAAAAAGAAAAAAAGCGACGTCGATGCGTTCCGATACCGGGACTCGAACCCGAGTCTCGAGCGTGAGAGGCTCATATGCTAACCGCCTACACCATATCGGAAACTTTCGGTTGTTGATGAGAGGACCAGGATCGAGACAGCTTATCAATACGGGGCTGCCGATTTGGGCAGCTTAGCGAGCGTTTTGCCTTGAACTTTGCCGCAGAGCTCGAGCTCTCGCACAACACGATGCCGCTCGCAAGAACACACAGGCTCCGAGCCGCCGTCGCAGCGCTCGTCGCCGCCAACGTCGCCGCCTTCGGCGGCTTCCAGCTGCCCAAGATCGACAACCCCTTCGACAGCCGCCCCGGCGTCACCGTCGGGAAGCTGCAGGTCGCGCTGGCCAACGAGGACATGCGCGCCACGAAGGTCGTCGCGCAGGCGGCGGCCAAGTTCGAGAGCGACCGGAGCCGGCGCGCGCTGCCCGACTTCGTCAACGACGTCGCGACGCAGCTCTGCCGGCGCCGGGGCGACTGGCTCTACGCGTCGTGCGCCGGCGAGCGCTTCGACGGCGGCGCCGTCGAGCGCGACGACCACGAGGTGGCCTACAACCGCCTGGTCAACGCCGAGGCGGCCAAGTTCGAGGTCGAGCGCATGCCGTCCCAGGGCGAGCTCGAGTCGACGGCGGCGGGCATGCGGGGCATGTGCGTCGTGTCGCTCGTCGTCGCCCTCGAGGGCGACCTCTTGGACGCGTTCACCGACGCCGCGAGGAGCGAGGCGAGCCTCAGCGACGCCCTCGCCGACGTCGCCGCCGCCTGCCTCGTGCGCGGCGGCGACGCCCTCTACAACGCCGAGGTGCTCTGGACGCCGTCCTCCGCGGACGAGGCGCTCTTCAAGGACGACGCGCTCCTCGACTTCCCCGAGCTCCTCCAGCTGTAAGGATGTCGGGTTAGAGCGAGCATAGAGGGGGCGGTCCTTGCGCTCTCGACTTCCCCGAGCTCCTCCAGCTGTAAGGATGTCGGGTTCGTGCGAGGATAGAGGGGGCGGTCCTTGCGCCCTCGACGTCCCCGAGCAGCTGCAACGCGGGGCGAGATCGAAGTTAGGCGAGGAGGAGGGGCCGGAGGCGGTCCCGCGCGCGGCCGCGGAGCCGGTCGAGCACGGACGACGCGGACGCGCGGAGCGCCGCGCGCTCGTGGTCGTCGAGCGCGCCGAGCGCCGCGAGGAGCGTGTCGTCGCCGTGCGCGCCGCTTCCGCCCAGCGCGCTCTCGAGGCCGTCGAGCAGCCCGTCGAAGCGGTCGTCGCCGGCGACGGACGCGCCCGAGCCGAGCGCCTCGACGACGGCGCGCGCGGCCGGCGCGAGCTCCACGGGCGCCGACGCGGACCCGAGGAGCGCCGCGACGGTCGTCCGCGCGTCGTCGCCGAGGAGCTTCGCGTCCGCGTCCGTGAGGACGTTCGTGAGGTCGATGGCGTAGAGCTCGTCGTCGCGGCCGAGCGGCGGCGCGAGAGCGTCGAGGAGCTCGCGCGGCGTCGCGACCAGCAGCTTCGGGTCGCCGTTCTCGAGGAACGGCAGCGGCAGCGGCACGGCCGTCGCGTCCGGCAGGGCGCCGCTCAGCGCCTTGCCGACGAATGGCAGCCCGCGCACGGGCGCGGCCGCCGCGGCCGCCGCGCGGTCGAAGAGGCGCCGCGCGGCCTGGCGCCCGAGCACGTCCAGGACCACGACGGCCTCGTCCTCGACCAGATCCCGGAGCGCGCCGCCGCGCGCGCCCAGCACGTACTTGGCCAGGTCCTCGACCCGGGCGTCGTCGCCGACGGCGTCGAGGTCGATGGACCCGCCGGCGGCGACCGTGTCCGCGCCCGTCGCGTCCAACGCCGAAGTAACCAGCGACGCCAACCGCCGCGGGTTCAGGGACGCGCGGTGCTGCGCGTTCGAGCCCTGGCCCGCGTAGAGCGCCTCCCGCAGCGCCCCGCGGAGCGCCGGCCGGTCCGAGCTCAGCAATTTTCGGGACACGAAGGGGTACGCGGCCTGGATCAAAGCGTAGTCCGGGTCGCCCAACAGCGCGATGCCCTCGAGCGTCACGATGGCCCGCCCCAGGAGCGCGAAGTAGGGCGGGATGGAGAAGGGCACGTCGTTGAGCACCGTCAGCGCGTCCTGGGTCATGGCCTGGAAGCCGCCGACGGCCTTGGTCAGGTCCGCGTCCGCGTCGATGCCGTAGGATTCCTTGACGCGGCGCTCGAACTGCTTCGCGCCGCCGCCGGCGATGTAGGGGCTCAGGGCCTTGTCCATGAGCGGGATCACCGTCGCGCGCTGCGTGTCCTTGGGCAGGACCTCGAGCGCGATGAAGTCGTCGACGAGCGCGGGAAAGTCCTTGTTCGCCAGGTGGATGATGGAGCTCACCATCGTGTCCTGGTCGTCGCGGCGCACGCGCGCGACGAGGCCAAAGTCCAGCAGCCCCAGGCGCCCGTCGTCCATGAGGAAGAGGTTCCCCGGGTGGGGGTCCGCGTGGAACGTGCCGCTCTCGAGGAGCTGCACGAGGAACGCCTCCTGCGCGATGGGCGTCAGCGCCTTGATCGTCGCCGGCGTCGCCGTCGACAGCTTCGCGCCGTCGATCCACTCCGTCACCGCGACGCGCGACGTGCACAGATGCTCCACGGCGTAGGGCACGTAGATGCCGTCGACGGCCGTGTCGTTCCGGTTCACCAAAACGTCGCGGATGCTCAGCTGGTTCTCGACCTCGCTCAGGAAGTCGAGCTCCGTGTAGAAGCCCACGGCCCACTCGTTCAGGAGCTCGACGTAGTTCGTCTTCTGCTGGGGCGCGAAGCGGTCCATGAGGCGCTGGTAGACCTCCGCGGCGCGGCGGAGCACGTACAAGTCCTTGGAGACCTGCTCCAAAATCTTCGGCCGCTGGACCTTGACGGCGACGTCGGAGCCGTCCTCGGCGAGCGTCGCCTTGTAGACCTGGGCTAAAGACGCCGCGGCGACGGGCTCGTCGGAGATGGACGCGAAGAAGGAGCCGAGCGGCCCGCCGAGCTCCTTCTCGATCGTCTCGACGGCGAGCTCCGTCGGGAACTGGACGACGGAGTCCTGGAGCACGGCGAGCTCCTCCAAGGCCGCCGCCGGCAGCACGTCGGGCCGCACGCTCAAAGTCTGCGCGAGCTTGATGAACGTCGGGCCGAGCTTCTCGCAGATGACGCGCGCGTCTTTGGCCAGCGACGCGCCGTTCTCCTCCAGCGCGTCGACGCCGTTCTGCACGAGCAGCGTCGCCACCCGCAGGAGGAAGGGCACGCTCAGCCGCAGGAACTCGCCCCAGCGCTCCTGGAGCGCCGACCCCTGCGACCGCCAGTACGTCTCGATGAGGTCCTTGTCGTACGAGAGCGGTAGCCCCGTCTCGTCGTCGACCTTGCCGTCGCTCCGGAGCGCGACGTAGGACTTGCCGACGTCCGGCGCGTCGAGCTTCGACATGGACACGGCCTGGTTCACGGCCGCGGCGGCGACGGTCGCGGCGCTGACGGCGGCGCCCATGCCGAGCTGGTCCGCGGCGTTTGATTGGGTCTTCGTCGGCGTCGAGCGGAGTTTCGTGGTCGTGGGCGGTTTCAAGATGGGGGCCTGGAACGCCGTTGCGACGGCCGCGGCGGCGAGGACCCGTAACATGCACATTATCCTTTCGTCGCGTGCCAAGAGCTGTCACCTCGATGCGGTGGTCTCGGTGGTCGCGTGCACAGAGCTGCCACCTCGATGGATGTGAGCGTGGCACTGCATCGTTGCGGCTCCGTCGATTCGTTGAATCGCTCAGGACCGACTCAGCGTGGCTTTGGAGCGTCTTCCGCGCCACCACCAGCGCAAAACTAGTGCTTCAGACGTGCCAACGCTGCACAGCAGCACTGCAGTAGCAAGCGCTGCCAATTTTGCGCCGAAAAACTTGCAGCGCTCGCAAAACCGCTTTGCCAGCAGCCCAGCAAAGCCACCGCTGCAAGCCACCGCGAGACAAACCACGAAGCCGCACAAACTCCTCGTCGCGCTCATGGCGGTCGCCGCCGAGGGCGCATCACAGACACGAGTCTGCGCGCGGGAGCTGCGGCGCGCGTTCAGCCAGCCGCGGCGCGTCGACGACGCCGCGTGCGTCGCGCTCGTGCGCCGCGCCGACGCCGCAGCGATCAACACGGGCAACGCCAACGGCAAGTCGCCGCTCATGTTCGCCGCGCAGTTCCGGCCGACGTCCGCCGTCGTCGAGGCGCTGCTCGCGGCCGGCGCGGACCGCGACGCGACGACGCGGCGGGGCCACACGGCGCTCGTCTTCGCCGCGGGGCGGGGCCGCGACGACACGGTGAAGGCGCTCCTCGCCGGCGGCGCGTCCGCGCGCGTGCGCACGGTCACGGGCGACACCGCGCGCGAGATGGGCGTCGGGCGCTTGGACCCGGCGACGGTCGCGCTGCTGGAACACGCGGAACAAGGCGGCGGCTGGGTCGACTTCCGCGACGTCGAGGACGCGAAGGATGCGCAGCGCGAGCACGCGCGGCACTGCGCGTTCTGCCGCGCGAAGATGGGCCTGACGGCGGACGCGTTCGACCCGTCGGCGGCCGCGGAGGCGGCGCGGCGGCGCGAGGCGCTCGCGGTCGAGGCGGCGCGCGCGCGAAAAGAGTGCGCCGCCGCGGCGGACGCGGAGACCTTAGCGCGCGCGCTCGTCGCCGCCGCGTGCCGCGCCGTCGTCGCGTCGCGGCCGACGCCCGTGCGCGACGCGGCGGTGGCCGTCGTCGGACCCGCGCTCCGCGACGCCGCCGCGTCGCGGCCGGGCGTCGCGCTGCGCGCCTGCGGCGACGCCATGCTCGGGCGGGCGCTGCCGGGCAAGGACCGGCGGCCCGTGCGCCTCGTGCTCGAGGCGCTCCTCTCCGTCGACTTCGAATTGGGGGACGTCGTGGCCTTCGCGCGCGACGACCCCAAGTCGCTCGCGACGGCCGTCGAGGTCGCGGCCGCGTGCCCCCGCGACGACGCCCTCGTCGGCGAGCTCCTGGAGCTCGCGCTCGCCTACGCGAAGCGGCGGTCCCACGCGGGGGAGATGCTCGGCGTCCACGGCGTGCTCCCGTTCCGCCACGCGAAGCGCGACGGCGGACCCGCGGTGGACCTCCTCGCGCGGCTCCACCGCTTCGCCGAAAACGCCGCGCCGTCGCGCGCGTCGTTCCTCGACGACCTCGCGGACCTCGCGGCGGCCCAGGGCGTCGCGCGGGCCTACCACGCCGCCGTCGGCACGGAGGCGCCGGCGACGGCCCTCCCGCCGCCGCCGCCGCCGCCGCCGGCGGCGTCGCTCCCGCCGCTGGAGCCGCGCGCGGCGCCGGCGATCTGGGTCGATGACGCCGCCGGCCTCGCGGCCGCGCTCCGGGCCCTCGACGGCGCCGCGCGGGTCGGCGTGGACACGGAGTGGGGCGACGCGGGCGACGCGGACCCGCGCGCGCCGCCGGCGCTGGTCCAGCTCGCGACGGACGCGAACGTGTTCCTCGTCGACGTCACGGCGCTCCGGGCGGCGGCGCCCCGAGCCCTGGCGACGCTCGCGGCGAAGCTCCTGCTCGGCGACGACGGTCTGGTCGTAGTCGGCTTCGCGTTCGGGAGCGACGCGCCGCGGCTGGAGGCGCTCCTGGACGCCGCGGGGGCCAAGCGCGACGTCGTCGACCTCCAGCGCCTCGACGGCCGCCGCGCGCGGCTCCCGTCGCTGCGGGACTGCTGCGCGACGTGGCTCCGCCGCCGGCTGGACAAGTCCGAGCAGTGCAGCGACTGGGACCGGCGGCCGCTGTCCGCGAGCCAGCTCGCCTACGCGGCCCTCGACGCCTCCGTGCTCCTGCCGCTCCACGACGCCATGGTGGCGGCGCGGTAATGGCGGCGGAAACCACTTTTTAGCTTGCGTTCTCGGGGGTTCGAAGGGGGGGGGGGGGTGCGCGCGCCTCGGGCGCGCCGCGAGGGGCGACCGGTCGCCGCCGGAGCCGGTAAAATTGGCTCCGGCGGGTCATTCGTCGCGCCTCGCGGCGGGATCGAGCGCGGGCGTGGGTGTCGCGTGTCCGGTGGGTCGCGGCGCGGGGGTACGCGCCGCGGCTAGCCTCACGCGGCCGGCTTCGCGGACCCGCCGCCGCTCGGAGGCGGGCAGCAGGCCGCGGCCGGCGGCGCGGCGGCCGCGGCGGCCGCGGGCGGCGGGCAGCAGGCCGCGGCCGCGGGCGGCGGGCAGCAGCCGCCGGCGGACGCCGGCGGCGCCGGCGGCGCGCCGAGGCCGTACAGCACCGCGTCGCGGAAGCCGTGCGTCGACCGGGGCTTGGTGGCCGTGACGTAGGCGGACGTGACGTACTTCTCGGCGCCGCTGCCGGGGATCCAGCCCTTGACGATGTCGCGGCCGTTCTCTTTGACGGCGATCTTGACGTCGACGAAGCCCGCGGCGACGAGCATGGCCTCGATCTCGTCCTCGGCGGACGCGCCCGCGACTCAGCACGCGAACGCCTCCGCGGTCTTGAGCGCCTCCGGGATGTCCGACGTGCGGAGCACGTCGCTGATGGACACGCGGCCGCCGGGCGCCAGCACGCGGTTCATCTCGCGGTAGACCGCGGGCTTGTCCGGGCTCAGGTTGATGACGCAGTTGGAGATGACGCAGTCGACCGCGCCGTCGCCGACGGGCAAATGCTCGATCTCCCCGAGGCGGAAGGACACGACGTTGCCGTAGGGCGCCGCGGCGGCCCGCGCGCGCGAGAGCATCTCCGGCGTCATGTCGACGCCGATGACGCGGCCGGACGGGCCCACGAGCTTCGCGGCGGCGAAGCAGTCGACGCCCGCGCCCGAACCGAGGTCGACGACGACCTCGCCGGGCTTCAGGTTCGCCGCAATCAGGGGGTTGCCGCACCCTAGACCCAGGTCCGCGCCGGCCTCGAGCTCCACGCCGTCGTAGCCGAGCATGGCCTTCCGCTTCGCGACGTCGCCGACGTCGCCGGGGAGCACGGACGGCCCGCCGGACGCCGTCGCCGCGTAGGCGTCGCGCACGGCGGAGCGCACGGCGTCGTCGGTTTGGCGCGGCGGGGCCGTCGCGTTCACCGTGTTGGCGACGCGGTCGGGCGGCGCGCCGCCGACGACGGCGCCGCCGCGCGCGACGACGATCCACGGCAAAGCGGTCGCGCCCAGCTCGAGCGCGCAGTCCGCGCCGTCGTCCGTCGACGCGTCGACGGTGCCGACGCGCGCGACGCCCGCGGCCTGGGCCGCCGCGACGGCCTTGGCCGCGTCGCGGGCGCCGACGGCGAGGGCGACGGCGCTCAGGGCGCCGCTGCCGGCGAGCCAGGCGCGCACGGCGTCGGCATCTTCGAGCGCCGCCTCCGCCATGTCTTTTTCGCGGCGCCGCGGGGCGGCGGACGCGACGCGGCGAGGCGCGCGCGCTCCGACGACGGCGACGACGGCGGCCAGTCAGCAAGCGAGGGTGAAGCCTCTCATGCTTGGCACCCCGCTGATGCGATGCAGCATTGACATTTGCATCTACATGATGCCGGACTTGCTGCCAAGCTGCCCCCGAAGCTGTCGATGATGATCAAGCTGCTGGCCCTCGTCGCCGCGGCGGCCGCCGCGTCGGACCTGGACGTCGCGTGCTCCCACGAAACATTTTCGTTAAACATCTTCGACCTCTTCTTCGCCGGCGACCAGGCCCTCTGCGACCAGACCTGCGGCGCCTGCGGCCGGGTGTGCAACAAGGCCGACGCCGACGGCACGCTTTTCTGGTGCGGCATGAGCCGCGGGATGAAGCGGACCCTCAACGCCGTCTCCCTGGAGGACGCGCCCGAGTCCATCGCTCTCGCCTGCGACGCCGTGTCCGGCGCGCGCGTCCGCTTCATGCTCTCCGCGAACGCGACGAACGACGACGTCACGGACGACGAGGAGTTCTGCTATGGGGGGTGCACGAAGTGCGGCGCCCTCACCTGCGTGAGGACCGAGGGGGGGCCGAGCCCCACCGGCCTGGGCCACTGCGAGCCGCGCGCCTAGGGCGCGCCGGCGCGTAAGGACGGGCTTTCCGGACGCGCGCTGGCGACGAACGCGCCGACAGACGTCGCTCGCGCGAAGTCGCGTGCGAAAGCGCGGGAGAGGCGGCGCTTTGGACCGCGTTTTGTTGGTTAATTTGTTGGTCAACGAGTTCAACTTGCAGTTCGTATCGAGACGGGCGCGACTCGCCGCACGAGCTGGTTCTCTTCCTTGAGAGACTCTCTACACACCCTGCTCTGCGCCACCTGCCTCAACCCCCTTCCACAACCGCGATGAGCGAGGTCGACTTCGCGTCGTGCCAGCGCGCCTTCGACGCCGCGGCGACCCCGGCGGCCCAGACGGCCGCGGCGCGGCGCGCGGGCGCGCTCCTCGACGCCGCCGAGGGCGACATGTTCTCGAGCGCCGAGGAGGTGCGCGCGTCCCTGACGGCGGGCTGCTCGTCGGCGTTTTTAGCGGCCATCACGGCGGCGACGCCGCGGCTCGCGTCGTCGGCGGTGCGGGGCAAGCTCGAGGCGGGCGTCGCGTGGCCCGCGAAACTCGACGGCGACGGCCGCTGCGTCGCCGCGTTCGCGAAGAACTGCCGGGACGTCTGCGGCGACAAGGCCCTCCAGCGGGCCCTCGGGAGCTGCCTCGAGGACGACGCGCTCGCGTCGGGCGACGGCCGCGTCCGCGACGGCCGCGCGCTCGAGGACGCGTCCGTGCTCGGCCGCGCGCTCGCGACGTCGACGATCCTCGACTTCGCCCACGTCGCCAAGGCCAAGCCCGACGGGCGGGCCGTGGACGCGCTCAAGGGCCGCGTGCCCGCGGCGGCCTACTTTTCCGAACTGCCGAACTTCCCGAAGACGCCGGCGGACGCGGCGAACAAGCAGGCCGCGTTCCTCCGCCAGCGGCTCCGGGAGACGCAGGACGGCGTCCACGCCCTCGTGAACAAGGCGCTGCGCGTCGACAAGGGCGCGAAGAAGGAGGGCGTCGTCGCCTGGCTCGCGCGGTCCGTCGCGCTCGGCGCGCCGCTCGCGGCGCCGCGGCTCAAGGAGCGCGGGCGCCACGCGCACCCCGCGGGCTGCTGCTCCGCGGGCCACGGGCTGAACCTGTGCGGGTTGGTCCTCCGCCTCGCGGCGCCCGTCGCCGACAAGGGCGACTTTAACCTCGTGGACTGGCGGTACGCGACGCGAGACGATCGCGTCGACTTCCGCGCCGACGCGAAGCTCGGCGCGCGGGTCGGGTCCCGCGACGACGACGACGACGACGATGAGGACGAGGACGACGACATGGACCCGGAGATGAAGCGCCAGCTCAGGGAGGCCATGGCCATGTCGCTCGGCAAGCTCTCGGCGCTCGGCTTCTTCCCGCCGGGCGAGGCGCACGGCTTCAAGTTCTCGACGGAGGCCTTCTTCCTCGCCGTCAAGGCCGTGGGCACCTTCTTCGTGCCCCTCTTCGACGAGTTCCACCTCCAGCAGCGCGCGCTCGCCGAGGGCCGCGGCGGCGACGACGTCGCGGCGTACCGGGCCCGGCTCCACGCGGAGGGCTGGGTCTGCCACCTCGAGGACCCGGTGCTGCTGGAGAACGCGGGCAAGGTCGCGTCCTTCGCGGCCAAGTGGCTGCTGCACCAGATGGCCGACGGCGACTTCGCGCCGGGCGACCCGCGCGCGGGGAGCGCGCCCAAGGAACGCATGGCCGCGCTGCCCGCGAATCTGGTGAAGAACGCCTGCGACGTCTGGTCCTGCCTCGCGCGCGCGTCGGACGGTCGCCGCGGGGCCGCGTGCTTCGGCGACCAGGACGCGGCGGCCGCGGCGCTCTTCTGCTGCGAGCTGATGCGGCGGCCCGATCTGGTCGCGTCGCCCGTCGTCCACGCGAAGCTCGTCGAGTTCCTCACGCAGCTCCTGCGCACGGCGCGGGGGCCCGCGTCGCGCAAGGCGGAGGCGAGCCTCTTCTTCGGGCCGGGCCGGGGCCTCGCGGGCGCGGTCATGGACAGCGAGCGAGTGCGCCGGGAGCTGCCGCCCGCGCTCGTGCACCTCTACGGCGAGGTCCACGCCGTCGTCGGCCTCGACGTCGACGCGGACCAGGCCTTCGACAAGTTCAACGTGCGCCACCGCGTCAACGCGCTCCTGTCCCAGTTCTGGCGCCACCCGCTGGGAGAGCCGCGCGCCGCGCTCGCGAGGCTCTTCGGCGACGCGGCCAAGGCGGCGACCTTCGCCGGCGCCTGCCTCGACACGATGGTCTACTGCGGCGAGGACTCGCTCGACCGTCTGGCGGACGGCGTGCTGCGGGAGGTCGACGGGAAGCCGCCGCCGGAGGCGACGCCCGCGCGCGACTTCTACGACTCGCAGCAGCGCGTCTGCCGCGGCTTCCTGCCCCAGGCGTGCTCGACGCTGGACGTGCTCCTGGAGTTCGTCGAGCAGGACGCGTCCGTGGCCAAAGCGCTCCTCGGCGCGCCCCCGGCGCTCCGCGTCGCCGTCGCGCACGCGCTCCGGCTGGTGGAGAGCTGCGGCACGGCCGACGGGTTGGCCAGGGTGCGGCCGAGCGAGCCCAAGGCCTGGGCCTTCGACGCCGACGCGCTGCTGGACTACGCCGCGCGGCTCCTCGAGGCCGCGCGCGCGGCGAACGGCGACGCGGCCTTCGCGGCGGCGCTGCGGCGGTCGCCCGACTACGACGGCGCCGCGCTCCGCGAGGCCGCGGCGAAGCCGTCCGGCGCCGCGCTCGCCCGGGTCGTCGCCGTCGCGCCCGCGGGCGACGACGCCGGCGTCGCCGACGCGGCGGCGGCCGTCGACGCCGCGCTCGCGGCGCTCCGCGGGTCCGCCGCGCCGGCGGCGGCAGACGCGGTCCGCGCGGCCGAGCGGGCCTACGCGGACGCGCTCGGCGACGCGACGGTCGAGGTCGTCGACGAGCTCGCGGACCACCACTTCCGGAGCAAGCCCGCGGGCACGCGCAACGCCAAGGCCCTGCAGAAGGAGCTGCGCCGGCTCAAGCGGGACCTCCCCGAGCCGCACCCCGACGGGTCCGTCTTCGTCCGCTTCGACGAGGGGCGCCTGGACCTGTGCCGCTGCGCCCTGACGGGGCCCGCGGACACGCCCTACTTCGGGGGGCTCTTCGTCTTCGACGTCTACTTCCCGCAGGACTACCCGGCGGTGCCGCCGCTCGTGCACCTGACGACGACGGGCAGCGGCACCGTGCGCTTCAACCCGAACTTGTACGCGGACGGCAAGGTCTGCCTGAGTCTATTGGGCACGTGGCACGCGGCGGACGCGTCGCAGAAGTGGAACGCGGACACGTCGACGCTGACGCAGGTGCTGCTGTCCATCGCGGGCCAGATCCTCGTCAAGGAGCCCTACTTCAACGAGCCGGCCTACGAGCGCGTCCGCGGCACGCCCGAGGGCGACGCGACGTCCGAGCGGGTCAACGGGGACCTGCGCAACAAGACGCGGACCTGCGCGGTCGTCGACCACCTCAAGCGGCCGCCCCGCGGCCTCGAGGAGGTCGCGCGCGAGCACCTCCGGCGCCTCCGGGGGCCCCTGCTCGACGCCGCGAAGCGCGACCTCGGGCCCGCGGCGTCGCGCGCGACGAAGCGCGCCGCGGGCGCGCTCGTGTCCCAGCTCGCGCTCGCCTTCGGCGCCGACGACGCGCCCGAGCCGCCGACGAAGCGGTCCCGCGGGTCCTCCGAGGAAGACTAAAGCGAGCTCCGAGGAAGCTTAGACCGTACGAGCTCCGAGGAAGACTGAGCGCAGTTATCTCGAGGCGCGCATGGGGTCCGTCGCCGGGTTCGCGTACTGGCGGATCGTGTGGCCGCCGTCGACGTCGAGCACGACGCCCGTGACGAAGGCCGCCGTGAGCAGGTAGTGGATGGCGTCGCCCATGTCCGACGGCGCGCCCGTCCGCTTGAGGGGCAGCGAGTCCGCGGTGTTCTCCAGCATCCTCGCTTTCCGGTCCGCGTCCAGGTGGTCGAAGCGCTCCGTGTCGCAGAAGCCCGGCGACAGGCAGTTGACGCGGAGCCGCGGGCCCAGGTCCAGCGCCAGGGACCGCGTGAGCCCCTCGAGGGCGCCGTTGACGCAGGCGAGCGGCGCGCTGTTGACGCCCGGCCGCCGGTTGAGCACGCCCGCGACGAAGCAGACGGCGCCGCCGTCCCGGAGCCGCGGCGCGACGTGCTTGGCCGCGTGGTACCTGTTCGGAACGAGATCGGGCGAGAGGGGGACGCGGACGCCGACGAGGCGTACGCGGTCCAGTACTTGCTCTCGAAGAGGTCGCGCGTCGCCGCGACGTCGAGGTCCGCGACGGCGCCGTGCGGCGCGCGGCCCGCGGCGGACACGACGAGGCCCGCGTAGTCGCCGTCGTCGAGCGCCGCGGCGAAATCGGCGACGGCCGCCTCGTCGCGCGCGTCGAGCACCGCCGTCCGCACGCGCTCTTGGGACGCGTCGCAGTCGCGAATCACTTCCTGTTGCGCGGCGGCGAGCTTGTCGCCGTCCCGCGACGCCAGCAGCACGCGCCCGCCGGCGCGGACGCAGGCCTTGGCCGCGGCCTTGCCCATGCCGCTCGAGCCGCCGATGATGACGCTGTCCGGCGCCATCGCTGTGGTTGTGGTGAGCAGGAGTAGCGGCGCCACGAGAGCGCGAAGCGGCGCCATGCGTGCAAGCTGAGGACGCTGTGCGGTGGCGCGTCGGAGCGCAGCACTGCACATGCTCTCGAAAGCGTGGGTTGAACTTCAACATAGAAGAAAAATAAAACGCTTCTTGCAAAAGCCTTCTCCGACCTCGCCCGGCCCGCGCCTGGCAAAGACACGATGGGACCGCCGCCGACCCCGCCGCCGCCGCGGTCGCCGCAGAAGCCAAAGTGGGCCGGCGCCGTCCTGCTGCGCGGCAAGACCGCCTTCCACAAGGTCGTCTGGGTCAAGCGCTACGTCGTCGTGGACCGCGCCCTGGGCACGCTCAAGCTCTACAAGGGCGCCAAGGCGCCCGCCGCAGGCGCCAAGGCCCGGAGCGCGCTGCCCCTCAACTCCTGCGCGCTGAACCTCAACGCCCAGGGCCCGAAGAAGAGCGATGCCCTCACGCTCCTCGAGTTCGCCAGCCAGGAGCGGTTCACGCTGTCGGCGCCCGTCGGCCACGGCGGCCTCGCGGCGTTTCTCGCGGAGACGATGGACGGCCTCCGGGGGCTCGCGACGCCGGGCACGCACGCGAAGCGCCGCACGTCCGAGGGCGAGCTCGAGCGCGAGTGCGCGGCGGCCGCCGCGGCGGGCGACGGCGAGGACTTGGCGCCGCGCGAGTCCGACGCGGTCGTCGACGACGACGACGAGCCCGACGAGCTCGGCGGCGTCGAGGAGTCCAAGGAGGCGCCGCCCGAGGAAGAACGACCGGCGAAGCCGCCGCCGCCGCCCATGCCACCGGCGAAGCCGCCGCCGCCGCCCGTGTCGCGCGGGAATTTGCTCGCGGAGCTGGAACGCGGCGCCGCGCTGAAGAAGGCGGAGGAGACGGACCGGCCGAACCCGCGCGCGTCGACGAACGACCTCCAGATGAGCGCCCTCAAGTCCGTGCTCAAGCATCTGAAGAAGCCCGGCGACGGCGACGGCGACGACGACGACATGGACGCGCGCGACTCGGACGCGCGCCGCGCGCAGGCGACGGACGTGAAGAAGACGTGCGAGCCCTGCGGGGACTACCGCGTCGACGTCACGGCGGCGGCCTTCGGCACCTGCGTCTGCGGCTGGCCCAAGGCCAGCCACGGCGCCGCGGTCGCGTCGTCGGCGACGGGGGGGCGGGTCCGCGACGTGCTCGCGGCCTACGAGGACATGATGCGCGCCGCGGAGCGACGGGCGGCCGAGGAGGAGGAGCTGCTGCGGTCGCGGGACCCGTCGAAGATCGCCGCGGCCCTCGCGCGGAAGCGCGCGCAGACGGCCGCGCCTCGGGAGGGGCCGGCGCCGCCGACCTTTGCGAACGTCGCCGGCGCGCGCGGCGAGCTCCGCGTGAAAATCGAAGCGCCGGGTTCGTTCCTCTACGCCGTCGCCCGGGACGGCGCGGCCCTGCCGGCGGATTTTGAGGACTGGACGAGCGGCCGCGACGAGGCGACGGTCGTGCTCGGCGACAAGGGCCGCTACCTCTTCGCGGCGATCGGCGACGACGGCGGCGGCGGCCGGTCGGACGTCGCGACGGCCTACTTCACGCTCGAGGACCCGGAGTTCCTCTTCCACGAAGCCCACGCGCATGAGCTCGCGGCGCTGGGGAAAAAGTACGCGAGCGGGTCCCTGGCCTGCGGCCTCTGCGGCGCGACCGTCGAGGACCCCGGCGACGGCGGCTGCGCGGGCTACCGGTCGCTCGTCGACGCGCCCTTCGCGCTCTGCCGCGCCTGCGCCTTTCCCGCGGGCGGCGAGCGGCCCGCGGTCACCGTCGCCGTCGACGTCGGCGCGCGGCGCCTCTGGCTCAGCGAGCCCGTGCGCTTCGTGGGCAACGACGTCGCGGTCGTCGACGAGAGCCTGCCCCTCGTCGCCATGCTCGCCGACGCCCTCGGGCGCCACGCGAGCATCGTTGCGCGCCTCGAGGGCCACGCGAACAGCAGGTGCGGCCTCGACTGCGACGGGTCGTCGGACTGCGCCAACGCCAAGTGCCGGAAGCTCTTCGGGTCCCGCGGCGGCGCCGTCGGCTTCTCCTACCGCCGCGCGAACGCCGTCGTCGAGCACCTCGTCGCCGCGGGCGTCGACGGCGCGAGCGTCAGCGCCGTGGGCCTCGCGGGCTCGCGGCGCATCGTCGACGACCCGGAGGCGGCCGACAACTACCGGAACCGGCGCGTCGAGATCCACTGCGCCTGACACACGCCGCCGGTCCTAGTCCGTAGAGCTTCCCGAGGCGCTCCAGCTTCGCGCGCCGGGGGAGGCCCGTGAGGTGGAGCGCGGCCGTTTGTGCGGTGGCGAAGTCCCGGGGTCCGTCGCGCGGCAGCGCGCGGTTGTACTTGGCGAAGACGACGCGGTCGAGGCGGACGTACTTGCCCGCGAGCGTCGCGTTCGTCGAGAGCCGCGCCCAGAGGAACTTCTGGTCGACGGCGGCCCGCGAACCGGCGTCGGGGGACGCCGCGAGCTCGGCCCTCCAGGCGACGCTCAGCGCGCCGAAGAACAGCGCGAGGCGCCGGCTCGGGCGGACCCAAAAGAACCTACCAAGAAGCATGACGGTGACGATTTTTCGTCGTTTTCCCACCCAAAAACTCTCGAAAATCGTCACGGCCACAGGACGCTGAAAAAAAGAACCCGATGTTCAACGTGTCGTCGACGACGTTGTCCATCGCCGCGAAGACTCGTCGCCGCCGGGCGACGGCCGGCAGCGCGGCGACGGGATCTCGCGCGAGGAAGACGTCCATCTCCGAGAAGAGGACGTCGAAGCGCCAGCGCAGGAGCTGGCCGACGACCTCGAACTTGGACAGGCCCGTGAGCGCCGGCAGCGCGTCGGCCGCGCGCGGCCGCGCCTCGGCCGACGCGTAGGACACGGCGCACGCGCCGGAGACGGCGTAGAGCCGCGGCAGCCCCGCGGACAGCGCGATGACGACCTGCTGGTCGTGGCCCCAGCGCGCGAGCGCCGCGGACCAGGCGGGCAGGAACCGCAGGTAGGTCGTGTCGGCGCTCGTGACGACGACGGGCGCCGCCCGCGCGTAGGCGCGGGCGCAGCGCTTCAGGTCCGCGTAGGCGGCGCCGTTGCTGACGATCACCGCGGGCGCCGTCGCGCACAGCCGCGCGGCGACGAGCAGGGCGCGCCGCATCAGCTGTGTCTGCTAGAGTGCTTCGGCTGCTGGTAATCGCCGCTGCGCGAGCATTGCGCAGGCTCCCATAAGCCAGAGGCTGCCCGCAGCTCCAATGTCAACATCAAACACACGAAAATTTAGGCGTCTCGCAGGCCCTCGAGGCGCGCGAGGAGGAGCTCCCGCGCGAGCTCGAGGCGCGCGGCCGTGGAGCGCGTCGAGAAGGCGAAGAGGACGTCCTCGGCGCGCGCGGGCCCGTAGGGCGGCCGGAGCGCGCGCCAGGCCGCGAAGCTCACGGCCCGGAGCTCGTCGATCTCCTCGTTGACGGAGACGACGTCGCCGTAGGCGTCGAGCACGGGCGCGGCGGCGGCGCCCGCGAGCGTCGCGTCGTCGGCCGCGGCCGTCGCCGCGTCCGCCGCGTCCGCGAGCGGCCGGTCCAGGGCCAGGTCGATCTTGTCCACGGTCAGGCGCGCCCGGATGGCGTCGTGGAGGCGCCCGCAGTCGTCGGCGATGGGCCGCAGCGCGTGCACGAGGTGCACGGGGCTCGACTGGATCTCGTCGACCCACGCGTCCTCGAGGACGGCGCGCCCCCCGACGGCGGCGACGAGCGCGGAGCCGCCGGCGGAGGCGTCGTCGTCCCAGTAGGGCTCGGCCATCTCGTTGAGCACGTCGAGGCGCCGGATCGCGACGCGGCCGACGACTTCCAGCGTCGCGCTCTCGACGGCGAGGCCGACGCCGTCGTCCGTGCGCGCGCCGGTCGTCCGCAGCTTGCGCACGGCGCAGAGCGCCGCGACGCGGAAGCCCGACGACACCGCCCTGGCTTCGCTGAACGCGCGCCGGTACGCGACCTGCGCGTCCCTCCGCGTGCCCTCGTCGTGGACGCCCGTCGTGTACACGGCGCGCCGGCCGCCGCCGCCGGGCGCGAGCACGGGCTGCGTCTGCTCCGGCGCCGGCGCGGCGGACACGGCGGGCAGCATGGCGACGACGGCCGTGTGCTCGCCCATCATCGACTCCATGGTCGCGGCCTGGAGCGCCGCGACCTGCGACGGCGTCGGCTGCCGCAGCGTGCGCCGGTCGCCGGGCATCCACGCGACTTCGCGGCCGACGTCCGCGATGAGCACGCGCAGGGAGCGCTCCGCCAAGGCATGGGTGGATGCAAGTTGGACGAAGAGGAGGAGCCAAGGACGCGCGCAATCCTTCACCGAGCGCGTCATGACGCTCGATCACGAACTCGGCGGCGGCAACACCGCTGCACGTTGCAGATACGAAGCTAGCATTAACGCCGCTCCTCGGCGTGCAAGACCGACCTCATTGAATCTCCGGCGGCTTCGCGCCTGGCTCGCGACGGATGATACTGCTTGCTCTTGCTTTTACGTGTTGTTAATGGCTCGCTGTATGTATTTGGTTCCGCTCTAGAGCTTCTCACTGATCAGGGCTGCTGTTCCATCGCTGGGTTATATCTCGATGGGCTCCGAGAACCGGGTCTAGGCGCACGTGCTGCCCACCGGGGCCGTCCTTCCGCCGGGATACAACTTACAAACAACACCGCGACCGCCGCCGCGACCGCCGGCGGCCGCCTCCGTCGCGCTCCCCGCCTGAGGGCGCCGTGAAACGGCGGCGAGAATTTCAAAGATGCGGCGGACGAGCAATGCCTTCCGCAAGCTCTTCGGCATGCCCGTCATGAAGCTCGACAAGGAGGCGGGGAAGCTGAACAGCGGCCGCGTCGCGCCGGACACGACGCCCATGGAGGACCTGGACATGGTCGACGGCGTCGACGTCGAGGACGCGCTCAAGATCTTCGAGGTGCCGGCCCTCAAGGCCATCTCGGAGAACGACCGGCGCCAGATCCTCGTGCGGCTCCACCCCGTGGTCTTCGCCAAGGACGCGCCGCTCATCGAGCAGGGCACGCCCGCGACGGACGCGTCGAAGCTCACCTTTTTAACGTCGGGCAAGATCTACGTCATGGTCGGCGAGCTCAAGGTCACGGAGCTCAAGGCCCCGCTCTACGTCGGCGAGGGCGGCGTCTTCACGGAGAAGGAGGCGTCCGCGTCCGTCCTCGCCTTCGAGGACTGCCGGGGCTACCAACTCGCGAAAGCCGACTGCAAGCAGCTCTACGCGTCCAACTGCCGCGCCGTCAAGCTCATCGAGCGCGACATGCTCATCCGCGCCCTCGAGCGCGAGATCCAGCGCTGCGAGCCGCGCATGTTCGGCGAGGTGCGCCACGAGGGCCTCTTCATGTCCGCGATCCTCGACGCGGCCGTGCGGACCTACAGCAGCGAGGCGCTCCAGTTCGTGCTCGCCGTCGAGGAGCTGAAGAAGCTCGTGTCGAACAAGGACAGCGACATGCTGTTGGCCATCCGGCCGACGATCCTCGAGGACGTCGAGCACCTCTACACGACGCACCTCCTCGAGGCCGCGCCGGAGAACGGCAACCTCGGCGTGTCCCTGGAGATCAACCTCGACGCGCCGAGCCGGAAGCGGCTCTACGAGGGCCGCGACGACATCATCGCCCGGGGCAAGGAGGAGCCCCTCGCGTACGCGGATTTCGCGTCGCTCTTCGACAAGGAATACAAGAAGAACGTCGGCGAGATCCGCCGCGGCACGATCCCGCGCTTCCTCAAGTCGCCCGAGTACGAGGAGTTCAAAACGGCCATGTACCCCCTCCCCGCCGACGACGCCAAGTACGAGCAGACCGCGTCCTACTCGAACTGGATCGTCAAGCAGAAGCTCCGGGGGTCCAAGAGCCTCGACACGCCCCCGGGCGCCGGCCGCATGGTCAAGACGAACGGCGCCGCGTCCAACGGCGACCTCGTCAAGCCCACGAACGGCGCCAACGGCTCCGTCGCGCCCGCCAACGGCGCCGGCGGCGCGCCCGTCGAGGCGTGAGGCCGACCCCCGGGGGAAGACGCCCCGCCCCCCACGTCCTAGAGACGCCTTGTCCCCGCGTCGCGTGTGTGCTAGCCCGGCGCCCCTCGCGGGGCGCCGGCGGGTCGTGTCATTAGGAAAAAAAGTTCGTCTCGTCCCCATGCGTCGGCCGGCGGTCAACTCAGTCGTCGCCGAAGCGCTCGGAGGGCTTCGGCGGCGGCGGCGGGCGGAGGCCCGCGTGGTAGGCGCGGATGATCTCCGAGGACTCGGGCGAGAAGCGCCGCGGCGCGAGGGGCGGGTGCCAGTCCATCGGCGGCGGCGCCGAGCCCCGCTCGCGCGGCTCGGCCTCGGCCTCGATGCGGCTCCAGTCCGCCGCCTCGTCCCAGGCGTCGACGAGCAGGCCCACGGCCTCGCGCAGCGGCACGGGCGCCGGCAGCACGCCGCCGTTCTCGAGGCCGAAGGCCGCGGCGATGGTGCCGTCGACGTCCAGCGTCCGCGGTCGCCTCGGCTTGTCGCCAAAGTTCCCGGACTGGGTCCACTCCATGTCTAGAGGGCCCGGCAGCAACGACGGCGCAGAGAGCGAGTGCACCGAGGGCTGTGCGCCTGCCGGCGGGACGGACGAGCTGTCTAGGAGCGAGCTGCAATCGGCTCGGCATCCAGATCGAAGCGTGCGCATGCCGCAACTTGAACCCGAGGCCGGCGCGCAACTCGTCGAGACGCGTCGACGTCGACGTCGCAGCATAGCGCTCAGTAACGGGACGTTACCGCGCGTCCCCCAGCCGCCTGTCCGCCGCCCGCCGCTCCGCGCCCGCGGCGGACCACACGCGCGGGAAGAACGCGTCGTGGACGACGCCGTCGCCGAGGTCGTAGCGGCCGTAGATGTAGTCCGGCTTCGGCCGAAACCGAACGTCGTCGCGGACGTAGTGGAGCCCGAGCGCGCGCCGCGGCCGGTCGGGCGTACCGTTCTCGCCCGACCCGTGCCAGACGTCCTGGTGGTGGAAGACCGCGCTGCCGGCCGGCACGACGCAGCGCCGGACCTCGACGGCCTCGTCGACGCCCGCGGCGCGCGCCACGGCCCGCATGGGCGACTGGCCCCGGCCGTCGTGGAACGACGCCGCGGCGACGCCGGCGGCCCCGCCGTCGGCCCACGCGTGCGACCCGGGCGCGTACTCGACGACGCCCGTGGCCTCGTCGGCGTCGTCGAGCGCGATCCACACGGTGACGGAGTTGCGCTCCTCCGGGACGAAGTTCGCCGAGATGTAGGGCGCGTCGCGGTGGTGCGCGACGCCTTCCGCGCCGGGCGGCTTCCAGAGAACGTCGTCTTGCGCGAGGCGCGCGCCGCCCCAGCCCATGAGCTCCGCGCAGCGCCGGCCGATAGTCTCGTCGAGCGCGACGCGCGCGACGGCGTCGCTGCTCTTCCAGGCGTTGACGATCTCCCGGAACGCCTCGGGCCGCGAGATGCCCTCGCGCCAGTGCCACTCGTCCGGGTAGATCTTCGTGTCGAACTCGCCTCGGAACAAGCCGTCGTAGGTCGCGCGCAGCGCCGCGCACTCTTCTTCCGATAACACGTCGGGCTGCAGCACGAAGCCGTCGGCCTCGAAGGCGGCGCGCTGCGCCTCCGTCCACGCGGGGCCGCCGCGCTGGAGCGTTGTTTCCGAGCCGCCGCGGGCGCGCAGCGCGCGCGGCAGCGCGCGCGGCGGCGGACCTGGAAAGCCGCGCGCGCGCACGGCGTCAGGTCCGCCGCGCGCGCGCGCCGGCGCTGCGAAAATGATGAGTTTGAGGAGCTCCATGCTGTGGCAATTGTGCCGGTTGACAAGTTCAAGTCGTCCAAAACACCACCACCGTCGGCGGCGCACCGACATGGCGCTGCAGGCGCTGGCGTCGCGGCGGTCGCAGTACGTCGTCGGCGCGCTGTGCGCGCTGGTGCTGCTGCACCGGCTGGCGCGGGCGCCGGAGGTCCTCCGGGCGGACACGAGCATGCTGCCCTTCGGGGCAGCCTCGAACCTGACCGCGGAGTTGCGCGCGCTCGACGCGACGCTCGCGCTGCTCGAGCGGCGGCTCAGACCCGCCGCCGCGGCACCCGCCACCGCCGCGCCGCCGGCGCAGGCGCGGCCGCGGCGGGGAAGAGACCGCGCGGACATCGACGCGCGGCTTCGCGGCGTCGAGGCCGCGCTCGGCGAGGCCGGCGGCGGCGGCGGCGACGCGGCGGCCTTCCGGGGCCTCGACGCGCGGCTGCGGCGCGTCGAGGCGGCCGTCGCGGCGGGCGCCGCGGCGCGGGCCGCCGCGCCCGCGGCGGACGCGCCCGCGGCGGAAGCTCCGGCGGACGCGCCGGCGCCGCGGCCCGCGGCCCCTTCCAACGCGCCGCCGGCGCCCGCGCCGACGCAGGGCCCCGGCTACCGGGCGCGGCGGCTCGCCTTCAACGAGAGCCTGCCCCGCCTGCCCGCGCCCGTGTCGCCGGCCGCCTCCGGGCCGGCGACGCGCGGCGTGCTGTCCTTCAGCGGCATCCTCGAGGCGTCGCGTTACGTCGAGGGCGGCGCCCAGCTCGGCGAGTTCAGCGTGAGCCTGTTCCTGCGGTCGCGGGCCGGCTGCCTGCCCTACGGCTGGCACCCGCGGATCTACGCGTACGCCGACTACGACCGGGGCGGCCCCTGGCACGTCGGCGGCTGCTCGCTGCTCAACGCCGTCGTCGGCCGCACGGCGCCGGCGGCCTGGCGGCCCCTCTGGCGCAAGCGGCGCGCCTGCTGCCCCGCGGCGCCCGAGGACGAGCTCTTCGCGCCCGGCGGTTTAGGCGCGCGCGAGAAGGGCGAGCGGGCGCGCGTCAAGGACGTGCTCTGGAACGGGCCCCGCAGCGACTGGGGCCTGAGCCTGAGCGAGACGACGGGCCGCCTCCTCTTCGGCGTCGGCCACCGCGACTACGTCTACCGGCCGCGGTCCGGCCGGCCCGTGCGCGACGAGACCGTGGCGACGACGGGCCCGTCGCTCGTCGACGACGCCTGGCACTCCGTCGTCGCCGTGCGGCGGCGGCGCGCCGGCCCCGTCGCGGCCGGCGGCGGCGCCGTGCGCGACGGCGCGGCCTTCGACAAGTTCCAGGACAGCGAGCTCCTCGTCTACGTCGACGGCGCGCGCGCGGAGACCGCCGCGAACGCGACGGGCGGGCCCCTCGGCGCCGCGGCGACGGCGGCGGCGACGCGGGCGTTAGCACTGGCCGCCGGGGCGCCGGCGACGGACTACGGGCCGCCCCACGAGCTGTACGACGCGACGCACCGCGTGCCGCTCGGCCAGCTCTTCCGCGGCTGCCTGAGCGACGTCCAGATCCACCGGCGCGCCTGGACGGCGCGCGACGTCGCCGCGTTCCACGCGAAGCGGCCCGCGGACGCGACGCCCTGCGAGCCGCCGCGGGCCCGGGGCATGCCCGAGGCCGACGCGGCGCCGCGGCGGCCGCGGCGCGCGGCGCCCATCCCCGTCTACTACCTCGCGCACACGGACGCTGGGTCCCTGGCCATGCGCGACGCCTTCGTCGCGTCCGTCAAGGACGCGCCGGGCGACCTCGAGCTCCGCGAGGTCCTCGCGGGCGACCTCGGCGCGAGCCAGAAGGAGCGCTACGGCCCCAAGGGCCAGCTCATCCACCGGGCGCTCACGGAGAACCCGGCGGGGACCCTGGTCGTCGTCGCCGACATCGACATCCGCTTCTTCCGCCCCCTGGCGCCCCTCTTGGAGGCCTACGCGGAGCGCCGGTCCGCGGACGCCGTGTTCCAGCGCGACGCGGACTGGTCCCTCGAGGCGAACCTGGGGCTCATGGCGCTGCGCTGCTCCGCCCGCGTCGACGCCTTCTTCGCCGAGACGGCGGCCATGGCCGCGACCTACGGCGCCGGCGACAAGGCGACGATCAAGCGGCAGAACTCGGGCGTCAAGGGCGGCGACCAGCGCATCGTCAACGTCGCGCTGAAGAACCCCGCGCGCGTGCCCGCGCTGCCGGCGATCTCCTGGGCGCTGCTGCCCCACGAGCTCACGACGCGCACCATCGACCTCCAGCGGGGCATGATGTACAAGCACGAGGAGGCGACCTACGGCTACCACCTCAACGACTTCGGCGGCGCGGGCACGACGCCGGAGAAGGCGCGCGAGAACAAGATGGCCATGCTCGCCCAGGAGGAGGCGGCCTTCAAGGAGGAGACAAACAAGGCCCAGGCGCTGTTGATCAAGTACGCCCAGCACCCGCCGCCCTGGGACTAATGTTTCGTTGAAGTGGTATTTGAAGTTTTGAATGCGAGCAGCCGATGGGAGCTGTGAAAAGCAAGGAGGACGCGCCGCCGGCGGCGAAGCGCGTGACGCGGTCCTACGCGCGGTGCGCGAGCTCGACCGCGAGCAGAGCGTTGGCTATCGACGGCGTCGGCTCGCTCGTGCTCGACGGCCTCGACGGCCGCTCGCTCTCGACGATAGGGGCTGTCTCCTCGCTGTTCCTGGCCGGGGCGCGGGACGAGACGCGGTGGAAGCGGGTCTACCGACAGCGGTACTCGCAGGATAATAATAATGCGAAAAATCCACTCGACAGTCTGGACGTGTCCTACAGGAGATTGTTCGCGCAGCGGCAAAGCCGCGAGCGAGACGTGCCAAACCCGCGTGACGCGTTGCGGCTGCGGGATCTGGTCTTCATGGTCGAAGTGTCGAATGTATGGGAAATCATCGCTACGGAGACGTTTGAATTGAAGGAGTGGCCTGACGAGGGCGTGATTTCCGTCGAGGACGTAGTAATGAACGTCGGTTCGCAGCTTTACAGCGTCGGCGACCTCAAGGACTTGGGCGCACAGCAGCTGCCGTGCTACGACTACAAGTGGTCGGTCCTGCGGAAGTCGGACATGATGGTATGCTGCCTCGCGAGCGGCGGGTTGCCGCCCGTCCGACTTTCGCAGTTCGGTCCGCGATTCAACGAAGACGGCTGCCCTTCCGAAGAGGTCTCGGTGAGCTACCCCGTCTCAACGGTAACGTACGCCAGCCCGGTGCACGCCAACGGCGAAATGACCCCCCACGTGACTGTCAGCGCGAGGTTTTGTCGTAATGACACCCAGGCCTTCGAGGACGAGGCGGCGCTGGAAGAGGACGACTTCTACACGCTCGAAGACATCAGCATCGGGTTTGCGCTGCGCGAAGGAAACTTAGCGACACAACCCTGGGAAGAGTGGCCATCAGCGCCCTTCTCCGAGGCGGCGTTCCTGAGCTGGCTCATGAACGAAAAAGCTAACGCATGGGTATAGCTCCCGCCTGATCCTCAGTCGTAACCCGGAGCGCATCGTCGGCGCTGTCTGCCGGCGGCATCAATCGGTGTTGGAGGCCAACATCTGGCCAACTCGCCGCCGCGAGCTCGAGCGCCGCCGCGCGCACCGCCGCCGCCGGCCGTGCGACCGCCCGCCGAAGCGCCATGGCGACGGTGGAGCCGCTGCTGAAGCCCTTCGAGACGAGCGCGCCGCCGGCGAGCTACGACGCGCTCGACGCGACGCTGCGCGCCTTCATGGCCAAGACCGTGCCCATCGAGTCCGACGGCGAGCTGCGGCGGCGCGAGCGCGTCATGGGCGAGCTGAAGCGGCTCTTCCAGGCCTGGGTGCGGAGCGTCTGCAAGGCCAAGGGCCTGAGCGACGAGCTCGCGTCGGAGGCCGGCGGCAAGCTCTACACGTCCGGGAGCTACCGGCTCCGCGTGCACGAGCCCGGCGCGGACATCGACAGCATCTGCGTCGCGCCGAACCACTGCACGCGCGAGGACTTCTTCGACACGCTCAAGGCCATGCTCCTGGAGCACCCCCAGGTCGAGAACTTGCGGAGCGTCGAGACGGCCGTCGTGCCGATCATGACCTTCGACCTCGACGGCGTGAACATCGACCTGCTCTTCGCGCACCTGCCGCTGAACGCGATCCCGGCGTCGCTCGACATCGACGAGGACGCCGTGCTCCAGGGCGTCGACGAGGCCACGGAGAAGAGCCTCAACGGCCCGCGCGTGACGAACCTCATCTACAAGCTCGTGTCGCACAACTACGAGTCCTTCCTCCAGGTCCTGCGCGTCGCGCGCGTCTGGGCGAAGCGCCGCGGCATCTACAGCAACAAGCTGGGCTACTTCGGGGGCATCAACTTCAACATCTTGGTGGCGCTCATCTGCCAGCTCTTCCCCAAGGCGACGCCGTCCTATTTGCTCTGCAAATTCTTCGCGATCTTCGCGAAGTGGGACTGGCCCGCGCCGGCGATCCTCTGCCGCCCGTTGGACCACGGCTACGGCTTCGAGGTCTGGGGCCAGAACGCGGAGCAGCTCCGGGGCCGCATGGCCTACCACAACCTGCGGAACAACCTCATGCCCATCGTCACGCCCGCGTACCCGGCGATGAACTCCGCCGCGAACGTGAACCCCTGGTCCTTCGCGGTGCTGCGGGACGAGTTCGCGCGGGGCGCCGAGGTCTGCAAGCGCATCGTCGCCAGGCACGCGGAGCTCGCGGAGAACGGCGCCGTCGACCCGGACGTCGGCGGCCCGCTGTGGGACGAGCTCGTCGAGAAGACGGACTTCTTCGACAAGTACGACGCGTACCTCGCCGTCAACGTCCTGGGCGACGGCGAGAAGGAGGACTTCGACAACTTCAAGGGCTTCCTGAGCTCGCGGCTGCGGAAATTGGTGGAGAAGATGGGCCATTTGCCGTTGAAGATGATCCACCTCTTCCCGAAGGAGTACCCGGAGTCGACGGTGCCCCTCGCGAAGCACTCCTGCTGCTACTACGTGGGTCTGCGCGAGGACGCGCAGCGCATGACGGGCGAGAGCCTCGTGCTCACGCACGTCTGGACCCAGTTCTGGCAGGACGACGTCGGCAAGTTCCGGGGCCTCGACGACGAGTTGGACGTCCGTTTGGAGCACCTGACCTTCGAGCAGCTGCCCGACGCCGTCTTCGGCGACGACGCGGACGCCGTCGCCGCCGCGCGCGCGACGGCGGTGGCGCGCCGCGAGGTCCGCCACGCGGACGAGGCCGCGCGCGCGGCCGCGGACGAGGCCGACGAGGGCGAGACGAACGCGGCGCTCAAGGCCCTCGACGAGGCCGCCAAGGCCGCCGGCGGCGCGAAGCGGCCCCGCGACGACGACGACGACGACGTCGACGACGACGTCGCGCACCTCGTCGACGTGAAGAAGGAGGAGTCCCCGCTCGACGCGACGGCGCCGGGCTGGGAGCCCAAGAAGCCCCGGACGATCCACGACGTCGGCGACGACCTCCCGCGCCTCGCCGCCGTCATCCCCGCCTGGCACCCGCTCGCGACCGTGTCCCGCATCCCCCGGACGACGCGCGTCGAGCTGAGCCTCTGCCCGCCCAAGAAGAAGCGCGAGCTCGCGGGGAAGTAAGCGCTAGCTAGGTTCCACTTTACTGCCGTAATTCGCCGGCGAGTGCGAGTTTGCTTGCTTTGCCGGAGTCGTCGCGAGTTTTTGCGTTTGCCGCAGCTCGATTTGCCGGCGCCGCTACTTGGGGAAACGGCGAGTTTCCGTGGTACATTGAAGTAAAGTTGTACCTCAACTTGAAGCAAACTACGATAAATTGGCTGCCAAGCCCCTCACACAACCAGCGCCGTCATCGCAGGAGGAACCGCGAAGCGCCGTAATATCCGCGCCAATAAAGCAGAGCTTATTTCGGTCATTTCCGCGCGTCACGCGCGCCGCGTAGTACGCGGGACGCCACGGCTTGAAGGGCCTCTCGGCCGTCGCAAACCCCGCCCGCCGGCAAACTCGCCGGCGGCAAATCACCGGCAAAGTCAAACTCGAAAAACTCGCCCCTGGAGCGGCAAAGTTTTTACGGTAAAATGGAACCTAGAGCGCTAGGCGAAGCGACGCACCTCGGACCGGCCGCCGGCGGGCATTCGAGGCTACCGGAAGGCTAACAGATGCCTAGGCGAGGCGGAACGCGGTCGTCTTGGCGATGGTCGCGCGGCAGATGGGGCACGACTTCGACGTGGCCCGGATCGACGTCGCGCACGCGCTGCAGAGGCACGCGTGCGCGCAGGGCAGCAGGACCAGCGACCGCGGGCGGTCGCGGCAGACGACGCAGGTCGTCGCCTCGTCGGCGGCCTCCATTTTCGCGCGCTTGTCGCGGTGCGCCGCGGCGTCCCCGCCGTCCGGCGTCGCGCCGGCCATCCAGCCCAGGCACCGCTCGAGGCTCGCGTTCGCGGCTTCGAGCTCGTAGACGCGCGCCTGGAGCGACGACGTCTCCGATTCGCGCAGCATCCGCGACTCGCGGCCCTCGCGCGCCGCGGCCGCGGACATCGACAGCTCGCGCTGCGCCTTGCTCGCCTCGGCCATCGCGATCTTCAGCGACACCTTCGCCTTCTCGACGGCGATCTGCGGTTTCACCTCGGGGTGGAACGCGAGGCTCGTGAGCGCGAACTTGGCGTGCTCCTTCGCTTTTTTCGCGTCCTCGTCGTCGGCGCCCCCCAGGGCCAGAGCGACGAGCGGTTCCAGAGCCCCCGCGGACGCGATCGCGTCCTTGGTCGCGAGGTCGACCAACGCCAGGTTCCGGAGGCAGCACGCCGCGTGGACGGCGGGCAGCCGGCCGCGCCGGAGCACGCCGACGAGCGCGTCCAAGCAGCCCGCCTCGACCATCTTGATCTTGTTGTCGCCGTGCAGCGACAGGTTCGCGAGCGCGCGGGACCCGTGGCCCATCGCGTCGGACGCCTGAGTCTCGCGGACGAGCGCGACGAGCGGAACGATCGCCGCCGACCCGATTTCGACGCGCGCGGCGGGCTTGTGCGCCGCGAGATTCCCGACGACGCCCGCTGCGGTTATCTTGATCACGAGGACGTCGTCGGTCAGCAGTTCGACGAGGGGCGAGACGGCCCCGGCGGCCAGGATCGGCGCCGCGTTCGACGGCTTCACCGAGAGCAGGAGCAGATCTCGCACGTTCTTTTTGCAGGAATCGTCGTCCTCGAGGTCGTCCTCCAAGTGGCTGACGAGGTCGTCGAAGACGGCGTCGGCGTCGAAGCTCTTGCCCGCGAGCGCGAACTTCCGCTGCCCCGCGACGTACTTCTCGATCGTGAGCCGCGGGGTCTCGCGGTCCGTCTCGGGGCAGCCCTGCGCCGAGATGAAGCTCCAGCGCTCCTCGCACTCCGACGCCGTCCGGATTTGATATGGGACAGGCGCTTCTTCGAGTCGAGACGCGACGTCCTCCCATTTGTTGGCGCCGAGCTCGAAGACGAGGCGCAACAGAGTCGTCTCCTCCTCGCGGGTCCACACGTGCGGAGGCACGCGGTCCGGCGGAAGATTCGACACCTCGGTTGCGGGCCGGCGGGTCGCGGCGGGTGGCACGCGCGGCGGCGCGCCGGGCGACGAGGAGTCAACGTCGGCGCGGCCCGCGGCCTGGACGGCCGGCGGCACGGTAGTGCGCACGGGCGTGTGATGCCGCGGCTGCTCCCGGGCGCCGACCGCGCGCCGCGCGCGCTCGGCGCCCTGCGCGCCCGGATCGTTCCGGGGGAGCCAGCGATTCGCCGCGGGCAGGTGGATCCGGCTGTCCCGGGCGAGCGGGGACCGATATTGCCGGCGGGTCGCGGCGGGTGGCACGCGCGGCGGCGCGCCGGGCGACGCAAAGGCAGGTGGCACGCACGGCGGAACGCCGGGCGACGCAAAAGTCCGCAGGCTTGTCGCTGAGCTCGCACGAGGGGAGTCATCGTCGGCGCGGCCCGCGTCCTGGACGGCCGGCGGCGCGGTAGGGCGCACGGGCGTGTCCTCGAGGGCCGCGCGGGACGCGTCCTGGACGGCCGGCGGCGCGGTAGAGCGCACGTGGGGCGGGGACGTGAAGGTATCGCGCGCCCGGGCGATGAGGGCGTCCTGGACCTCCTCCGGCAGCTGCTGGCCCGCGTTCGCAATTCTTACCATCTGCTGATGGTAGCCCATGTCCTCCAACGCCCGCCCCAGCAGCTCCCGGGGCGGCACCTGCTCCGCGGCGATGAGCTGGCCGAGCTGGAACAAGGCCGACGGCGCCTCCTGCGCCGCGTCGGAGGGGGCTTCATCGTCGGAGGACAACTCCGCCTCCATTCGACGGGCCAACCCAAGCGCCGTAAGGCGATTGCCCGTGTCTCCGTTCGCCGCCGCCGGAGTCGTCGGACGATCCGCATTCGAATCAAGCGCAATACTCTCCTCTGATTCCTCGCCGACGCGGATCACGGCCGGGTCTCCGATAGGCGACGGCGCCGTCATGAATCCAGATGGCGTTCTTCAAAGGGGGGGCGTCGGGACCGGTTCGTTGGGGCGCGGCTCGTCGCGCGCGACCTGCGAACTCGCAGGCGTGGAGACTCGCTCGAGGTGGAGTCGATGTTGCCCGGCAACATCTTGGCATAACGCTCTCCGTCACGCTGTTCCGGGCAGCATCTCTCGACGATGCGCGTCGACGAGCTGCGCGCCATGCTCCAGCCGCCCTCGCCGATCAAGGTCGGCTGGGAGGCGAAGCCGCCGTCGCCGACGAAGACGCAGTCGATCAGAGCGAAGCTCAAGGCGGCGCAGCGGGCGCTGCGCGAGGAGCGGGCCACCCGCGACACGAAACGCCAGCAGCGCGCCGCCGCGGCCGACGCGCCGCGCGCGGACTCGGAGCTGAAGCAGGACATGGAGCGGTCCATGCGCGCGGCGCGGCGCGGCGCGCCGGCGCCCGGCGACGCGGCGGAGACCGTGAGCCTCTTCGTCGCGCTTCCGGACGGGACGACGTGCGCGCTCCGGGACCTGCCGACGTCCTTCACGGCCGACGACATCCGCCACGCCCTGGAGCGGCTCTCGGCGCGCGACGGCGGGGAAACGACACATTACCCGGCGCACGCCGTGACCCTGGTCCACGGCTCCAAGGACTTCCGGCCGGGCGAGAGCGTCGCGTACCGGGGCGTGAGGGACGGCGCGACGCTCCACCTGCTCGTCCGCGCCCTCGGCGGCGAGGGCTTCGACGACGAAGCGCCCGAAGAAGAGGAGGACGAGGAGCCCTACGAGGACGTCGGCGAGGAGGCGGCCGTCGAGGAGGCGCCGGACCGGCGCCGGTTCCTAGATCTGAGCGACGCGGACATCGACGGCTTCGAGCGGCGCCTCGCGACGGTGGGCGACGTGCGTGACGCGCGCAAGAAGCTGTCGCCCCACAAGTTCAAGCGCCGGGTCGCGCGGCGCCGCCGGCGCCGGCCGACGAGCCTCTCGGAGTGGGCGCTCGGCGCCGAGAAGTACGCGTGCCGCTGGCCCTACGCCAAGGGCGCGGTCTACTGCCTCGGCCTCTTCGAGGGCTACGACGGTGACCCGCGCGGCGGCCGCGGGAGCGACGTCCACGCCGGCGGCCGCAAGACCGTCGCGCGGTGGGCGCCCCGCGGCGACGACGAGCACACCTACGCGTCGACGAAGCGGCCGACGGTCGTCGTCGACGTGCTGGACGTGACGGACGGCCGGGGCCCGGCCGTCGACATCGGCCCCGGCGCCAAGGTCGCCGTCGTCGAGGTCCGCGACGACGAGCAGCTCCACGACGACGACGACGTCCACTTCGTCGACGACGGCCACGACGTCCGCGACCGCGCGGGCGGCGGCGGCGCGGCGCGCGCCGAGGACGTCCGCGAGGCGCACAACGGCGCCAGCGGCGTGCCCCTGGGCCTGTCGTTCCGCGCGGCGAAGACCCTGCGCGCGCGGAACGGCCGCGTGTTCCTACGAGTTCTCGTGACGAAGCTGCCGCGAGGCTACGACGCCGCGGACTGGGAGGTCATCGACGACGCGGCGCTGGACGCGCGGAGCCGCGCCGTCCAGGGCTCCGACTGGCGCGGCCGCATGTGGGGCGACGTGCCCCTGCGGTTGAAGGTCGCCATCCGGCGCGTCCCGAGGGTGCTGGCGGCCGTCGTCACGACCGTCACGTGCGACGCGGGCGGCGGCGCGCCGCGCACGCGCGAGAAGAAGATCGACGACGCGCGCCTGGAGCTCAAGGTCGCCACGGAGACCAAGGCGCTCCACGTCGTGACGCCCGCGCAGGTCTTCGCCAACGGCACGGCGTCGTACGTGCTGCCGTCGTGCGACGCGGAGGTCGCGCTGACCGCGGCCCACGACCTCTACCGCGACGGCGGGTCCACGGCGCGCCACCGCGTCGGGCCGGAGCACTGGCCGCCGTCGGGGCCGCTGCGCGTGACGGCGGTCCTGGAGCCGCGGCAGACGACGCTGTCCGTCTGCGTCGAAGTCGCGCGGGGCCTGCCCGTCGACTTCCGCGACGCCGCGCGGGACCGCCTGAAGCGGAGCGACGCGAAGCACCTGAAGGTGTCCATCGGGTCCGTGGTCGTGCCGACGAAGCGCTTGAAGCTCGAAGAGGCGAACGTCGAGGACGAGCCCGACGCGACGGTGCTCGTCGGCCTCAAGCACGCGCCGCCGCCGGGGGCGACGGTGTCGTGGCGGCCCAGGGTGGCCCTGCCGGGCTACGCCTTCGCGGGGCCCGACGTCGTCGACGTCGTCGAGGGCGGCCACGCGCAGATCGTCCTCGTCGTCGTGCCCACGGACGTCGTCCTCGCGATCGACGTCGACGCGGCGGACGGCGGCGACCTCGGAAGCGGGCCCGAGGTCGTCGTGCGGGGCGCGACCCTGGGCCGGCGCACCGGCGCGTCGGAGCAGCCGCTGCTGGACCTGCTCGCGCGCGGCGACCCCGCGAAGCTCTTCGATTTGCTGCGCGGCGGCGTGCCCGTCGACGCGACGCTCTGCGACGGCAAGACCGAGGCCGGCGAGCGGACGACCTACGGCCCGCGCGACTGGCTGCCGACGGAGCCGGGCGCGGGCCGCGACGGCTTCTTCTCCGTGAAGCGGCGCCTCGCAGTCCGCGCGAAGGCGTTCGCGCGGACGCCGCTCCGACTCTTCCTCCACCCGACGGAGCTCGACGTCGACGTCGTCGACGAGGACGGCACACCACTCCCCGACGCGGACCTCCGCGTCGCCGGCGAGTCCTACGGCGGCCGCCGGGGCGTGATCCCGCTCGTGATCCCGAAGGCGCACGCGTCGCCCGAGACCTGGCCCTACGTCGCCCCCCTGGACGCGACCCTCGAGGGCTACATGACGATCACCAAGCCGCAGATCTCCATCTTCCCCGGGCGGCGCGCCGCCGCGACGGTCGTGCTCCGGGAGGCGGCCTTCGCCGTCGACCTCTCCGTCGTCTCGAAGCGCGCGGAGCCCTGCTTCACGCTGTCCCTCGTCGCCGGCGCCGACGCGCCGGCGGCGGCGATCCAGAAGATCCTGGACGACGCGAAGGTCGACGTCGACGCGGCCCTCGCGGCCCGGGAGCCGTCGCCGGCCGCTCCCAGGAAGATGCGCGTGACGGCGGACGCGACGGCGGACGCGCCCGTGCCCTGGGACTGGCTCGGCGAGCAGCTCTGCGACGTCTTTTCCAAGCACACGGACCTCGTCGCGCGCGTCGACGTCGACGGCGGCGCCGACGGGTCGACCGCGCCGTTCGCGCCGCCGCGCGTGGCCATCGGGCCGCTCGACTTCGGCGCGCGCCGCGGCGCCCTGAGCTGCCTCGACGAGCTCGGCGCCGACGCGACGCTGGGCTGCTACCTCGAGGCGGCGGACCCGGAGCCCTGGGCCGTCGTCGCCCCGAACCGCGTCGACGCGGCGCACGACGGCGTCGCCGCGGGCGGCTTCGGCGCGGCGGCGACCTACGCGCTCTCCAAGGTGTCCTGCACGGGCGTCTCCGCCATCCGGGGCCACGTCGACGCCCGCGGCGAGACGTCCGAGGCCATGGCCGTCGCCCCGGACCTCAAGCCCGGCGCGACGTCCAAGGTCGAGCTCGAGTACGCGCCGACCGAGATCCTGGTCCGCGTCGTCGACGAGGCCACGAACAAGAACCTCGAACGGGCGACGGTGGCGCTGACCGTCGGCGCCGCGACCTACGAGCTCGGGGCGCTGCGGGGCCGCTTCGGCGTCGTGGTCCCGACAGGCGCGGCGGAGCTCGCGTTCTCCGCGGCCGCGACGCTCGACGGCTTCACGGTCCCGAAGCACAAGGAGACGACTTTTGTCGTCGCGCCGGGCGCCTGCGTGCCCGTGACGCTGCCCCTGCGGCCCGTCGACGCCGTCGACTTCGAGTTCGACGTGTCGTGCGTCGACGCGTCCGACTGGCCCAACGACCGCGATTTGGACGACGTCGCGCTCACGGTGGGCGCGCTCGCGCTGGGCGCGCGGCGCGGCCGCGTCCACGCGCTGGACCTGCTGTCGCCCCAGGAGGCGGCGGACGTTTTGGACGGCGCGGCGGGTGCGACCTGGGCCGTGGGGCCCGCGCGCGTCGACGCGAAGCGCGCGTCCGGCGACGTCGCGACGTACGCGTTGGTCCCCCGGCCCGTCGGCGCGCCGAGCCTCGCGCCGGCGCCGGGCGCGACGGTGCGGCTGAACGTCGAGTACCAGCCGACGGAAATCGTCGTCGAGGTGCGCTCCACGAAGTGGCGCGAGGGCGACGTGCACGCCGTCGACCTCGTCGTCCGCGGAACCGTCGTCCGCTCGGAGACGACCCACGGCCACCGGAGCCGCCTCATCCTCGGCGTGCCCCTCCCGGACGGCGCCGACGAGGAGGTCGTCGTGCTGCGCGCCGACGGCGCCGCCGCCAGCGCCGCGGTCGAGCTCGGCAAGCGCACGCCGACGGTCGTCCTCGACCTCGACGCGGCGGCCGCGCGGTAAGACTCGGGTCTCTTGCTGCGAATTACTGGAGACTCGTACGCTGCGGGTTGGTCGCGTTTCCAGGCTGAGGTGGTCGAATTCGGCCGAGCGTGGCGGGGAGGCGTGGATTCAGGGGTGCGCGCGTACGCCGAGGTCCTTAGCCGAACCGCGTGTACTGCCGCAGGCTCGCGCCTTCGAGGTACATGAGGTTGTGGTCGTCGGGCCGCCCGTGGAAGCGCCGCGTCCACAGCGACCGCGCCCACTCCACCACGGCCATTTTTTTGTCGACGCGCTGCGCCCACGGCAGCCTCCGTCTCTCCCGGTCGAACAACGTGTCCCAGGCGGCCGCGGCGGCGTCGAGCTCCGCGCGCGCGGGCGCGTCGGGGCAGCGGGCGAGCGCGACGAACTGGCCCGCGTGGACCCGGCGCTCCGCGAGCCAGCCCACGAAGGCGTCGTCCAGTTCGACGTCGGGGCCGACCTCGGGCATGAGGAACGTCTTCCCCGGGTCCGCGGGCCGCAGGCCCGCGGGGATCTGCTCCGTGACCGTCTCGAGGCCGTTGAACGACGTCCGCGTGCGCGGGAGCGGCTGGGGCCCGTAGTGCGCCGCGAGCGGCGGGAACCAGCGGCCGCCGTCCATGGTCGCGTAGAGCTCCGCGCGCGCGCTGAAGATGCCCGGCGGCCAGTCGTGGGCCACGGCCACGGAGTTGCCCCACGAGAGGAGCGCCGCGGGCTGGACGCCGCGGTCGTCCGCGCAGAGCGCCGACAGCACCTCGGCAGCGCGCTCGCCCGTGAACATGCGCGCGTAGCCCGCGGGCGCGTGGCGGCCCGTGTGCGCGTCGACGCGGATGGACGCGGAGTGCCGGCGGACGACGCGCCCGAAGGCCCGGAGCCGCGGCACGCACTCGTCGCGGAGCGCGGCGGACGCGCCGCGGAACTTGACCTGCACGACGCCGTCGGCGTCGGCCAGGGCCTCGAGCTGGCGCGACAGCGCGGCCTGCTCGAAGCCGTCGAGGCCCCCCAGCAGCCGGTCCAGGCGCGCCGGATCCGTCACGACGTCGCGCAGGCGCTTGCTCGCGGACGCGAAGCGGCAGAGCGCGCGCACGCCGCCGTCGTCGGGCGGGGTCGCGTCGCCATGGGCGTCGACGGCCGTCTCGTCCCAGGAGCCCCGCATGCCGCGCCGCGGGTCCACGACCGTGAAGGAGGCGACGAGCTCCAGCACGCCCGCGGGCAGCCGCCCGAGTAGATTTGGTTCGGACGAGGCCGCGTGCGTTTGTCGCGCACCGACGAGGGAGCCGAGGGCAGCCTTGAGCCGCCCGAGCACCGTTCCACCGTCGAACGAGGCCATGTAAGTCGCCATGCGTAATAAGAATCTGGTTGCAAACCACAGGGACATCCCACAATGGCATTGTCACCTGGGGGGGGTGTTGCTCCGCCACTGGCGTCGGCGGCACCCCTGCGTGCGGAGCGGGGTGGTACATCTTACGCAACGTAAATGGCCTACCCCAGCCGTCACACCGACGTCGCACCCAAAACCAAGGGGCGTATCCAACGCCATCGATGGTGACGCGCTTCGCTGGCACGGACTTGTACGCCGCGGCAGCCCCGCGGAGACGAGGCCCGCGCGGTGGAATTTGGTCGACGCCAGAACCACCTCCGATGGGGGCACCGACGGTCAGGCTTACGCCTAGGGGTCATGGAAGGCCACTCCGACCACCAGAGCGGGCTGCCGTGCGTCGGAAGCTTGGGCTCAGAGGTCTCCGCTCCCGGCCCGCGCGCCACGGCGTACGTGTTTGGTACTCAAGCCAGCGAAACGGCTAGCCATTCGTCCCAATCCGAGCGCTTGTTTTTGTCACGTATAGCCACCGGGCGTCCCTGGCCGCTAGCCAAAAACCGCACGTTCGGGCGTCCGACGCGTCGGCCATCGGACGCCGTCGCCGGAGCAAGACCCCCCATCATTGTCACCTCAAGCGAATCTGTCATTATGACACTGACTCAAGATCAGGGATCTTGCTGCCTTGCTTTGCTCGTTGCAGGGATCTTGCCGCCTCGCTTTGCTCGCTGCGCGCGCGCGCAGCGCGGCAGGCACAGCCATGCTCCCGGCGACGCAGCGTCCGAAGGCGCCGAAGCGGTCGCTGGAGCTGTCGCCGCGGACGCGCCACGTCCTCATCTCCGTCTCGCTGCTGCTCTCCTTCAGCTTCCTGTTTCCCTTCGCCCTGTCGCAGACGCTGCAGGTGCACGGCATGAAGGAGGCCAAGGCCTACCGCTTCGCCTACGGCGTCTCGGGCCTGCTCTTCTGCTGCTTCGCCGTCGCCTGGCTCTACGCCTACGCCAGCGACACGGAGGAGTCGCGGCGCCGGCGCGACGCGGCGTTCTCGCGGCGCGCGCTCAAGAGTCAGACGTTCAAGTGCGTGTCGCCGCAAGTGCCCGGCGAGTTCGTCGTCTTCCCCGTGCGCGTGCGGAAGCGCGGCGTCGCGGCGTCGCGCGTCGTGTCCCTCGAGGCCGACGAGCTGCGGGTCGAGCTCGACACGCGCGCGCGCGACGCCGAGGGCAAGATCGACAGCGAGGGCAGCCTCCGGGCGCTCCTGGAGGCGGCGCTCCTGCCGCGCTTCGAGGCCGGCGCCGCGGAGATCGTCACCTTCCAGGGCGCGGACGGCGGGCCCACGGGCCTCGCGGGCGGCCTGGCCCTGAACCGCGCGGACTTCGACCTCGGCCGCAAGGTCGGCTGCTTTTTGATGGACGCGGCCCAGGGGCCGAGTTAGCGTAGAGCGTGCCTCTTTGAGCCTTTCCAACCTCTCGCCTTGGACGCATGAGTCTCTGCCTTACGCGGCGCGCGCGACGACGCCCGGGCGCGCGGAATTCCGCGGCCGCTTCAATAGCCGAGCGGCCATCATGCGTCTACTCGATGGTGATGACTTCGTCGGCCGGGGCGGGCTTCGTGGCCTTCTTCAATTTTTTGCTGGGGCGTTTCTCGCTCTCGTCGAGCAGCGCGGCGACGCCGGTCGGATCCGCGATCACTTTTTTAATGATCCGCGTGATCATGTCGCTCTGGATGGATTTTTCGCGCGCATGCTTGCTTTGTTCCGTGAGGACGCCCCACAGGCACTGGCGCAGTAGCGCTACATCCTTGCCAATCAAATGGCTGTCCTTCTCTTCCGCAGGCGCGCAGCACGCCGCCGCGCAGTCCGAGCAGAAGATCGTGCCGTCACCGCCGCCGCGACCACATTCTTCGCATTCGAAGCTCTCGCCGCAGAGGGTCTCACCGCAGTCGCAATGATAGATGCCCATTTTGAACTCAGAGGCAAGATCAGAAGGACAAGCGTCCTGCGGCCACGGCGGTGGCCGGCGGCGGTGCCGTGCGCGAGGCGTCGCGTGCACGCGTCGCCAGGCGTCGGCACCGGTCGCGCCGCGCCGCGGAGCATCGAGCACCCTTACCCCGCGAGGTAGTTGTGGCGGTAGGGGTCGCCCTTCTCGCAGGGCGGGAGCCGGTCGTCGTGGACGCCCGCGGCCGGCGCGGCGGGCGGTCGCCGCGCCGGAGCGGCGGCCGCGTCGAGCGCGGCGACCTGGGCCGCCGTGAAGGCCTCGAGCCATTTCATCGCGAGCGCGTGGCGCACGAGGCGCGCGGCCCGCGGCAGCACGCGCCGCTCGAGCGCGTGGTCCGTGGGCATGTCGCGGTGCACGTAGAAGTAGACGACGTCGCCGCGCGCCGCGAGGCCGTCGGCGGGGTAGTCGCGCACGCGGCCCGCGTCCTCGCAGCCGAGGTCGAGCAGGTGCGCCGGCGGGCCGAAGGTCACGCCGTCGCGCGTCGCCGCGGCGCCGAGGTAGCAGTCGCCGCGCTCGAAGATGGGGAACAGGCCCAGCGCCGTCGCGCCGCCGTCGACCGGGTTCGGCGATACCGCGACGAAGTAGACGCTCGCCGCCCTAACGCGGCAGGGCGACCAGCCCAGGAGCCGCAGGGGCTCGAAGGCGCCGAAGGGCCCCGCGGGGCTCGGTGCGAACGCGACCTGCGCCCAGCGTTTCGCGGTCCGCGAGTTGAGCCGCCCGTAGAGCGCGACGGCGTCGCCGACGCGCGCGGCGCTGAGCTTGCCGTCCCACTCGCAGCGCGTCGCCGAGCGCCGCAGCTCCATGCAGCCCGGGTGCGTGCCGTTGACGACGACGGTGCCGACGTCCGGGAACGCCGGCGCGGCCGCGTCGGCCGCGGCGAAGTGGAGCACGCCGTCGCCCGGCGTCCGCGACCGGCCGCCGTAGGCGTGGAGCGCGCCGCCGAGGGGCAGGAGCGCGAAGTTGTGCGCCGGCGCGGCGTTCGCGAGCGGGCCGTGCATACTCCCGCCCGCGGGCAGCGCGATCTCCGCCGCGGCGCCGGCGTCCACGGCCTCGAGGGCCGCACTGCCCGGCGGCCAGGCGACGAGCCGCTCGCGCGGCGACGCGTTGGGGAACGCGCCGTCGCGCGCGAAGAGGCGCACCGCGCCCGCGACGTCGAGCGCGCTGAAGAAGCGGAAGGCGAAGCCGCTGGGGAAGGACGCGACGACGCGCGACGCGACGATGGCCCGCGACCGCCGCGTCCGCGCCTCGGGCAGGACCGCGCCGCGGAACGCGAAGCCGCAGACGTCCGCGCCGCCGGCGCGCGCGGCGCCGCCGCGGCCGCCGCGGCCCCAGGCCTCGCAGGCGGAGCCGTTGCGGACCACGACGGCGTCGCAGCGCGCGTCGCGGGCGCACCGCCGCTTGCAGTCGCCTGCCGGGTTCTGCAGCGGCGCCAGCCCGCGCAGCGGCGCCTCATCGTCGGTGCGGCAGTCGAAGAGCAAGTCGTACGCCTTGCGCTCGTCGTCGGCCGCGTCGCCGGCGGCGCGGAGTACGAGCGCGAGGAGGATGGTCGCGCATCGTCGCATTAGAAGCGGTGGGCATCAGGGGAGCTGCCCATATGGATAGCACGCTGCAGCGTCTACCGTTGACGACAACATCGGCGAGGCATCCAAAATCGGCCCTTCGCGATGGCGAGATTCGCGGTCCTTCTCGGCGTCGCCGCGGCGGCCCAGCCGCGGGAGTGGTCCGTCATCCTCGACGCGCCGAGCCGCTGGGCCAAGCCGCTGTCGCAGGCTTCCGTGTCGCGCGAGCTCGAACCAGTCTTCGTGACGGAGCGGCCCTGGCGCCTGCGGCTGCGCGTCCGGGACCTCGTCGAGCGCTACCGCGGCCGCGGCGCGGCGGAGATCCTCGAGCGGTCCGGCGTGACGCGCCTCGTCGTCATCGCCGCGGGCCTCGGCGACGACGTCGCCACGGCGCTCTGGAAGACCGCGCGCGCGGCGGACGCCTTCGGCAGGGCGGTCGTCGACCCGCGGACGACGCTCGTCATCGCGTCGCCGGACCGCGAGGCGGGCGCCCTGAGCGCGGCCTTCGGCGGCTTCGCGCGCGCGCTCGCCGACGCGTCGGCGCGGCCCACGGTCGTCGTCGAGCCGCCGGCGGCGGCGCCGGCCGGCGCCGCGGCGCTCGCGGTGATCGACGCGCGGCCCGCGGCGTCGCCGCCGCCGTCGCCGGCCCTGCTCCTCGCCGCCAACGGCGCCGTCGTCGCCGTGCTCCTGCTCCTCAACTACGCGCTCGCGCGCGCCAAGGCGTCGCGCAAGGAGGCGCGGCGCCTCGCGGCGGATCTCGCGGAGGCCAAGGCGCGCGCGGCCGCCGCGGAGAAGAAGGTCAACGACTACCCGACGGCCCGGCCGATCAACCCGGCCGTCCTCGAGCGCAAGCGGCGCTCCGACGGCGTGATCACCGTCTCCATCTCCGCGGACGAGGCCGCGGACTCGGGCGACGAGAGCGCGAGCGACTTCGCGGACGACACGGACGACGACGCCGACCCGGGCGAGGCCGCGGCGCGGGCCTTCCGCGCGGCGCGCGCCGCGAGCCGCGCCGCGGGCTTCGACGACTCCGGCACGGACGACGAGTCCGCGGAGTAGGCCGCCCGCCCCCCCCTCCCCCCCTGTCCTGTTGTTGTTTAGCTGCGTTTCTACGAGTCCGCGACTTAGCTCGCTACCTGCTCGCCAGCTTCTTGTCGAGGAGGCCCTTGAGCGCGCGGAGCCGGAAGTTCTGGAGCATCTCGTTCCGCGGGCCGGGCGACCCGAACGGCAGCCACGCCATGCCGACGTTGAGCAGCGGCGCGAGCGGCACCGACGTCGGGAAGAAGCCCGTCGCGTAGAAGCTGGCCTTGGCGCGGCAGCCGGCGCCGCTCCCCTCGAGCGCGACGTCGAAGCTGTCGAGCCACTCGCTCTTGGTCCAGGTCAGGACGTGCAGGCCGCCGGCGTCGGCGCGCGCGATCTTGAACTCGGGGATGAAGAGCTTGGCGCGCCGTTCGGGCGTGAGCTCCTCGAGCACGGAGACCAGCGCCGCGGACACGGCCTCCGGCGACGAACCGGCGAAGTCCCAGGTTTCGGTCTTGGAATTGATGCCGACGAACTGGCCGATCCAATGGCCGGGGGCGATGACGTCCTGCACCGGTCCTTGCAGGCTCGAGAGAAACGAGGGGTCGGCGCGCGCGGCGCCGGGCAGCGCCAGCGTCAGAAGCGCCGGCGCGCCGGCGAGCAGCGCGCGGCGCGACGGGTTGCCGGGTCGCGGCTGCAAGCAGCGGCAGCAGCGCGTCTGCAGCAGCGCGACGAGCGCGACGCGCACGGCGAACGACGACCGTGCATTTCGACGCGATGACGCAGCATCGCACAAGGCCATCGATGCGTATCGTCGACCTGTAGTTGCAGTTCAACATTGAACCGTGCGCCTCCAGCGGACAACAAACATGGGCCGGGCCTGGGCAGCCCTGCTCCTGCTCCTGCCGGTGACGCGCTGCGCGGACTTCTCGGACACGCACCTCTACGTGACGCCGTCGAACACGCAGGAGGCCGTGGAGATCCAGCTCGACTTCCGCATCACGCGGCGCCTCAACGGCAGCGACGTCGTCTACGTGCAGCTGCCCAAGTTCACCATCGGCGGCGGCGGCAAGACGCCGGGCGAGAACGTGCCCCGCGGCGAGCTCATCCTGTCGCCGTCGGTCTACTTCGAGGGCCAGTGGGACGAGGGCGCCTTCGACTCGACGGCCGACCCGTTCCGGAACACGACGCTGTCGCTCTACGTGCGCGAGGAGGTGCGCATCCCGCCGAACACGGTCGTCAACCTGCGCCTCTACAAGTCGAACGACATCCGCGTCTACTGCGGCTTCGACGACGTCGAGGACACGGACGACGACGAGTTCTTCATCTGGACGAACTCGTCGGCGTCGAAGGACGGCCGCTTCTCCATCGAGAAGAGCGACCGCGTGGGCAACGGCTGCAGCGCCATGTCGGACTGCGCGGGCAAGGGGTCCTGCGACTTCTGCAAGGAGCGCTGCATGTGCTACACGGGCCACGGGTCCGGCGACAGCTACCGGCAGGTGAGCTCGATCGACTGCAGCCTGCTCGAGTGCCCCGTGGGCCCCGCGTGGGGCGCGATCCCGAAGAGCGCCATCGACGGCGGCCACGACGAGTTGGTCATGTGCTCCAACGCCGGCGAGTGCCTCATGGAGCAGGGCGAGTGCGAGTGCTTCGACGGCTTCACGGGCGAGGCGTGCCAGCGCCGCGTCTGCGCGAACTTCGGCGCCGAGTGCGGCGACCACGGCCAGTGCCTGACCATGCACCAGCTCGCCATGCGCGACGACGCCTTCCCGCTCACGGGCAACGCGAGCGCGACCTACGGGGCCGGCGTGTCGGGCGCGAACAAGACGTGGGACTTCGAGACGATGCAGGGCTGCCTCTGCGACAGCGACTGGGCCGTCGGCCTCGGCGACGGCGAGACGCAGGTCGCCGAGTACTTCGGCGCCGACTGCTCGCGGCGCCGCTGCCCCAGCGGCCGGGACCCGTCGTCCAAGGCCGACGGGACGGACTGCTCGAACGTGACGACGCCCGAGGGCTACGGCGTCGGCTCGAAGCACAACAAGTGCCACTACGAGTGCAGCGGCCGGGGCAACTGCGACTACGGCCGGGGCACCTGCTCCTGCTTCGCCGGCTACGCCGGCGCGGCCTGCGACCGCCTCATCGGCAACGCGGCCGTCGTCGGCTAGTAAGGGCGCCGTCGGACTTACTCCGGAGGGCGCGCGGGGTGATGCGGGGGGCGGGGCTCTAGCAACGGGGAGAGGGACCGCGCGCTCACAACATGCACGTCGCGGGGACCTGGAGGACCTCGGAGAGCCAGACGGGCTCGACGGCGCACTGCTCGAAGAGCCGGGGCCGCGCGCCGAGCGAGTCCGCCGCGCGATCCGCGGGCTTGACCTTGAGGTACATCGTCTGCGACGACGTCTTCAGCTGGGCGACGAGCTCGAGCTGGGGCGAGTAGAAGCGCTTCTGGATGGCGACCTCCGCGACGGCGATCCACTCCTGGCCCGCGCGGGGGAAGACGAAGCGCTCGAGCACGTAGCGGCTCCGGTCGTTGTGGACCTTGGTGAACTCGCAGTGTCTCGACAGGAGGGCCCAGACGCCGGACCAGTACTTGGACCCGCTGTGGCGCGTCCAGGAGTGGACGTCCGCGCGCTCGCAGTAGACGTGGCGCATCGAGTAGTGGTTCGCGGCGAATTTCACGAGCTTCGGCGGGCACGCGATGTGGTCACGCGGCTGGTAGAGCGACCGCTCCATGCGCTCGGCGACGCGGCAGAGCGCCGTCAGCTCCGTGACGCGGCTCGGCGGGTAGCGCAGCGTCTCGCTGATCTTGAGGCGCCGGCCGTGCTCGTACGCGACGCCCTCGGCGCCCATCGTGCTCAGCCGGTACAGGGCCCAGAACATGGCCCGGGCCGACGTCGACACGTCCCGCAGCGTCGCCTCGAGCTCCGCCAGGTCCGCCTTCTCGAGGCGCCGCTTCAGCGCCTTCCAGCGCACGAGCTCGGGCCGCGCGCGGACGCGCGCGAGCGCGCAGCACCCGCCGAGCGCCGCGACGTCCGTGACGTCGCTCCACTCCATGACGATGCGCGCGCAGAAGTCGTACTCGAGCAGGCGGCTCCGCCCGGCCTGCGGGGAGAAGGGGCGGGTCTGGGGGGAGAACCGCGCGCGCGCGCTCGCGGAAACGGGGCCGGCGTCGAGGGCGCCGGCGCGCGCGGTCCCGTACATGGCCGCGAGGCGCTTCGGGGACTCGAAGGACGAGTCGAAGGCCTTGGCCTTCTTCTTCGTCTCCGTCGTCCGCCAGAGCTGCCGGATCCGCTTGTCGGCGCCGCACTCGATGAGCATCGTTCGATCCACGTGCTCCAGCGTCCGCAGGGCCTGCTCGATGTGCGACGGGATGCCCGCCATCGCCGGCGATCACGGGCACGGCCGCCTCGTCGCCCCGCGCGAAACCCCGGTCCCTCTTCCCGGCCCGAAACGAGACACGAGAGGCCGCGGAGACGACGTCTCTCGTCGCAGAGCGCCGATGCTCTCCCGACCTCACGCTGGCCGCTGTGAGAAACTTGCCAGGGATGGTCCCGGGATCGTCACAAGGGCATGCCGCATGACGATGAAATCCGACCGAGCACCGCGACGAGATCGCCGCTACTGGGCGCGCCGGGGCGTCCAGCGTCCCTCTAGAGAAGGGCAAATCGTCGGGCGTGACTCGGAGCAGCGCCGCCGGCGAGCTGCCGAGTCGAATGCTCGCGGCGCAAACACGCCGCTTTTTTAAGTCCGGCATTCCCGGCTACGCCTCCGCTAGAAACAGATATCCGGCCACCGCTTTAGGTATCAACGACCCGTTCAAACACGCGGAGCGCGTCGCCGGCGCGGGCTATTCGGAGCGCGTCGTCGAGGAACGTCGTCTCGAAGAGGCCGGCCTCGCCCGCGGCGGAGCGCGGCATCGGCAACGAGAAAATCGTCTGGACGTCCTCGCCGGGCCGCGATCCGTCGACGACGACGCCGTCGAGCTCGAGGTCGATCGTCAGCGGCTCCCGCGCCGACACGACCGCGGCCGCGTGGCGGAGCCGCAGCGAGCTGCTCGTGCCCGGCGCGAGGAGCGTCCACGCCGAGAGCAGCCCCGCGTTCGGCCGACCGATGGTGATCACGTTGTCGCACCTTACCTCGTCGCCCTCCCGCGACCAGTCCTGATACACGTTCGCGCTGCCGAGCGCGGGCTGGTCGCGCATCGTCTGCAGCAGGTCGGCGCCGCCGCGCGTCGTCGCGACGAGCTCCCAGCGTCCGCAGAGCAAGTCCGCGTCGCGCGGCCACTCGGGCGGCCGTTGGCCGGCAGCCTCGACCGCCCGCGCGCGCGACTCGAGTCGGCGCGCGCGCACAGCCGAGTTGATGAAGATCGGTCCAGCCTTGGCGTACGCGACGAGGCCCTCGCGCGCGCGGCTCACGTCCATTGCTGCTGTTGTTGCGAGCGCACAAAGCAGCGGGACGAGCCTCATTGTGGCGTCTTGCCTGGTCTTGCGGATGCAAGCGGGCAGCGGTCGTCGTCGTCGACGCTCGGGCTGCCTCAGAGTCGCTGCAACCTGGAGTCAACAACCATTCAACACGGAAAGTTGCCGAGGTCGAGGTCGACTTGACAACGCTGCTGGTGTGTTTTACCCCCCAGCACGCCTCGCGTGCCCCTCCGCTTACGCCCGCAGCCCGCGATCGGCGATGAAGCGGACGATCCTCGCGGCGACGTCGCCGTCGTAGGACGGGCTCTCGAGCTCGTAGTGGCCGACGCCCTCGAAGACCTCGAGCTCCGCGGCGTCGGGCGCGCGGCGGATCCAGCTCTTCAGCTGCGGCACGCTCGTGTGCTCGTCCTTGGAGCCGTGGAGGAAGAGCTTCGGCTTCGGCGAGGAAAAGTAAGGCCCGAAATGGCCGCGCCAGAGGACCGAGCAGAGGTAGCCGCACGTGTAGCCCATCTGCACGGTCCCGACCACAACGTCCTCGGACAGGGACGCCGTCCCGGCGAAGGGCGCCGCGCCCGAGGTGCCGAGGAGCACGACGTTGCGACCGCCGGCGCCCGCGTAGCGGCACGCGGCGCGGACGTCCTTGACCTCGTCCCAGCCCGTCCACGTCGCGGCGCCCGACGACCGGCCCGCGCCGCGCGTGTCGACGCAGAGCACGCGCAGGCGCCCGCGGACGACGAGCTCCCGCGCGAGGCCGTCCATCATGCCGCTCGAGCCGCCGAACTTCGTGTGCGGATGCGACAGCACGACGACGGGCAGCGCCGCGTCCTCGTCGCCGGCGTACCAGCGCGCCGCGAGCGTCTCGCCGTCGGACTCGATCGTCGCGCACGAAGGCGACGGCGGACGCGTCCATGGCTCAGCAGAGGCTGCTGCCCATAATACAGCTAGTCTAGCTGGTTTGGGCAGCTTTGCTATTGGTAGGTTGATATATGTCGAAATTTCCTTCCTCTTTGTTTGGTTGGCCCATTTTGCGGCGATCGAGAAGTTTCGGCTCTGTCCAAACACACAGCATGCAGCTCCTCGTCGCGCTCTGCCTCGCCTACGCCAATGCGGCCTACGTGCCCAGCCCGAGCAAGGGCTGCTCCGGCAAGGCCGCGGAGCTGCCCGTGACCGCCGGCGCCGAGCCCCAGCAGCAGACCATCACCATCCAGGACGCCTCCCAGAGCCAGGGCAGCATCGACCGCACCTACTACCTCCAGCTGCCCAAGGACTACAACGACTCGCAGCCGGCCATGCTCATCACGGACCTCCACGGCTACTACGACACGGCCGAGGGCCAGATCGGCGAGAACCGCCTCGCGGAGTACCTCCGGACCGCGGGCGTCAACGCGGTCTTCGTCGCGCCCGAGGGCTCCAACGACGGCGGCGCGTCCGAGTCCTGGAACGTCGACGGCAACGGCCTGAACACGGCGGCGGGCCCGCTCGGCGACATCTGCGAGACGGACCGCTCGTTCTGGAGCAAGTACAAGTGCTACGACAGCTGCACCGCGGGCGACAACGGCTGCGACGCGGCCAAGGGCTGCAACAGCGCGTCCTGCATGGACGACAAGGGCTTCCTCACGCAGCTCCTGGACCACCTCCAGGACACCTACTGCCTCGACGTCCGCCACAACCACTACACGTCCATCTCCACGGGGTCGCTCATGGTCATGTCTCTGGTGAAGGCCATCCCCGACCGCGTCGCGTCCATGGTGCCCGTCGCCGGCAGCGTCGAGCGACAGGAGTGTTTTTTCGCGTGAATTTCCCCTGAAGATGTGAAGAAATCCGACCCCGGTAGGTCGCCGGGTCCCACTTTTTGGGCTTCAACAAGAACCCGGAGACGAAGTCGCCCGTGGCCTACATGGATATCCACGGCGTCCAGGACAACACGGTCCCCGCGAACGTGACGAACGGCTTCCACCCGAAGAAGCAGCGCGCCAAGGGCCACTGCGACGAGGACGCGTCGGGCTACTGCGCCGGGCCCGACGGCTCGGCCGTGTCCAACGACGGCTTCTTCTACACCCCCGTGCCCAACATCACGCTGACGTGGGCCGAGAACAACGACTGCGACTTCTCGGGCAACGCGCCCTACGCGACGTCCTTCGACGGCGCGGACGCCAAGTGGCAGTTCTCCTGCAGCGCGCCCCACGGGTCCTGCGGCGGCGCCGACGTCGTCCAGTGCACGGGCGCCTGGGACCACACGTGGGCCTTCTGCCCCTACAACGAGTACCCGTGCGCGAACACGGACTACGCGCAGCTCGCGGTCGAGTTCATGGCCGCGCACCCGAAGCTCGCCTAGGCATACCCCGGACGACGACCCGGGCCTCCTCGCCACGACGAGCCCCGCGCCGACCACATCTTTTTTTGACATACCCCCGACGCCGACCCGGGCCTCCTCGCCACGACGAGCCCCGCGCGGACGTCCGCCCCCCGGGCCTCCCCGACGAGCCCCGCCCTGAATATAAAAATCCCTAGCACTTCCCGCACCAGAAGCCGTGGCGCGCGGCGTCCTGGGCGCGGTGCTCCGGGCAGCAGTAGGTCACGTTGCGGCACGTCGCGCACTCGAACGTCTGCTTGCCGTCCGCGGTGTGCGCGGGGTTGCTGCAGACCGCGCAGTGGACGCGCGTGTTGAAGGGCAGGGGCTCCGGCGCGAGGCCGCCGTCGCCGGCGCGGAAGCCGTCGGGCGTCTCCGTCGCCGGCGAGACGTCCGCGCCGGCGAGGCGCTCCAGCAGGACCGCCGCGGCGCCCGCGGCCGCGCCGTCGCCGCGCGCCGCGAGCGCCTCCAGGGCGGCGACGGCGCGCGGCAGCGCCTTCAGGGCGTCGGCGGCGCGCCGCGCCGTCGCGTTCCACTCGTCCTCGTCGTCCCAGGACGGGTCGGCCTCCGTGATCGCGAGCAGGAACGTGAGCGCGTCGACGTCCCCCGCGCCCGCGTCCGCGGCCGCGACGTCGAGGAGCGTGCGGCCGTCGGACCGCTTCGCGCCGTACTCGGCGTGCGTGCCCGCGGCGTCGTCGAGCACCTCCTCGAGCACCGTCACCTCGCCGAAGATGATGCTGCAGACCGCGCGGCTCGCGAGCACGCGCTTGAGGCTCGAGCCGTGGGCCAAAGCGTGGAGCGCCTCCGGGATGGAGACCTGCGGGATAGTCGCTTTCGTCCTGCGCCTCCACAGCGTCACGGCGACCGTCGCGGCGATGCTGAGCGCCGCGGCGACGCCGTAGAGGCGGGCGGACATGCTGCCAACCGCTGGACTGATCTCCGTCTGCTGTGGAGGAATCGCCGACTTCAGCATCCGCTTCACCTGGCGAACTTGCAACTCCTCTCACGCGTCTGGCCGGCCTGGGCCGCTTTTGGCGGCGTCTGCGCGGCCACCAGATCCAGTCGTCGCCGTCGCCGCCGTCGACAAAACTGAAACCACCGGATCTCGTGATCGCGTCGTCGGCGGCCTCCCCGTAAACAGTCCAGCAACATGGCCGGCCGCGGGCGCGGCCGCGGGCGCGGCGGCCGCGGCCCGGCGGGCGAGCTCCTGCGCGACATGGGCGAGGACCTGGGCCTCGCGTCCATCCACCCCGACGGCGGCGAGGACGACGGCTGGCCGCCCCTGAGCCTGCCGACGGCGCGGCCCATCAGCGACGCGGAGCGCGAGCAGATCGGCGTCTTCCGGCGGCTCACGCGGCGCGCGCGGGGCTCCGTGGGCTTCCGGCTCCTCAAAAAGGCCGCGCTCGCGTCGACGGGCCTCTCGGACGACGGCCCGCCGGCGGCCGCGGGCGCGCCCGTCGAAGTCCAGGACCTCGTCGAGTCGCTCGCGTTGCCGCGGTCGTCGCTGAAGCACTGCATCCCCGAGGAGCTGCTCCGCGCGCCGCGCGAGCGGCCGCGCCCCGCCGACGACGCCCCGCGCCCGGCGAAGCGGCCGCGCGCGGCCAGCGACGTCGCCGCGCTCGCGGAGCGCCTCGTGACGTCCGAGGAGAAGGAGGAGGGCAAGGACGACGACGAGGAGGCCGCCGTCGAGGAGGACGTCGAGGAGGACGAGCCCGACGACTACATGCGCGACTACTACGACGAGGACAACGACGCGCTCGAGGGCGACGACAACGAGCCCGTGTTTTAATTCGCAGAGACCCTTACACCTTCGACGTGCCGTCGCGCACGAGCACGAAGATGTTGCCCTTGTCGCCGCGGGAGATGCGCAGCTCCGGGTCGAGGTACGTCGTCTCGAGGACGCCGCGCGCGGATTTCGGCGCGGGGATCTTCAGCCAACCGATGCCGAAGCGCTTGAACTGGACGTCGACCGTGCGGCCGTCGCCCCGGGGCTCGAGCGTCGCCTTGACGGAGTTGCGCAGGAGGCCGCCGAGGACCCACTCCTCGTTGTACGCCGCGAGCGTGGCCGCGTTCACGTGCTGCAGGATGCGGGGCCGCGGCCGGAAGAGGCGCATGCGGTTCGTGCCGAGGATGGAGTCCGACGTCGTGTAGATGAGGCGCCAGCGCGCGTTGAGGTCCGGCGAGGCCAGCGGCTCCGGCGTCGGGTTGCTCGCCTCGAGCGCCTCGACGTGCGACAGCACGACGCCGCGGCGCTTCAGGTCGCGGCCCATGTCCGCCTCCTCGCACTCCTGGACGAGGCGCCCGCGCGGGTTGCCCGTGTCGCGGAGGCCGCCCTCGACGACGAGGCACCCCAGGCCCTCGCGCTGGGCCCGGAACTTGGGGTCGCCGGCGAGCACGTCGCAGAGCTCGTCGTCCGGCAGCGCGACGGCGTCGCCGACGACTTCGTCGGTGGCGGCGCGCAACCGGACGGCGCGGCGCGGCGACGGCGCGTGCCACGCCGAGCCGACCGTGGCGAGAGCTACCAGGATCGCGCAACGAGCCATTGCTGACTCGGAGATGGCTCGGGTTTGTTGATGTTGACGCTGAGTTGACGCCAACTTACTTGCCAACTTGTGCCCCGCCAGCGGCGGCTGCGCGCGGAAGGTAGGAAAGAAAACAGGCAGACTTCGAATTAGGCGCGCGCGCTCACTGGACGTCGAGCGCGGAGAAGAGCACCGCGGGCCGTTTCGACTTGGGCAGCTTCGAGTTGAACATGAGGGAGTCCGTGCCGCCGTTGAGCTCGAGGTCCATCCAGAGGGCCTCGTCGAGCTTCTTCCGCGGCGAGATGGTGATGCCGCAGAACGAGGCGATGGACCCGCTCGGCGACTTGACGCGCGGCTTCCGCGAGATGGGGCTCGGCGCGTTCGGCGCCTTGATGGGCGCGAGCACCTTGCGCGCGCCGGCCCGCGGGTCGCCGTCCTCGGGGCTCGACGGCCGCGACCGCCGCTCCCCGGGGCTCGACGGCCGCGACCGCTTCTTGCGGCCCGCGCTGCTCGGCTTCTTGGGGACCCTGCCCGGTGGCTTCGCGGGCGCGTCCTTGATGAGGCGCGCGCCGAAGCTCGAGAGCCGCTCCTCGGCGGCGCGCTTCTCGCGGCGGCGCTGCGCGTAGACCCGGCCGTAGGCCTGGATGACGAGCGCGGCGCGCTTCCGGCGGAGCGCGTGCCACAGGTCCGCGGCCTTGAAGAGGTCGAGCGCCGTGTACATGGCCAGGTCCGGGTCGACGAGGCGCTTGAAGCGCGGCGCGACGAGCGCCCGGTCGACGGCCTGGGAGATGCGCGCCTTGACGGCGTCGGACTGGCGGAGCGCCGGCGGCATGGCCTGCCAGAGCGCCGCGCGCATCTTCGCCGCGGGCACGGGCGCGGCGTCGCCGTCGACGCCCGCGAGGAGCTCGTTCGCCTCGCGCTCCGTGTAGAGCGCGGCGAGCACCTTCAGGACGTACTCGTGGAAGAGGCGGCCGTTGAAGGTGTCGACGCCGATACCGACCATCTCCGCGAAGACCGCGATGCGCGGCGACAGCGGGAGCCCCTCGGCGTCCGTCTCCCTCAACAGCGCGTCGACGGAGTTGAGGAAGATCTTCAGGTACGCGAGGGCGCGCTCCGTCGAGCCGCTCATGCCCTTGAAGTAGCGCAGGCAGAACGCGTCGAAGCGCAGCGCCTGGTCGCCGGCCTTGGTCATGGACCGCGCGTTCGCGGCGAGCATGTGGATCTGCTTCGCGTAAATTTTCCCGACGATGCCGTTCGTCTTGTTCGCCGTCAGCAGGATGGAGATGTTGCGCCGGCGGTACTGCGCCTGGATGCGCGTCGCCATGCGGTTGTCCTTGCGCGTGAGCCAGTGGCGCTGGATGAAGACCGCGGCGCCGAAGCGCTTCGTCAGGTCCTGGCCCTCGCCGCGGCGCCGCCGCGCCTCCGCGCGCGCGCGCTCGTCGCCGCCGACGGCGAAGTACTCGTCGAAGGTCACGCGCTCCTTGTCGCGCCAGTAGAGCGTGCCGTCGAAGCGGCTCAGCGTCGTCGCCAGGATGAGCCGCTCGATGAGCGCGACGTACTCGGGCACCTCCGCCGTCTCCGTCCAGATGTCGCAGAGCTCCACATGGAGTGCACGAACTGCTCGTAGAGCAGGAACTGTTTCGCGCCGGCGTCGCTGCTCCAGTCGGCCTCGGCGGCGCGCTCGGCGTTGCCCGGGTCCGCGTGGACGACGCGGTTGAAGCGGCCGATCATCTCCTTGTACGCGCCCTTGCGGAGCTGGATGCCGTCGTGCGACACGAGGGCCCAGAGCGTCTTGCAGGGCTTCTGGAACTGGGGCGCGCCCTCGATCTTCAGGCGCTTGGCCATGGTCGCCTCGTCGTAGTGGCTCAGGTCGCCCTGCTTCTCCAGCGGGATGGCCTCGTCGCCGTACTTGTAGTCGCGGACGACGCCGCTGATCATGAGGCTCTCGGCCTCGTCGCGCTTCGACTTGACGAAGGACGTGAAGACGCGGGACCGCGCGCCGCGGGCCTTCTGCGCGAGGCGCCCGACGAAGGAGAAGACGGGCAGCTTCGGCGTCTCCGGGAGGCTCGCCGGCGTCGTGGGCGTGGCGCGCGAGTCGAGCGTGCGGACGCTCGCGAGGCGGAAGCTCGACTCGACGCCGTCGAGCTCCTCGAAGAAGCCGCTGCGCTGCTTGCTGAGCCGCTCGTAGAGCATGGGCGACAGCTTCTGGTATGGCACACCCATCTCGCGGAGCATCTCGGCGTAGTCGTCCTCCGTGTTGATCTGCTTCGTGGACATGGCGGCGGTGGTGTGTGTCGCGAGGGAAGGCTCGAGGTTGCTGGGTGAGTCCGCGAGGGTGGCGGACTTGCTGGTGTTCGCGTCTGGAACTGTGCGATTGCTTTGGTTCTGGGGCTCTCCATTGGGAAAGCGCGGATTGCGTCGAAATGGGCGGCCCGGGAAATCCTGGAAACTCTCCTTGTGAGTGCAACAACCGCTATTCAACTTAGCGATTACACGTGCACGATGGCCGCCTCTCGCCACATTCCGATGGGCAGCCTCGCCCTCTTCGCACTCCTACGAGCCACACATGCCTGCACGACCATCGTCGCCAAGCTCGGCGGCACGACGTTCACGACGCACACGGCGGACTGCCCGGACTGCGATTTTCGGCTGGCGAAGATCAAGCGCCGCGTGCTGCCCAGCAGCGGCACGGAGGAGGTCATGATGTACCGGCGCCAGTACCCGCGGGAGGTCAGCGCGCGCGCGAAGACCTGGGACGTGGCCCAGTTGCGCGGTCCCACGGCGGCGCACGTCGCGTTCTGGTCCTCGGACGACTTCCAAAGAGCGCAGCGCGCGGGAAACGTAGCGGTGGAGGACATCGACGCCATCGCGGAGGAGGTCGGCGGCCTCGTCGGCGGCGCCACGAGCCTGAGCTACTACGAGGCGCTCTTCGCCATCGCCAACGAGGCCGGCGTCACCGTCGGCGAGAGCACGTGCTACGCGGCGCTGTCCGCGGCGCCCGCGGATCCGGCGCGCGACGCGGCCGCGGGCTTTACGGGCGCGATCTACGACATCGCGGCGCTGAGCCGCGTGGCGCTGGAGCGCTGCGCGACGGCGCGCTGCGCCGTGCGGCTCATGGGGCTGCTCGCGGAGGCGGGCGGCTACTACGCGGCGGGCATGGCGGGCTCCGAGGGCGGCGAGGGCCTGTCCGTGGCCGACGGCGACGAGGGCTGGATGTTCCACATCTTGCCGGCGAACACGACGGACGGGAAGCGCGCGAGCGCCGTCTGGGCCGCGATGCGCGTGCGGGACGGCGAGGCCGTCGTCTGCGCGAACGCGTTCGTCATCCGCGGCGTGCCCGCGGCCGACGGGTTCGGCGCCGACGGACGAGACTACCTCGTGTCGACCAACATGGTCGACGCGGCGACGCACCACGATTTACACATCACGTACACGTCCGACGGCGAGCTCGACTTTTACGCGACGTACGGCGGCGGGTCCGACCCCTACAACCTGAAGCGCCAGTGGCGCATCTACGACCGCCTCGCGCCGTCGCTCGAGCTTCAGCCCGACGACGCCGTCATGGCGGCGCTCCACGACCGCGCGCGGCGGGAGCGCGTGCCCTTTGCGAAGACGGACGCGGAGCTCGGCGACACGGGCGAGTTCCCCGCGGGCGTCTGGCCCGACCTGCCCAAGGCCTACCGGGACCGCGTCCAGGGCGCCTACTATCCGGTCGCCGTGGCCATCGAGACCGTGGCGACGCCGACGGACGCCGAAACGTTGATCGACGCGGCGAACGTCGTCGCGTCGCTCATGCGCGAGATCTACGCGGGGACGAAATTCGACGCGTCGCTCGACCTCCGGGGCGGCGCCTTCGGCGACCCCGAGGAGCTGCCCGGCGCGCCGCGGCGCGTGTCCATCCAGCGCACGTCCTTCTGGCACGTCGGCCAGTCGTCGCTGCTCCTCGACCGCCGCCGGTCGACGGTGCTCCGCTACGGCCAGTACTCGCCCCACGTCGGGCCCTTCGTGCCGCTCCTCGTCGCCGGCGACGCGGAGCCGCCCGTGGAATTGACGTCGGGCAGCCTCTTCGAGGCGCCGGCGGCCTTTGGGGACGCCGCGGGCGCGCCGCGGTCCCTCTTCTGGGCCGCGGCGCTCTTGGGCGGCTGGAGCCGCCAGTTCTTCCGCGTCGCGCAGCCCGAGGTCGCCGCGCGGCGCGACGCCGTCGAGGCGGCGAACAGCGTCGAGCGACGGGAGTGTTTTTTTTGCGTGAATTTCGCCTGAACATGTGAAGAAATCCGACCTCGTCGCACTCGGTAGGCGGCGAACGACGCGGCGCTGCTCGCCGCGCTGCGCGCGGGCGACGGCTCCGATGAGGCCTTCGCGAAATTTAACGGCGCCGCGGCCGCGCGCGCGACGTCGGAAACTTTGGCCGCGTTCGCCGCCTTCGTCGTCAAGTACCGCGACGGCTACGTCGTCACGGACCGCTGCGGCGCCGTCGACGACGTCACGGCCAAGTGCGACGCCTGCCCCGAGGACAACCCGAGCTCGTCCTACGACATCTCGACGAAGAGCATGACGTACCTCGACTGGTGGAAGGCCGCGGTGAACCCGCCGGCGCCGTTCCCGCCGGCGCTCGTCGCCGAGGCGCCCGCGGCGACGTCGTCGGGGCTCCTGGCGCACGCGGCGACCTTCTCCCTCGGCGCGGCGCTCGCGGCGGCCCTGGTGACGCTCCGCGGCGCGCGGCCCCCGCGGAGCGGCGCCGCCGCCGCCGCGGGCTACGGCGCCGCGCCGGCCGACGACGCGCTCTGATGCCTCGTTTCTTATTATTATTATGGGTGCTTCACTATGATGCCTCGTTTCATTCCTCGGCCCGACGGCCCCGGGCTCTAGCTCGCCGCGGGCTCGCCGAGCTTGGACGCGTCGATGGACACGGTCGCCGTGAGGTTGATGCTCTCCTGGAGCATCGGGACCGGGTCGAGGGCGACGGAGAAGCTGAGGTCGCTGAAGCAGAAGGCCGCCGCGTGCTCGAAGCCGACGACGGTGTGCACGACGAGCGCCTCGAGGTGCTTGACGAAGCCCAGCAGCGCCTCCTCGAGCTCCGCGACGACCTCGGCGCAGAACTTGCCCGGCGCGCGGCCCTTCGCCGGCGGCGCCGACGGGTGGTCCGCGAGGCTCTTCCAGGTCGGCATGCGCTTCCCGAGGCTCAGCGGGGTCCTTCCGGCGCTCACGTCGCTGCCGAAGAGCGTAAAATCCACGCTCACGCCGACGGCGTCGGCGAGGCCGAGCGCGCCGACGGCCGCGCCGAAGTCGTCCATGAACGCGTTGATCGTCTTCTGGCACACGTGCAACTCGTGCTTCTCCGCGAGAGCCAGCCCTTTGACGGTGGTGGCCATGGCCGCGGCGTGCGCTTCGGCGTCCTTGGCCTCCGCCTTGGCTTTGCTGGCGTACCGCTCCGCATCCGCCTCGAATGCGGTCTTGGACGACGCGCCGGCGCCCATGCTCGATGGGCTGCGCTGAGAGCTCGAGAGCCCGAAGCACCATCGATGCACCAGGGGAAGCGCAGACTTTGGCGAAACGTTACCGTCGTGCCTCAGGCATGGAGGGGGTCGTGGCAACGCGTTCACCTTCATGTGACCGCCGTTGCACGCCACACGCCGGAGCGTAAAGCAACAAACCAAGATGGCGTCGCTCCGCGCTTTGATCCTCTCGCAGGACAGCGACGACGAGGCGCCCGCGCCCGCCCCGGCGCCGGCGCCGGCGCCGCGCAAGTCGTCGGCGCGCAAGGCGCCGCGGCGCGCCAGCGGCGGCGGCGGCGACGACCCCTCCGAGAAGCCGAGCCGCGCGCGCGTGGACCAGCACTCCCTCGCCAAGGGCGTCGCGGCGACCTTCGGCCACGGCGCCGTCAAGGCGTCGGAGTGCGGCCGCGACCCGTGCCTCGGCTGGCGCTTCGTCGGCTCGAAGCGGACCTTCCCGTCGCACGGCCTGCCGGCGCGGCCCGCGCGGCGCCTCGAGGACCAGCGGGGCATCCTGCTCGACATCCTGCGGCGCGCGGCGGCGCGGACCGACGCGGACGCGCTGCGCGCGGCCGCGTGCGCGCTGCGCGTCGCGCGGGGCTACGACGCCGAGGTCGCGCGGCTCGTCGTCGCCGTCGCCCGGCGCGACGCGGCGCTCCGGCCGCCGCTGCGGGCCTGGCTCGCGGGCGTCGTGCGCTGGACGAAGGCCGCCGTGCCCGGCGACAAGGCGGGCGGCTCCAAGTACCTGCGGATCTACGCCGCGCCCGCGCCCGAGGACCGCGCCGAGGCGCTCGACCTCTACTTCAAGCTCACGGGCGCCCGGGGCGAGGACCTGCGCCAGGCGGCGGAGACGCTCCTCGAGTTCGAGAAGGCCGGCGGCCGCGACCGCGTCGCCGCGCGCGCGGCCAAGGTGCGGCGCGCGTACTGCCACGCAAGGCTCGCCGCGGTGCTCCTGCTCCCCGCGCGCGCCCACGCGGACGTCGTGGACCTCGACGACGACGCGTCCGTCGACGACGTCCTGCTGCCGCTGGACCGCGCGGTCGTGTCGTCCGCCGGGCGCGCGCGCGAGTCGCTGGCGACCGCGCGTACGCTCTGCGTCGAGCTGCTCCGCATGAACGTCCGCGAGGGCGAGGACGAGCAGACCTGGCGCCGCCAGGCCGCCCTGGCGGCGGCGCTCCTCGCGCGCGCCGCCGCGGCGCTCGGCGACGACCCGCGGTCGCCGGCGCGGAACCCGGCGGTCGGCCTCGACGACGGCCACCTCTTCACCGGGCAGCGCGCGCTGCTGGGGTTGCGGCGCGGCGCGGGCGACGCCCGCGACGTCGCGGCCTGGCTCGCCGTCGACGGCGGCGCCGCGGGGCGCCTCGGGGCCGGCGACGTCGAACACGCGGAGGCGTGTCTCGCGGCGGAGGCGAGTCGCGGCGGCGCCGCGGACCGCTGCTACTTCGCCGCGGCCGCGGTGGACCTGGCCCTCTGCCGCGCCGGCGGCCGCGTCGGCGCCGCGGAGTGGGCGCTCCTCGGCGGCGCCGTGGGCGTCGCGCTCGGCCCGGGCGACGGCGGCGTCTTCGTGCCCCGGAGCGAGCGCGCGACCGCGCGCCGCGCGGTCTTTCCCGCGGGAAGCCCCCGCGCGGACGCCTGGACGTCCGTCTTCTTCGACCTGCGGGCCAGCGAGCCGGACCTGGCGTCCCTCGCGAACCGGGCCCTCGTCGCGGCGCTGCTGGGCACGCCGCGGTCCCGCGACTTCGCGGCGCGCGCCGTCGCCGCGGTCCGCGCGCCGCGCGCCGTCGTCCAGCCCGCGAGCGACGACCTGCCGCGCGAGCGGCGGCCCCGGCCGGGCAGCCGCGCCGAGATGGACGCGCTCCTGGCGGTGCTCGCCGACCGGCGCGCCGTCGCGGCGCCGTCGCTCCGGGACCCGCGCGTGACGGAGCCCGCGGACGTCGCGCGAGCCCTCCTCGACCTCGACGCGGCGCCCGCGGCGCCGGCGCGCGCGCCCAAGCGCGCCCGGGCCTGCGGCTCCTGCGAGGCCTGCCTCTCGACGGACGCGGACGACTGCGGGTCGTGCATGCACTGCCGGTCGAAGGCGCACAACGGCCGCTACGCGGCGCGGCGCTGCGCGCGCCGCGTCTGCCTCGCGATCCGCGACCGCGCGAACGCGAAGCGGCGCAAGTTCCGCGTCCCGGACGCCGCGCACCCGCCGCCGCCGCCGCCGCCGCGCGAGCCGGACCTCGTCTGCTCGCCCGCGCGGTCGCGGTCGCGGTCCGTCGACTCGGACGACGACGACGCCGCCGCGAGCCCCGCGCCGCCGCGGCCGCGCGCGAGCCCGCCCGCGCCGCGGCCGCGCGCGAGCCCGCCCGCGCCGCGGCCGCCGAGCCCCGCTCGCGACGTGTCGCGCCAGGCGCACCGCGCGAGGAAGCAGGCCAAGCAGCGGCAGTAATTTAGAGAGCCCCCGGCCGCGCGTCGGAGGCGGCGCGGTCCCCCTCGGTCCCCCGGCGGCGGCCTCAGGGCGGCGACGTGGACTTGGAGAGGTCGAGCTTCGTCGCGTCGCGCATGACGATGTGCTCGATGCGGACGGCGCCGATGAGGGCCTCGGGGAGCTCCGCGGGCGCGCCGCCCTGGAGGAGGAAGGCGAGGTCGGCGATGACGACGGACGCGCGGTCGATCGCGAGGCCGATGGTGTACTGGGCGATGCGGCTCGACGCGATGTTGCAGTCGACCTCGAAGTAGTCGCCGTCGGGCGGCGCGAAGTAGAACTGCTGGATCTTGTTCCCCAGCAGCGTCGGCACCTCGCCGACGGCGCGCTTCACGACGAACGGCGCGTTGACGCACCTGGGGATGAGCTTGAACGTGTTGTTGCGCCACTTGTGCAGCTTGTCGTTCGTCGCGAACTGGCCGCCGCCCTCGCCGCCGGGCGACGTGATGGGCTCGAAGAAGCGCTTCGCGACGTGGCCGAAGGGCGTGTCCGCGCCGAAGATCGCGTCGCGGTCCGGCAGGCCCAGGTACATGCAGAACGACTTGTAGGGCGGCCCGGGCACCTGGAGCTGGACGATCATCGTGTAGGGCCGCTTGCCCTCCACGAGCAGCCCGCTCTCGGCCCAGAGCGCGGCCATGCGGTCCTTGAGGTGCCGCGCCATGTGCGGCTGCGGCTCGTCGATGTCGAACAGGTCGCAGTCGAGCAGGTGGAAGAGCGCGGGGCCGCAGGGCACCTTGACCTTGTCCATGAGGTAGCTCGGGCCCCGCACCTTGAACCCGTAGGGGTCCGGCTCGCTCCAGTAGGCGCCGTCGCGCAGCAGCAGCCGCTTCGACTTCGGATCGCGGAACGCCTGGCCCGCGGCGCCGCTCAGGTCCGTCGGCAAAATGGAGCCGCGCTCGCTCGGCGCGTCGCCGCCGGCCTCCTCCTCGGGCTCGTCGAGCGTCGACCGTCGCCGGCTCAAAGTCCGCTGCGGGCCCTCGGGCAGCTCCTCGCTCTCGCGGCCGTACGGCTCGGGCGCCGGCGACGCGTCCGCGCGGCTCGCGGCCTTGGGGCTCGGCCAGGCGACGACGTAGACCCGGCCCGTCAGCACGGCCCAGGTCAGCAGCACCTAAGAAGCGGACATGAGTTCCTTCCGACCGTCGCGCGCGCGCGCGCGGCCGCCACGCACCACGAGCACGGCGGTGGCGCACTGGCCCTGCTGCGTCGATGCGATGGAGATGGCGCCGTCGAGCGCCGCGGCGTCGAGTCGGATCATAATAATCCGCTTATCGCCGCGGGCCTGGCCCACGACAAGTCGACGTGCGGCTCGCACCAATCGAGGCGACGCGCCGATGGAGACTGTCGAAAATCTGTGGCAGCCGAGTGTGCGGCCGATGAGGCAGCATGCGTTGCCGCTAACATCAGCCCGCACGCCAGCGCCTCGCTCTTGCCTCGCCAGAATTCGAGGTCGAGGCAAGTGTCGAGGCAGGATAAGAGCCACCCGCGCGCATTATGATCCCAGCGACTCCACCCCGTCGAGCCGCGCCTCGTCCTCCCCCGTGTCCGCGTTGCGCTCGACGACCGCTTTGACGGCCATGGGCGTGAGACTCCACGGCGCCCACCGGTCCGTCACGCGCGGCGACGCGGGGTCGTAGTGCGCGTGGGGCTCGAGGAGCGAGTAGCCGAGCGCCGACGTCCGGGCGTCGAGCGCGACGAGGCGCGCCCAGCCCGCCGGGTCGCCGGTCCTCGCGCCGCCGGCGTCGAGGAAGTCGCGGAACGCGCGGAGCCGCGCGAGGCCGGACGCGTCGGAGAGGAACTTGATGCCCTCGGTGGCGTTGTGGAGGTTGAGCCGCCGGGACCGCCGGCACGCGGCGAAGGGCGCGCAGGCCGCGGCGAGGCGGCCGTCGCCCGGCGGTAGGTCCGGCATCGCGAAGCGGACGATGCGCTCGCACGGGCACGTGAGCGACAGCCGCTCGTAGCGGACGACGCCGACGCGGGCCGGCGCCTCGTCCCAGGCCTCGAGGTCCCCGGCGAGGACCTCGTGGATGCGCGCCCAGTCCTCGACGGCCGCGAGCTGCTCCGCGAGCGCGCCGCCGCCCGCGGCCTCGCACTCGCTGGCGTTGCCCCGCCGCGGCGCGCGCGTCCGATTCGCGACGACTCGCCCCGGCGGCGCGCGACTCCGCGGCGCGCCGCCGAAGAGGCGCCGCCAACTCGGTGGTCGAGCGAACCTCGTCGTCGTCGGGCGGCGCTCGCGGCGGCGCTGCTCTTTGTAGGCGGCCATGCGCGCCTTGTGCGCCGCGACCTCGCAGGCCTTGACCGCGGTCTTGTGCGCCTCCGCCGCCTCGGCGCCCTTGTGGGTCAGCGGCGACTTGACCGTGACGAGGAAGCGCACGCGCCTCGCGGGCCGGAAGACCGCGTCGAGCCAGCGAATTTTCATGATGTTCGCGGGAGACTTCTCCACGAGGTAGGCGCGGGCCATGTCCCAGTAGAGCGACCACATGCGCCAGAGGGTCACGAGCGCCGCGTCCGCGTCGACCGCGTCGGCTTCCGTGAGGTGGTTCGACAGGTTGCCCGGCCTGTAGACGTCGGCGACGACGGGCGACACGAAGCGCTGGCCCTCGAGCTTCAGCAGCCACTGGCCCTCGACGTTCGTGTGGACGCAGCGCGTCGTCTCCGCGCACCTATCCATGCCCTCCGCGAGGCCCGCCTGCGCGACGAGCGTCCGCAGGAGCGACGTGCCGCTGTTCGGCGAGCCCGCGACGAAGATCATCGAGTGCCGCGCGACCTCCGCCTTGACGGCCGTCGCGTTCGCCCGCCACCAGCGATCGACGTCGACGGCCGGCGGCGGCGCGACGGTCCCGCGGGCCTCGTAGGGCGCGCCCGCCTTCCCGGCGCATTCCCGCCGCTTCCAGCATTTGTGCGTGCGCGTGTGGCACTTCAAGCCGTCCTCCTTGCAAAAGTACCCGACGTAGCCTTTCGGCGGCTCGCCGCGCGGCCATACTCGTTCCGACGGGCCCGCGGATCGCGCCGCCGCGGTCGACGTCCGACTTTTCAAGCGGTCCCGGGCAGCGCGCGCTCGCTTGCGACCCTCGCCGTCCGGGGTCCGGCGACTCCGAGCCGACAATGAACTGGGCGGGCCGCAGCTCGCCGCCAGCCAGCACTTCTTCGTGCGCGTGGAGCACTTGAGGCCGCCCTCTTTGCATACATAGCCTCGTTCGGGCTCCCCGCGAGGCAGATCCTGCGAGCCGGCCCGCCAGATCAACGCGAGCAAAATAGGCCGCATCGTCATCCCCAGCGATGCATGCTAGCTGCTACGATGCTGCCCATAAGCGCCACATTGAAGTACAACATCGCCGAACGCTCAACTGCGAACGCTGCGGATCGAGCGGGCTGCGATTCGTCGACGGGGCAGCCTTCTCACTATGGCGACTCCGACGGCGCGCGCGACGGCGTTCTATGCCGCCTTCCTGTCGTCCTGGTTCGGCGGGTCGTTCATCACGGCGGCGCTCATCCTCTGCCCCGTCTGGGGCTGGTTCAGGGACCCGAAGCCGTTCCTCGCGTGCTGGCTTTTGTACGGCGCCTACCGCCTGGTCTTCCCCATCACGGAGTCGGAGGCCTTCAAGAAGCGGTGCAGCTTCGCGAGCCGGGAATACTTCGACACGTTCGAGATGGTCTACGACGGCGTCGCGCAGGCCGAGCTCGCCGGCAGCGAGAGGCGGCTCTTCGGCTTCCACCCGCACGGCATCCTCTTATGCGGCTGGACGATGGCCATCGCGGACGAGCGCACGCACGCGTGGCGGGCGGCCTGGCTCGCGACGAAGTGGGTGACGATCATGCCCCTCGTGAGCGAGTGGATGGTGAAGCTGGGCGTCCAGGCCGTCCAGAGCGACAATTTCAAGCGGCTCGTGAAGTCGGGCAAGAACGTGTGCATGGCCATCGGCGGCTTCGAGGAGGCGACCTACTTCGAGCACGGCAAGTACAAGGTCTTCCTAAAGGGCCGCGGCGGCTTCGTCAAGTACTGCCTCAAGCACGGCTACCGCATCCACCCCGTCTTCACGTTCGGCGAGGAGCGGACGTTCCGCAGCGTCAACGCGGGCCTCCGCTGGCGCCTGCTCCTGAACAAGATCTCGCTGCCCGGCGTCGTCTTTTTAGGCCGCTGGCTCTGGTGCCCCTTCATGCCCATCCCCGACGCGCGGCTCACGACGGTCGTCGGCGCGGCGCTGGACGGCATGCCCCAGATCGACGAGCCGACGCGCGCGGACGTGGCCAAATGGGCCCGGGCCTACGAGGACGCGCTCCGGGACCTCTTCGAGCGGCACCGGGGCGCCTACGCCGCCGACGGGGACGAGGCCACGCTCGAGGTGCTCTAGGACGTCCTTAAGCCCGCGCCGATCGCGCGCGTGAGCGCCGCGACGTGGCGGAGCTGCTCCGCGGGGGCCGCGTCGAGTGCGCCGCCGTCGGACGGCCGCGCCGACGACTCGTCGGGCGGGACGACGACGCCCCACAGCGTCCGCGTGTCCATGTCCGGGTCGCCGCGGGGCGGCAGCTTCGCCATGCGCCGGAGCGCGGCGACGTCCGCCTCCTCGGGCGTCATCGTCGTGTGGCGCTTCTCGATGGCCACAAAGTCCTCGAGCCACTCGATGGCGCGGTTCCGAGGCATGACGAAGACGTCGCAGGCCGGCAGGTTCGCGCCGCACCCCTCCGTCGGCGCGCGGCCGACCTCGCCCCTACTGTGGAGGAACTCGGCCATGTCCTCGAGCGCGAGCCGGTCGCGCGCGCCCCGCGCCGTCAGCTCGACGACGGGCGGGATGGGCGCCGCCGTGCGCCGCGTGCGCTGGATCTGCACACGGTCGCTCGAGAAGCGGAGCGCGAGGGGCATCCACGGCCGCCACGACGCCTCGGGGCAGCGGACCTCGACGCCGCGCGCGACGAGCCGGAGCGTCTGCTCGTTGGGCGCGCCGGCGTGGGGCACGGCGAGCTCCAAGGTCTCGCACACGGAGACGACGACGGCGCCGCCCGCGCCGCCCGCGGCGTGCGCGACGTGGCAGTGGTGCAGCACCGCGAGCGTCTCCGACAGCGTCGCGCGCGGCGACGCGTAGAGCGGCGTGCCGTTGTGGACGAGGGCGCGCACGAGCCGCGCGCGCCCGGACCAGGGGTGCACCTTCGCCGCCAGGGCCACCGTGTCGCGCTCCCCCCGGCTCGTGCGCAGCAGCGTCGCCCAGCTCTGGGGGGACAGGTACTCCGTTATAATGATATGTACGAGCGCAGAGGGGAAGTAGGCGTCGAGTGAGGGAGACATGGTGCTCCTGGCCCGCGTGCTCCCCGAAGCGCTCTCACCTCGCCTCGATTGAACGTTGGACTCGTTGAAGTTCAAGTCGAAGGTAACATCTCTAGCCTAGCCGCCGCGCGTGACGATCTCGACGACGTGGACGATGAGCGCGTCGACGAGGACGAAGCGCGGGTCGTCCGTCGCCGCGCCGGCGTCGCCGACGAGGCAGGCGAGCTCCGCGCCGTCGAGGTCCACGCCGAGCTCGCGGAGGACCTGGTCCACGTCCGTCGTCGCGGCGACGCCGCCGCCCGGCGCGGCGCCCGCGCCGCCGCCGCGGGCCGCGACGAGCAGGAGCGCGCCGCCGCCCGGCGACGCGCCGCGCTTCGCGTGGCGGCGGAACGCGTGGCGGAGCCGCACGGCCGCCGTCGCCGGGCTCGGCCGCGCGCCGAGTGTCTTCGACGCGTCGAACTTGGCGAGGACGGCGGCCCGCGCGGCGTCCTCGGGCGTCGCCCGGGCCGCGTTGCGCAGGTCGCGCTCGCGGTCGCGGTCGAGGTCGTCGCCGTGGTCCAGCGGGACGCCCGCCTCGCGAGACTCCGTGTCCGCGGGCTCCCACTTACTGGGGTCGTCGACGAAGCGCCGCGGCCGCTCCGGCGTCGGCGGCCGCCGCCACTCGAGCAGGTCGTCCGTCGCCGCGCCGGGCCGTCGGTGGATGTGGCCGACGTCCGCGAAGGTACCGTCCGCGTCGTCGGCGCTCGCCGCGCTGGTCACGCCGCTGCCCACGTGCTGGCCCAGGAGGTCGTCGGCGTGCTTCGCGCGGCAGCCGTCGTCGGAGCGGCCCTTGAGCGGCGGCGCGCCGTCGGAGCCGCGCCAGCCGCTGAGCGCCGGCGCGTCGGCGACGGACGACGCCGGCGGCCGCGCGGCGAGCTTGTCCTGCGTGCACCGCGAGGGCATGGCGCCGCGCGCCTCCTGGGACCCCCGCGGGTGCGGCGCCGGCGGGCGCGGCCGGGGCCGCGGGCCGCCGGGCGAGAGCGCGGCGTCGTCGTCGAGGCGCCGCTGCAGCGTCGCGTAGATCGACGCGTAGCGCACGCGGCCGTCGTCCTCCGTGACGTAGCCGACGACGTCGCGCCGCTCGTCGGTCTCCGGGAGCAACGAGCCGTCGCGCAGCGCGCCGTCGAGCGCCTCGGGCGTCACGGCGCCGTGGCCGTCGAGATCGTAGGCCGCGCAGCGCGCGACGACGGCGTTCGCGCGGCGCATGACCCGGTAGCACGCGCGGCGCTGCTGCTCCGTGAGCCGGAAGGCCAGTTCCGGGTAGGGCGTGCGCACCGTCAGGTGGCTCGTGCCGCCGCGGTTCCGCTCGCGGCGGCGCCGCTCCCGCGCGGCCGCGGCCGCGTCGAGGTGCGTCACCACCGGCAAATCCAGCAACACTCGAATCGTGTTCTCCCGGCAGCCCAGGTGCGACCCGTCGACGTCGTGGGCGTCGCTCCGCAGCGCGCCGCGGTCGATCCAGCGCGCGACGCGGTCGACGCCGCCTTTGGTGATGGGCACGCAGCCTAGATGCTGCGCGAGCGAGATGATCTCGCCGCGGTCGAGGCTCGGCGGGCCCGTGCGGAACTGGCACAGAGCGCTCTCGGCGAGCGCCGGGTCGGCGGCGCAGGCCTCGCGGAGGCGCGCCGCGAGGTCCGGCACCTTCTCGAGTAACCCCTCGTCCGTCCGCTCCCGACCCGCGGCCGGCCCGGGGTCCGCGAAGACGTCCGCGTAGTAGGGCCGCGACGCGCTGTCGCCCCGCGTCTTCTCCCAGCCCGCGCCGTTGTGGCGCCGGCCGCCGACGTCCCGCGCTTCCAGCGTCGCGCCCTCGGTCCAGAACGGCGGCTCCGTCCGCGCGCGCTCGAAGTTGTCGAGCGCCGCTTGATCGGCCGCGCCGTGGTCCAGATAGGTCACCTGGGCGCTCCAGGCGTCGTCGGTCTCGTCGTCGGCGCGGCGCATGCCCGGCCGCCGCGCGAGGTGCTTCGGCGGCACCCAGCGCTCGCGCGGGTCGCCGTCGACGGCGAACGGCGCGCGCCACCGCGTCGTCGTCGGCACGGCTGCCGGCACGACGGGCGCGTCGGGCACGGCGAAGTAGGCGTCCAGCGCCGACGCCGACGTCTGGCGCTGGCCCCGCGCCGCGGACCGCCAGAGCTCCGACGCGTCGTCGCGGCCGAGCGGCGCGCCGGAATGTCCCAAAACCGCCGCGAGGCGCCGCAGGTCGAAACGCTCGCTCCCGTGGAGGCCCGCGCGCCCCGCGGCCCAGGCGCCCGCCGCGCGGCGCCAGACGGCGCCGTGGTGCTCGCCCATCGCGTCCGCGTCGTCGCACCGGAGCAGCGCGCGGTACTCGAAGAGGCCGTCGCGCCGCGCGACGCCGCCCGCCGCCGCCGCCCGCTCGAGCGCCCGGCGGCTCGGCACGGCGACGCCCGCGTCGAGGCACGCGAGGCGCACGGCGTTGTAGGAGAGCGCGCCGCAGCCCGACGCGTCCAAGCGCTCGCACGCGTCGCCGAGCTGCCGCGCGAACGCGCGCGCGTCCTCCTGGAACGCCGCGACCTCGGCGTCGTAGGGGCCGTGGGGGGGCGGCGGCGCGTCCGTCGGTGGCGTTGGGGCGCTGCGCCGCCAGTGGCCGCAGAGCGCGACGAGCACCTCGGCGTCGCACCGCCGGCTCCGGCCCAGGTCGAGCGCCTCGAAGAAGCGGCCCGCGGCCCCGCGGTCGAGCGCGACGCCGACGGCCTCGAGCGCGCACTCGAAGACGGCCAATTTCACGGAGCCGTAGCCGTCGAGGTCGAAGCGGCGCAGGGCGGCGGCCAGCGCCTCGTCCGTGTACGTTTGCGAGCGCAGCACGGCGGCCCGCCAGGCCACGGCCTCGTCGCGGTCCTCGCGCGAGCCCGCCGCGCTCGCGAGCTTCGCGAGCTTGCGCGTCGCCTCGCCCGACAGCTGGGCGAGCTTGCGCGGCCGGAGCTCAAATGGTAATGGACCGTCGAGCATCGTTTATGCAGCTCTAAACCGCCGAGCTCCTTTTTACTAGTAAGCGATTTTGCCACTGCCCATCTTGCAGTTTTTAGGCCGCGCCGCTGTGGAGCGCTCGACGCCGCGCAGGAGAGCGCCGCCACCGCCGCGCTGCGCCGACACGACGCGATGGAGGAGTCCGGCCAGAACCTGAACCCGACGGTCTACGAGAAGGCGGACGACGCGCCCGCGGAGGTGGTCCTGCCCGAGGAGGACGGGTGCCGCGACCCCTTCACGGCCGCCGAGGTCTTCGACCTCGTGCGGGACCTGCGGGACCCGGAGCACGAGGAGATGACGCTCGAGCAGCTGCGCGTCGCGAAGCTCGAGGACATCGACGTCGACGAGTCGGTCCCCGCCGTCGACGTGCGCTTCACGCCGACGATCCCGCACTGCAGCATGGCGACGCTCATCGGCCTCTGCCTGAGCGTCAAGCTGCTGCGGTCGCTGCCGCCGCGCTTCAAGGTGTCCGTGGCCATCGCGCCGGGCACGCACGCGAGCGAGCACGAGATCAACAAGCAGCTCGCGGACAAGGAGCGGGTCTACGCCGCGCTCGAGAACCCGCACCTCCTCAAGGTCGTCAACAAGTGCGTCGCGGGCACGGACCGCGACCGAAACTTCGCCCACGACGCGGGGCCCTTCCCCCTCGCCCCGCTCGAGGCGCCGGCCTAAGTCGTCCAACTCTAGTCGTCGTCGTGGAAGGGGAGGACGCGCGCGCCGGCGCGCGCCGGGTCGAAGAGCTGGGGCGGCACGGACGACGTCGGCGCGACGCGCAGGAGCCAGCCGCCGAAGGGCCGCGCGGCGGCGCGCGGCGCGTCGTCGCCGGCGACCTTCTGCTGCCCGTTGCGGCACTCGACGACGGGCCGGAGGAGGCTCGAGCCGTCGTAGCCGAAGTTGGGATCGGACGCGCGGAGGAGGACCTCGAGCACGGGAAACGCGAGCGCGGCCTCGGAGAACGCGTCGACGCCGCGCGGCAGGTGCTGGACGCGCAGGAGCTCCGCGCCCGGCGACGAGTCCACGAAGACGCGGACCTGGTCGCCCGCCGCCAGCGGCCGCGCGCTTCGCTCCTCGCGCGACTCCGCGAACTTGAACGCGCCGCTCGACGAGAACGACGCGGGCCCGCGCTCGCGGCAGAGCGTGGGCCGCTCGCCGACGCGGAAGAGCCAGGCCGTCTGGCGCAGGACGCTGCCGCGCCGGCACGCGCCGTCCCGGCGGCCGACGACGGCGAACGACTCGAGGCGCCGCGTGCCGTCGAGGCCGAGGCCGACGGCGAGGTAACTCCGCCCGGGGCACGGCTCGACGACCTCGACGACCCAGGACCGGCGGTCGCCGGGCTGCACGGGCGCCGAGCCCACGAGCGAGCAGCGGAGCGGCGCCGCGAAGGCCGTCGTGTCGACGACGCGGCCGCATTCGAAGTCCAGATCCTCCAAAACCCGCCCCGCGGCGCCGAACGCCGCGAGCGCCCGGCGCCGCAGGCCCGGCCCCGCGACGAGCACGGGGCCGGCGGCGACGGCCTGCGTCGACAGGCCCGTCGCGACGCGCGCGCAGTGCGTCGTCGCGTGCGCGTCGCGCGCGAGCGTCCACGTCGCGCCGCGGCCGCCGCGGACGTCGCGGAGCGCCTCGCGCACGAGCGGCCGCCGCGGCGACGCGAGCAGCGCGTCGGAGACGCGGCTCCGCCGGCGCGCGCGGCTCTTGCAGAGCGGGCAGGAGAACTTGCGCCGGAGCCAGGCGTCGAGGCAGCCCGCGTGGAAGGAATGGCCGCAGCGCAGCACCGTCGTCACGTCGTCGCCGTCGGCCAGCTTCTCGAGGCAGATGCTGCAGTCGCCGTCGTCGCCGCGCCGCGGCTCGAAGCCGCCGTGGGCGCCCTGGAGCTCACGCCGCGCGGCGACGTCGAAGGCGACGGCCGTGCCGCGGCCCGCGGCGGAGAACGCGGCCGCGTCCTCCAGGGTCATGAAACCCGCGGCGGGCACGACGGCCTCCTTGGGCAGCGCCGCGCGGCGCGGCGGCGGCGGCTTGCGCGCGGGCTGCTTGCCCGCGCGCAGCGCGCGCTCGAGCGGCGTGTTCTCGATGTACCGCAGCGCGCGCCGCGGCTTCTGCGGCGGCGTGTCCGCGCTTTGTTGCAGCGCGCGGCGCGGCTTCGGCGTGTCGAACTCTCGGCCGCTGCGGGGCTCTTGCGTCGCGCCCTCCGCGCGCTCCGGCTCCGCGCTCCCGACGCGCCAGAGCATGTGCTTCACGGACCGCTCTGCCGCCCGACCCACTGGCGACGCCATCCACGGCTCGCCGCGCTCCGCGGCCTCCTCGAAGACGCGCCGCGCCAGCCGCAGGAACTGCTCGCCCTTCTCCGTCTCGCCCGCGCTCACCGTCGCGACGGCGATGGCGCGCGCGACGACGCGCGCGATCTCGAAGTCGCAGGCCGGGAAGACGCCGAGGAGCGTCTCGCTCGACGCCATGGCGTCGCAGGCCGCCGCGCGGCACGTCGCCCAGTCGCCGCGCCGCGCCGAGACGTCGACGAGCGCCGCCGACGCGCGCGCGAGCGTCCAGAGGCAGCCCGTGTCGAGCTCCATCGCGTCGATTAATCTCGTTTGGCACGCGTCGGCGCACTCCAGCAGCGCATCCGACGCGCCCTCGAGGTCGCCGGCCTCGCGCAGCGTTTCAGCGGTGCGCAGCAGTTCTTTCGGGTGTGGTCGTTCGGCCGGCGGCGCGCCGTGGACCAGCCGCTCGAGCAGTTCGTCGCCGATCACGGCGCCGTCGAGCGCGAAGATGCGCAGCTCGAGGCCCGCCTCGGAGACGGGTATGCTGTCCGCAAACGCTGCCATGACCGAAGCAAACGGCGCTGCAACTCGGCATCATCATCGGCGCGACGTCGCCGCGGGCAAAATCGCGCCCGGCCGCCGTCGGCGCCACGCGCGCGCCGCGCGACCGCGTGCATCTCATCGGGCGTCGCCGCGGCAAATCGCGCCGGCCGCGGCCGTCGCAGCCACGCGCCGCGCCGCGCGACCGCGATGGTGCGCCTCAACCATATGGTCATCGCGCTCTGCGTGATGACGTCCATGCTCCACATCTACCTCTACACGACGCGGCACATGCACGTGCCCGCGCCGCCCGCGGCGACGATCACAGCGCCCGAGGCGCCGCCGACGCCGCCGGAGCGCCGCAGAAAGCGCGATGAACGACGGCACGCCGCCGACGAGAAACGCCCGGAGAAGCGGCGCACGGCCGACGAGGCGCGCGCGTTCCTCCGCGAGCGCGCGCAGCGCGAGCGCCTCAAGGGCCCGCGGTCGCAGCTCGACGAGCTGCCGCCGCGGCCGGGCCAGAAGCGGCCGGACGCCGCCGCGCGGTCGCCGCAGGAGCGCGCGGCGTCCGAGGGCATCGGGCGCGCGAGCAAGTGGGACCGGCGCGTGGCCTACAGCCCGCGGCCTCCGAAGAACGCGACGTTCCACGACTGGCTCCCGGCCTTCGAGGCCGCGTGCGGCCCGCCGAGCCCGAGCGACGACGACGTCGGCCCCGTGACCATCACGGACGAGACGACGACGACGCTGGACCGCGACGTCCTCGCGCGCGTCCGCGACTTCGACCGCTACCAGAAGGGCAAGCGGCGGCGGCTCCTCGGCGCGGACCCGCGCGCGACGACGCTCGACCCGTCCGCGCCGTTCCGCCTGCCCGTCGGCTGCGCGCCCCTGCACACGCGCAGCTTCCTCGCGGCCTACACGAACACGCGCGACGACGACCGCGCGGGCGACGACGCGGCCGCGGACGACGACCGGGGCCGCTACTGCGACGCCGCGACGTGTCTGCCGAACATGTTTTTGATCGGCGCGTCCAAGTCGGGCACGACGACGCTCTACGAGGCCCTGCGCGCGCACCCGCGCGTGCTCGAGATGTTCGCCGAGCCCCACACGAACGGCGAGACCCACGTCTTCACGGAGCCGCGGCCCGAGCGCGAGCTCGCGCTGCGCGCCGTCCGCCGGTCGCTGCCGCTGAAGCGGCGGAAGCTCTTCGCGCTCCAGCCCCGGCCCGGCGACGTGGACGGGCGCTGGCACTTGGACGAGAGCCGCGACGGGCCGACTTATGTCGTGGAGTACACGCCCCACTACCTCGTGCTGCCCGAGGTGCGGAGCTGGATCTGCGGCGCGCTGCGGGTCGCGGGGGCCGACTGCGGCCGCGCGAAGTTCGTCGCCATGCTCCGCGACCCGGCGAAGCGCGCCTTCTCCCAGTGGGTCATGAAGACCCACATGCGCGTGCCGATCTACAACGACCGGCGCTCCTTCTGGGACGCGGCGCAGGCGGGCATGCGCCACACGGGCAACTACGCGAAATGCTGGGACAAGGCGCTCGGCCTCGAGCCGAGCGACGCCGCGGACCGGCGCAAGATGCGCCGCAACTGGGACAAGCTCCAGACGCGGGCCTACAAGAACACGACGGCGCGCCGCGCGGGCGACGTCGTCGTCGACGACGCCGCGCGGGTCCTCGAGCTCGCCGCGGGCGACTGCCAGCCGAAGCGATTCCACAACAACCTCTTCCAGGCCTACGTGCTGAAGTCGGCCTACTACTACCAGCTCCTGCCCTGGTTCGCCGGCCAGGGGCGCCACAGCCTCCACGTGCTCACGCTCGAGGGCTTCGACGCGACGGCGCTCCAGCGGCTCCTCGTCTTCGCGGGGCTGAAATTCGTCGGCGACGGCGCCTACAAGTCCCTCGCCCAGGTCGAGGGCCTCGTCTCCGCCCAGCGCAACGTCGCCCGCGACGGCGGCACGGGCAAGATCGACGACGAGCACCGCGCGCTCCTCGACGACTACTTCCGGCCCATGAACCGGAAGCTCGACGCGCTCCTCGCGCCCGTCCTCGGCCGGCCGACGGGGTACCCCGTTTAAGGAGGCGCCTAGGCGACGTAGATCTTGCTCACGGAGGCGAAGTCCGCGCGGCACATGGGGCACTTCCCGTCCGCCGCGCGGATATCTTCCGCGCAGTCCTCGCAGAGGCAGACGTGCATGCAGGGCATGAGGATGACTGAGCACTTTGAATCCATGCACACTTTGCACTGCAGACTGTCCTTGAGCTTGGACTCGAGGTCGGCCTTCTCGCTCTTGACCTTCTTGAGGTTGCCGTCGGTGATGACGTCGCGGAGGTCGCGGAGCGTCATTCGCTTGGCGGCGGCGGGCTGCGCGGTGTCGTCCGTGAGGTCGACGACCTCATCTTCAGGGTTTTCGAGCTTGCGCTTGAGCGTGTCCCTCTCCCTTTTCACTCCAGCAATCTTCGAGCAAGCTCGCGAGCGAAGTCGGTCATAAGCGGCACTCGCGTCGTCCAAGTCCTTCTTGGTCGTAGCCAACTCCCGCTTCAGCTCCGCGTTCTCCTGCGCCAACTCCAAATTCCGCGCCACGATCCGCGATTCGACGGACGCCTGCTTCTCGCGAGCCTCGGCTGAGGCGGCCAGGGCATCGTCGAACTTCTGTTGGAAATGTCGAGCTTTGTCGGCCAGGGTCCGTAGCTCCGCTTCCACGTCGCCGACGGCGATCGCTCGCTTGGCGTCCACACTGCCTGCAGCGAGACGGTTGAGCGCCGACTTGGCAGGAGCTGATACTTCGGCGCTCACATCTCTGGCAAGTTCCATAAGGGGCGCGATTGCTCCCGCTGCGAAAATCGTGGCACGAACGTCATCGAAGAACGCGAGGTCCGCCAGCGCCCGAGTTGCATAAATTTTGGCTTGCGCTGCAACATTGGACGGGCTATTGATCCGAAGAATGTCGACAAGTGCTTCTACGCCCTTGGCCGCGACGATCGCTGTAGCGTTCACTTTCGTTGCGAGAAAGTACAATGCGTCCGCTGCATTACGCTTGGAGAGATAGAGCTTGCCGCTCTGGGCGATCGAGACTAGCAATTTGAGGGCACCAGACGTAACAATAGCGGGATGATGTTGGGGAGATTGCGCAATTTGAGCGAGCGTCCCCGCAGCATACTCCTCCTTTAACCCCACATGCTTTCCTCCGTCTCCGACGAGCGCGACGAGGTGGTCGATGCCACCACCCGCGACGATCGCGTCCGTCGCAGATTCAACGACTGACAGCATGCACAGCGCACGGCCAGCCCAGCCTCTCATTTCGTCTTTCGCTCCCTCTCCGCCGCGGACGAGCACGACGATCGGTGGAACGCATCCAGCGGCCACGATGTTAGCTTTGTTCCGATCGGTGTTCGCACGGTCGCCTCCGCAATTAATGAGTCTCTCCACCTCCCGCAAGGCCGCGAGTTTCTCATCGACGTCGCCCCCTTCTAGCTTGAGCCGGAGCGCGAGGAGATCGCGAGCGGCAGCAGCCATTTCCGAGCCAGCAATTACAATCGCATTCAACAACGCCCACGTTGAACCGAGCGGGCAGCCTCGCGAGGCAGCATGGCGCGCGGCAAGGACAAGGAGAACCGCAAGAAGCAGCGCAAGGCGTCGCGCGGAGACGCGAGCAACGGTCCCACGACAACGGCGGACCCGCGGCTCGTCGCGGCCTTCGTCGGCGTCGCGAGCATCTTCGCCGCCCTCGCGCTCAGCGGCGGCCCCGGCGAGCCGCCGGGCCTCGGCGGCGCGCCGCGGAGCCGGCGGTCGTCGGGCCGGCGGGGCGAGCTGCCCTACGGCGGCGTGAAGCCCGACTGCCGGCTCGACGTCCAGTCCGCGCGCGTCATCATGGCGGAGATGTTCGAGGTCATGCGCGTCGACCGCGACGCCGCGTTCGGGCAATTGGACCAGGTCATCGAGTGCGGGCCCGTCAACGTCGAGGAGGTCATGATGAACACGGGCACCTGGCGCGCGTCCGGCGGCGACTTCGACGAGGCGGCGAAGATCTTCGACGCCATGTGGGCGAGCGGCGGCGCGCAGCGGTCCGACATGGTCGACGGCGGCGCGCTCGACGCCTACGTCGACTCCCTGACGGCCCTGGGGCGGCTAGGCGACGTCGTGGCCGTCGTGTCCAAGGCCCTGGCGCAGCCGACGGAGAACGACGACCCCGACGACCTCGCCGCGACGCTGTGCCTCGCGCAGGCGCAGCTCGGCCTCCCCGCGGACGGCCTCGCGTTCCTCCCGGAGAGCTCCGCGGGCGGTGTCAGCGGCGGCGCGGGCGTCACCATTTTACAGTCCGTGGACGCCGACGGCGACGCGACGCGGAGCGGGTTCCTGGGGGCCGTGTGCCGGGGCAACGCGGCGCTCGTCGCCGGCGACTCGGACCGCGCCGCGGACCTCTTCGCAACGGTTTTGGAGCTGGCCTCGGACAGCGTCGCGGAGGTCGCCCTGGCGAAGAGCGGCCATCTGGACTACGTCGCGTCCGAGATGCGCGCGCGGAGCGGCGTCGCGGCGCCGGAGGCGGTGGTGACGGACTACGACGGCGCGGCGCTCGGCGGCCGGGCAGCGGCCGGCGGCTGGGCGCGGCCCGCGTTCTACGTCGGCCCCTGCGACATCGACCGCCGGGCGTCGCTCACGCCCGACGAGTTTATCAGCGAGTACGCCGCGCGGGGCAAGCCCGTCCTGCTCAAGGGCCCCGTCGACGACTGGGACGCGTTTTCCCAGTGGACGCGCGACCGCTTCCTGGCGGACTACGGCGACGAGCTCGTCGGCGTCCACGAGACCTCCGAGGACTCCGTGCGCCTCGCCCACTCCGTCGCCGGTGCGTGGCCGTTTTTTTTGTGTTTCTTCTCGTGAAACCGCTCCGTAGGTTGGTTCGAGCCGCCGGACGGCGTCGCGCCGCTGCGCGATTTCGTCGACGCGTACATGGGCCAGCAGCACGTCGAGGGCGAGGCGCCCTACGTCTGGGGCCCGCCGCCGGCGGGCCTGGGCAAGGCCTACGACGCCTACCTCGACGGCCTCTTCCGCGAGTCGGAGATCCACGACATCGCCGACGCGGAGCGCGGCCCGCTGACCGCGTTCTCGCTCGGCGGCGCGGGCTCGGGCGGCGCGTTCCACACGCGCGGCGCCCACCACACGGCGCTCATCTTCGGCGCGACGCAGTGGTTCCTCTTCCCGCCCGTGTCCTACGTGCCGCCGGGCGGCGTCGTCGGATTCGCGGCCGCGCTCGAGGCCGACGGCGGCTGGGCCCCGCCGCGGCCGCGGACCTGCGTCCAGCAGCCCGGCGAGCTGCTCTACGTGCCCACGGGCTGGCACAGCGCCCACGTCAATCTGGGGGATACCCTCGCGGTGAACACGCAGGTCGCGACGCCGACGCACATGCCGCTGAAGCGCGACGTCGAGCGGCGCACTGACGCGGACGGGAACGCCTACGAGGTCAACGCGAAGACCGGCGAGGTGGTCTACGTCGACGGCGCCGCGGAGGCCTACGCGCCCGACGACGACGACGACGACTTTTAAAACCTAGTCGTCGTCGAGTCTCCGGAGGTCGAGCTCGGCCTTGTACTCCAAATTCTGGTTCTGGAGGAACATGATGTCCTGGACGGAGTTCTGGAGCAGGGCCTTGAGCCGGTTGAGCTCGCCGCCGAGGGCGTCGCGCTCCTTGCCCGCGACGTCCATGACGCTCTTGAAGACCTCGAACTCCTTGTCCTTGGCCGCCGCGAGGACCGCGGCCTTCTCGCGCCGCTCGGCCTCGAGGTCCGCGTGGGCCGACTTGAGCTCCGCGTCGAGCGCCGCGATGCGCTTCTCGGCCTGGTGCTTGTAGTTTAAGGCATCACCCAACTTGGCCTGGAGCCCGGACTTGACGGCCTTGTGCTTCTCGACCTCCTCCTGGGTCAGGTGGACGTCGCCCCCCTTCGCCGCGTGGAGCGCGCGGAGCTCCTCGAGCTTCGCGCGCTCGAGCTTGGACGTGTGCTCGAGCTTCCAGAGCTCCTCCTGGACGGCCTCCGCCTTCTCCTTCTCGACCTCGGCCTCGTACTCGCTGTCGTGGACGCGTCGTTCGAGATCCTCGACCTCCTTCTCCAGCTTGTGCTTCTCGTCGACCTCCTTCGTCAGCACCTCGGCGGTGTGCTTGAGGTGGTCCCCCTCGAGCTTGACCATGGCGAGCTCCTGCTTCAGCAGCGCGTTCTCCTCGAGCGCGCCGTCGAGCTTCTGCCTCACCGTGTCCGCGTCTTTGACCCGCTCCTTCATGACCGTCTCCCGCCGCACGAGGCGGTCCGCCTGGTCCGCCATCTTCTTCCGCTCGCCCTCGAGCTGGGCCGCGAGGTAGGCGTCCTTCTGGGACTGGAAGGCGAGGCGCTCCTCCTCCTGGATGGCCTCCCGTAAACGGTCGTTCTCGGCGATCGTCGACGTCGCGGCCTGGAGCTCCGCCTTCTTCGTCGTGAGGAGCTGCTCGATGTCGTGGACCTCGACCTTGACGGCGGCGACGCGCTCGCGCACGCCCACGAGATTCTCCCGGAGCTCCTCGATGCCCGTGAGCGACTCGAGGAGCGCGTCCGCGCTCTGCTCCTTCGACGGGTGCGCGTCGTCCAAAGCCTCGTGGTCGTTCTGGGCGTGCTCGTAGGTCGCCATGGCCGCCTCGAGGTCCTTCTTCATGCCCTTGTACTGGTCCTTGAGACCCGCCTGCTCCTTGAGCTTCTTCGCCCGCAGGTCGCTGAGCCGGCGGATCTCCGCCAAGAGCGCGAGCTTCTCTTCTTTCACGGACGACATGACGTCCGCGACGGCGGCGTTCATGTTGTTCTTGCGCTCGGCCTCGAGCTCGGCACTCAACCGGGCGCGCTCCTCCCAGCCCTCGTCCTTCTGCTGCTCGATGGCCGCGATGCGGTCCGCGAGCTCGCGCTCCCGCTCGCGCGACTCGCGGACCTTCTCCTGGAGCTCGCGCTCCTGGGCCTCGCTCAGGTCGCCTGCACCGCCCTCGCCGCCGCCGCCGGCCTCGAGCGCCGCCCGCAATCTATCGATCTCCTCCTGGAGCTCGCGGATGACCTTCTCGTGGACGTCCTCGTTCCGCGTGACCTTGTTCTGGATCTTCTTCGCGCGCGACGCGTAGCGCAGCGTGCCCGTGGTCTCCTCCGCGTTGTAGTCCGCCGGCGAGCAGTTGGCGACCATGATCGTCGCCGCGTTGCCGCCCAGCGACTCCTGGAGGAGGCGCGTCAGTTTCGAGTTGCGGTAGGGCACGAACGGCGCGCCCTCGCTGAGCGCGTTGATGACGCCGCCCAAAGCCATGAGGCTCTGGTTGATGGCCGCGCCCTCCTTGAGCGTGGACCCCTCGGCGCCCGTCTTCGACGCGCGCTCGCTGCCCGCGAGGTCGACGAGGTTGAGCTTGGACGCGAGCGCGGTCTCGCGGCGGACGCCGTCCTCCTCGACGGCCGTCTTCTGCTGGATCTTCACGGTGAAGACGCTGTGGGACCGCGAGCTCCGCTCGTTCATCTGCGTCGACGCCACGCGCCGCACCTTGTTCCCCTGGTCCAGGAGCCGGAAGATGTCGTCGGGGTTCTTCACGGACCTGGGCAGGACAAGAGAGCGAAATTCCCAACTTCAAAGGCCTCTATCTCGGCCGTTTTCCACTCGTTTCGGCTGATTTTTGGACGAGCGATCATCTCTCGGAACGGTCTCGACGCGTGAATGATTTTCCCGGAACGCGCGCGCGCGGAACACTCACATTGAAGCGACGTTGAATCACCCTTGTCCTGCCCTGTCACGGACAGCTCGCAGAGCGGCTCGACGTAGATGCCCAGGTCCGGGTGCTCGCGGATCTTCAGGTTGTCGCCCGACGTCGGGTTGAGCAGGTCGTGGATGACCTCGTTGTAGATCTCGAGGTAGCTCACGGTGATCATGAAGCGCACCTCGCCCGGCGCGCCCGCGGCCTCGCCGTCCGCGTCGACGGCCGGCGGCTTGCCCCGGCTCGCGCCGCGCGGGCTGCCCCCGAGGTCGCCGCCCTTGTCCTTGAGCACGCCGTCGACGCGGCCGAAGAGGTCGCCCGTGAGCCGCGGGATGATGCCCTGGAGGTCGCCGTCGCTCGGCACGCCCATCATCGTGAACGTCTTGCCCGAGCCCGTCTGCCCGTACGCGAACATCGTGCCGTTGTAGCCCTCGAGCGCCTTGGTGATGAGGGGCGCGCCGATCTCGTCGTAGATGTCCTTCTGGTTCGTGCCCGGCGCGTAGACGTGGTCGAAGGTGAACATGTGCTCCTTGCTGTCCTCGGACCCGTCGCCCTCGACCTTGATGGAGCAGTCGGCCTTGTTCACGTTGACGACCGTGCGCGCGCCCATGGTCGTCTCCTTCGACGACAGCGGCCGGCACCGCACGGCGACGCGCACGTTCGTCGACGCCATCTCTCCTCTGCGCTGTTGTGTCCTGCAGCTCAGGGCAGCATCATGCGCGACACATCGAGAAAGCCGCCGGACGGTTGGACTTCAATTTGGGCCGTAATGTAAAGATGCTGCATTCTCTGTTAGGTGCTTTACCATTTCGGCGTCCAGATCAATCGAGATTGACGCCCGTGTACGCCACAGGCGACGACGACGATCGAGCATCTCGCGCCTCGACGTCCGCCGGACGACGGACGGGCACCGCGCGCGCCGGAACTGGCGGCATAGGCGTCGGCCCGGCCGATGATGGACGTCCATTCGAAGCGGCTGCCCACGCGGCTGCCCAGCGTCGCGACGTCGGCCCCCGGCGAGGCGCCCGCGGCGCCGCCGAGCGCCGCGAGCCCGAAGAACGACTCGAGCGACGCCGCGCCGCCGACGGCGGCCCCGACGACGACGCGGCCCGACGTCTTCATCGGCATCCCCGGCCCGCGCCGGTCCTTCGGCCAGTTCTCCGTCGCGGTGCCGGCGAGCGCGGCGCCGACGGCGGGCGCCGCGGCGCCCGCGAAGCCGCAGCCGGCGTCGTCGACGATCACGTTCACGGTCCAGGACCTGACGCGGGCGCCGAACCCGGCGCGGGGCTCCCGGGGCTCGCGGGGCTCCATCGTCACGGACCCGCACGCGTTCGCGCTGAAACGCGCGCAGCTGAAGAAGAAGTGGAAGGAGTCGCCGACGGCGTCGCGGCGGTCCCTCAAGAGCGAGGAGCTCCACGCGCTCCACAGAAAAAGCGAGGCGGCGACGCCGCCGAAGGCGGACGCCGCCGACCGCGGCGCGAAGTGGCCCGCGCGCCGGGTCGCGCCCGAGCCCGCGTTCTTCCCGACGATCGCGGCGACGCCGTCGCCGCCCAAGGGCAGGAAACCGAGCGGTACCAACTAAGCAATTAAAAGTCGAGCTTCTCGCCGCAGAGGAAGAACTTGGAGATGAACTGGCGATACCTGCGAGCGCGCGCGCGTCGCAGCGCGGCGCGGGCGGGCGGCTGGCGGGCGCGGCGCGGGGAAGGGGCGGGGCGGGGGTGGGACGTGCGAGGACGCGGGCGAGTACTCCCATTGGGGGTCGCAGCCGAGCTTCGGGTCCGACGTGTACTTGAGCTGCAGCCGGCCGAAGCGCCGCGGCCCGCCCTCGCCGTTGAGCTCGTAGTCCTCCGTGGACCAGGAGATGGGCAGCTCCCAGCCCGGCACGGGCACGTCGAAGATGGACCAGCGGTAGGCCTCGTCCATCCAGTTCGTGCCCGGCTCCTCGACCGCGAGCTTCACCAGAATCTTGCACATCTCGCGGTGCTCCCAGGACCGCAGGTCCAACACATAAATGCGCTCCGGGTGCACGGGGTTCTGCGTGTTGAGCCAGCCCAGGCGGTGGAGCACCTCGAGCTGCTCCTGGGGCTCCAGAATCGTGAAGATCTGCCAGTAGTTCTTCATGTCGATGCACCGCGCGTGGAGCAGGATCGCCACGTAGACGCGGCAGAAGTCGTCCGTGGGGAAGGATTTCACGATCCAGATGATCTGCTCCATGGACAGCCAGATGGACATGGTCGCGACGCGGAGCGTCGCGATCTTGTAGTAGACGATGGAATACGCGCGCGCGGGCAAGATGCTCGAGTCCGTCTTCTCCTTGCGCGCCTGCTTCGACGGCGGCAGCACCTCGAATTCCCCGAAGCCCGGCTCGTCGTCGGACTCCGACTCCGACTCCGACTCGAGCGCCGCGTAGTTGCGGTGCGTCGCGCGGACGTTGTCCGTGAGCCCCGCGGACGGCTCGCCCGCGGCGGCCGCGGACTCGGGGCTGCCGTCCTTCATGAGGTCCGCCGTGTCCTGCTTGTCGCCCGTGTCCTTCTCGTCGACGGCCGTGCCCAGAATCTTCGCCATGTCGCGCGCCTTCTCGACGCCGAGCCAATCGGTCACGACGTACGTGCTCGCGCGCAAGTCGCGCCACTGGTTCACGACGTCGCGCCGCATGATCCACCAGGGCATCTCGATGCCGAGCACCGTGCCCATGGACCCGACGCCCGTGCGCTTCGTCGCGTTCTTGCGCCGGTTGCCGCGGCCGTCGTCGGAGTCGGAGCTCGAGTCGTCGCTGTCGAACTCGTCGGACGACGACGTCGACTCGTCGTCGAAGTCGGGCACGGGCACGTCCGTGCGGCTCGCGCGGCGGTAGGCCATCTCGCGCGCCGCGTCGCCGCCCCGGTCCTTGAGCGTCCGCTGCTCGCCGGGCGCCGCGACCTTGTCGCGGTCGCTCGCGCCGCAGCCCGTCTTACCGGACGCGGACGGCGCGAAGAAGGACTGGCGCTCGCGGCGGATGGGGTTCATCGTATGATAGAACTTGGACACGCGGCTCAGCTCGCCCAATTCGAGCACCTGGCAGAGCTGGATGAAGCGGCGCACGGAGAGCGGCCGCGTCGACTTCTTCGGCCGCCGCGTGGACACGAAGTCGAACTTGAGGCGCCCGCGCCGGGGCATGTCGACGAACCAGGAGCTGTTGAGCTCTAACGCTTTATCCTCGTAGAACTCGTTGCGGAAGTTCTGCCAGTTGCCTTTTTGGGACGTGTCGAGGCGGCCCGACGCTCGGCCGACCATGATCTGCGCGTTGTTGACCTCCGCGAGCTTGAGCGCCGCGCGGCGGTGGTTCGCCTCCCGCAGATCGAGCATGTAGAAGCCCGTCGGGTTGCCCGTCACGGCGTCGAAGAGGGGGCCCATGCGCTCCCTCAGCTTGACGCGCGAGTCCAAATTCAAATTCTTCTCGACGAGCGCGCAGGCCTCGTCCGTCGACGACATGACCGGCAGCAGCTTCCCGAGCATCTCGTACTCGTCCAAGCCGTTCTCGCAGCCGTCGAGCAGCGACTGGGCCTGGACGGCCGTGAAGTAGATGTCCGTGTTCGACACGGCCTTGTTGAAGAGCATCGCGCGGTCCGACTCGAGGGAGCAGAGCTGCATGTTCTTCACGAGGCCCTCGTTGCCGAGGTCCGTGCAGTAGAGGTCGACGCCCGGCGGGTGGGGCTCGGCCGTGAACTGGATGTGGAGCCAGCCCTCCGTGGGCACGACCCACGCGCCGCCCGTCTTCGCGTCGACGAGCGTGTCGAGCTTCTCGGGCTTCTTGGCGAGGAACGTGCCCATGGCCCACTGGACGAACTCGCCGCGTTCTATAGATAAGGACCCGTCGAGGTCGTAGGTGGCGATGACGCGCGTCGCGGCCTCGATCGATTTGTCCAGCACTCCGAGGTGCTCGAGCCCGAGCTGCATCTCGAGGACGTCGATGGACCCCGACGCGTTCGAGTCGATGCCGTCAAACAAAGCGTAGAAGACGGCGGCGAGGACGCCGTCGACGCCGCCGTGCGCGCCGTCGAGCCGCGCGTCGACCATGTCGACGCCGTCCCGCGTGGGCTTCGCGCCCATGGCCTTGAGCAGCGCGACGATCTTCGGCCGCTTCTCCTTGCGGTCCTTGAGCGTTCTATCCAACTCCTTCGCGGGCTTGAACCAGGCCCGGTCCGCGTTGTCCGCGCTGTCCAGATCCGCGCCCGTGCCCCGCAAGTACGCCGCCGCGCGGCCCGCGCCCGGCCGGCCGCCCTTCTTCTCCTTCTTGCGCTTGAGCTCGATGGGAATGTGGCGCACGGCCTTCTTCTTGTCCTTGCCCTTCTTGCCCTTTTTCCCCGGCGACGGCTTCTTCTCTTCCTCCTCCTCCTCCTCGTCGCCCTTGGGCGGCGTCCAGAAGATGGACTTGAAGTTGCAGCCGTGGCGCGTCGCCGCGAGGCGGTACAACTCGCGGGCGACCATCTGGGCGTAGGGCGTCGCCATGTCCAGCGTGTAGTCGCCCGTCGGGTGGATCGGGTTGAAGAGCACGCCGCCGTGCGCGAGGCCGGCCTGGTTCTCCTGCTCCATCTCCGCGTTCGCGAAGCTGATGTGGAGGAAGCGGTCCGGCAGCTGGCAGCGCCGCACGGCCGTGATCAGCGCCTCGCCGCCGCGGCGGCCCAGGGGGTTGCCCGACATGTCGAGCTTGTGGAGCGTACTGTTGGAAGTGAACGCGGACGCGATGACCATGGCCGCCGTGGGCGTGATGGCGTTGTAGGACAGGTCCAGCTCCTTCAGCGCGCCGTTGGCGGCGAGGGCGATGCCAAGGAACTGGGCCGGCTCGTCCTGGAAGGCGTTGTAGGCCAGGTTGAGCTTCGTCAAAGTGGAGTTGTGCGCGAGCGCCATGCCGAGCTCCTTCGCGGAGTCCTTGCGGATCTTGTTCCAGGCCACGTCGAGCTCCTGGAGCTTGTAGTTCTCCTGGAGCATGTCGGCGATGGCCTCGCCGCCCGTCGTCAGGTCCGGGTTCACGATGTTCAGGTTCTCCGCGTCGCCGATGAGGTTGTCCGCGAGCGAGATGATCTCCAGGCTCCGGTTGTGCGTGAGGTCCTGCATGAAGTCCGCGCACTCGAAGTCGTCGATGTCCGCCGTCGCGAGCCAGAGCTTGCGCAACTTGCAGTAGGCCGACCCGAGGTAGTCGCGGAGCGTCGCCGCGGAGTCGTCCATGTCGTTGCCGCTGAGGTCGAGCGCCGTGAGCCGCGGCAGCTCGCGCACGGCCTCGAGCAGGGGCGTCAGCGAGTCGTCCGTGAGCCGGTTGTCCCGCAGGAGCAGCGTGTCCACCGTCGGCAGGCCCGAGATGACCTTGCACAGCGAGATCAAAATCGTGTCGCCGACGCCCGCGCCGTTCAGGTCCAGCGTGGACGGCGCGTTGAGGCGCCGCCGCAGCAGCACGGGCAGCGGCAGCGTGCCGTCGCGCGTGCGCTGCTTCAGCACGGCGCGCAGGTACTTCTGCCTCGGCGTGAAGGAGCCCTCGCCCATGAGCGTCTCGTCGACGCCGTCGTCCGACGACTCGTCGTCGTCGTCTTCTTCTTCTTCCTCCTCCTCCTCCCCGTCCTCCCCGTCCTCCTCGCCCTCCACGACCGCCTTCGGCGGCGTCGGCGCCTTGGCCGGCTCGGGGACCTTGGCCAGGGGCATGAGGAACTGCTGCTGGCAGACGAGCTTGAGCCGCGCGAAGTAGCGCTGGCGCGCGCCCGCGCCGATGAAGCGCTCCTCCTCCTCGTTCTCGGCGATCTTCATGGACTTGGGCACGGCGTTGGCGACGTTGTTCGTCTGGGCGCCCTGGTAGCCGCTGAACTGGTAGCCGCCGATGCGCTGGCGCACGTTCGGCGGCGGCGGCGTCCGCGGCTTCCACTCGCCGCCGAGGGAGCTCTTGGAGCTTTGCTGGGAGAGGTAGGACGACGCGTCGGCGTCGTACTCCTCGATGGAGGGCACGTCCGACTTGTTGTCGAAGTCCAACGTGGACGTCACCGGGAACGGCGACTCGTACTCCGGGAGCATCTCCCCCAGGTCGACGTCGCTCGCCATGTCCAGGATCTCCTGGCCCGCCTCCTCGTTCTTCTCCGCCTCGCGGATCTGGAGCCCGGACGACCCCGTCGCCGGCGGCGGCCGCGGGCCCCGCTCGGGGAACTCGCCGCGCCCGGGCGACGCGGCCTCGCGCGTCGCCAGAAAATCGTCGAGCGTGAAGTCCTGGGGGAGCTGCTCCAGTAGCAAGCCGTCGAAGGAGTTGAGCTCCTGGGACTCGTTGGCGTTCGACTCCTCCTCGCCGTCCGCGTGCTTGGCGTCGTACGCGTGGACCATCTCCGTGCTCCGCGAGTTGCGCTGCGCGGCGGGCACGGCGCCGCGCTGCGCGTGGCGCCGCACCGTCGCCTGGCCCCGGCTCGTCGTCGGCGCGCGGAAGCGGTCGAGCTCGCTCCAGATCTGCACCTCCTGCGCGAGGCCGTTCGGCGACAGCACCGAGACCCACTCCTCGCGCATGCGCTCGCGCACTTCCCGCGCGTCGGGCTTGTGGCTCTGGGAGAACATGAAGCTCCGCTGCTTCAGGTCCTCCAAAAGCTTGCCGCGCCGCGGGTTGAGCACGTTCGCGCCGCCCCGCAAGTTCCGCATCGACCGCGCGCCGTGGAGCCCCCCTTTAGCGCCGCCGTCGCCCTCGCCGCGCCCCACGAGCAGGCCCCGGGGCTTCGTGAGGAACGACGTCAACGACCCCGTCTCCGTGCCGTCGAGGTCCAGCGACGCCGTGAGCGGCCGCGACTGCAGGCCGTCCTCCGAGGGGTAGCCCGACGCCTCGCGGCTCACGTGGCCCGCGACGAAGCGCGTCGAGCCGGAGATGACCGTCGAGCCCGTCGTCATGAGGCTGTCGCCGTGGAGGTTCGGCGTGTGCTGGCGCGACCGCGCCGGCGACCACGGCGCGGCGTGCATGGTGTGGCTGTGGGAGCTGCCCCAGGCTCACACAACAGCGCTGCCGAGAGCGGGATGGCAATACGGCTGCTCTTTGGTGGCACTTGCCAGCAAGGTGACTCACTTCGATCTGCTGCGGCTTGACCGCTGCGATGGCCGTCGCGACGCCGCTGGCGCTCGCGGAGCGGCTCGAACCCCTCTGGACTGATCTGTTCACCGTCTTTCCCGTGAGCGACCTCGCGATTTTGCAGCGCTGCGCGCCGGCGCTGGGCGCCGCCCACGGCCTCAGCGACGCGCAGCTCCTCGGGGGCATCTGCGGTTTGGGTCCGGCGGCCCTCGGCGACGACCTCGCCGCGGCGCTCGAGCCCGTGAAGCGGCGCCTCGACGACGTCGACGCGCGGAAGCGCGCGCACGCGGAAGCGCTGGCGCGCCGCGCGCGCGAATCCGTCGAGACCACGGAACCGCCGGAACGGCCGGAGCCGGACGCGGCGCGGGCCTTCACGTCGTCGCTGCACCAGAAGAAGAAGAAGCGGAAGAAGCGCGGCGGCGGCGGCGGCGCGCCGCAGCCCGCGGAACCCGCCTGGCGGCCGCGGTCGCCGCCGCGCGACGGCGACCGCCTGCGCCGATCCCCCTCCTACGGCGAGCCCCGCGACCGCCGGAGCCCCTCCTACGGCGAGCCCCGCGACGGCGACCGCCTGCGCCGGAGCCCGTCCTACGGCGAGTACCGCCGGAGCCCGTCGCCGTCCGCGCAGCGGCCGCGGCGCCGCGACGACCGCGACAAGGGCGGCGGCGGCCTCTTCGGCGCGGACCGCGGCGCCAAGTCGACGTCGGGCCTCCCGCCCATCGGCCGCGGCAAGCCCGACCCGCGGGACGTCTACGCGCGCTCGCGGCCCGGGCGGCGCTGAGGTTTAATTCTATCGGTCGTTACATTTCGATGTCCCAGGGGAGCTGCCAGAAGCACCTCGTCTCGCGCGGGCGCGCGAGGACGCAGTCCTTCGCGCGCATGACGCAGATGGAGAAGATCGTGCCGTTGTCGATCTCGCCGTCGTGGTCGTCGTCGCCGCCGGCCTTGAGGAGGTCGTTGAACATGCGCTCGCGCTTGTCCTTGGACACGGTGGCCCCCACGCACCAGCCCAGGAGCTCCTCGAACTCGTCGAAGCGGAGGCCCGCGTCCTCGTCGCGCGACACCGCAAAGCGCTCGAAGGCCCGCACGAGCATGCCCTCCTGCTTGCGCACGGCGTCGAGCATGCGGTCCACCAAGAGCTCGTAGAAGGCGTCGAGGTCCACGGGGTCCGACACGAAGCCGACGGGCTTGCCGATGTCGCGGCCCTCCTTGCCCGCCAACGCGTTCAGCTCCTTCACGAGCCCCCGGAGCTCCTTGCGCGTGAACCAGCCGCTCAACAGCGGGCAGTCGTAGGTCTCGGGCTTGCTCAGGTTCGTCTTCTTCTCCTTGCCCACCAAGCTGTAGATCGCGGCGCGGCAGCTCACGAGGAGCTGGCCGTCCTTGCGGTTCCGCAGCGCCTCGGAGATGCCCTTGGGGTCGCCCAGAATCGTCGTCAGCGACCCCAGCACGATGTCGCCGATGTCGCGCGCGTAGACGGCCGCGCAGCCCTCGAAGAGGCCCGCCATCTTCGCGAAGACGCGGACGCGGCGGCTGTCGGCCGCGAACTTCTCCGCGGCGCCGACGAACTCGCGCGTCTTCTTCACGGCGACCTTCTTCTCGCCGAAGCGCTCGCTGAGGTACTGGAACACGAAGTCCGGCAGCGGCTTCGTGACCTTGGCGGAATCCTTCCGGTCCGCGACGTCGCTCAGCACCTTCTTCTCGTACAAGTCCGACAGCAGCGTCAGCAGGCTGCCCGCGTCCATCATGGCCGCGACCGTCGACTTGCGCTTCGAGCCGTCCTTCTTGTCCTTGAGGTACTTGGCCAGGGGCCCGCCGAGGCGTGCCGCGTCCGACGGCGCGAGCGGCGCGGACTCCGGGTACGCGGCCTCGCCGTAGCGCGCCGCGAGGCGGTCGCCGTCGCTCGCGTCGGCGGCGCCGGCGGCCGTCCAGGTGCCCGGGTCCGTCTGCGTCGCGCCCTCGGCGAAGTCCAGATGGAACGCGTCCGCGCCGAACTCCTCCGTCAAGATCGCGCGCATCTCGTCCTCGGCCTCGTCCAGGATTTCGCTCACGGCGTCGTCGAAGTCCTCCTCGACGGACTTTTTATCGTCGTCGTCGTCGCCGCCGCCGGCGTCCTCGGGCTCGTCCGTCTCCTCCGGCGCGGGCTTGGGCGGCGACGCGGGCTTGGGCGGCGACGCGTCCGCGTCGCCGCGGCGGAGGCTGCTCCGGCGCTCGAGCGTGTTCCGCAGCGAATTCCGCTTCTGCTGGTGGCGCACGAGCTCCGTGCGGAGCTTTTCGTTCTCCCGCTGGACCTCGTTGAGCTTCGCGCGGAGGCGGCTCGCCTGCGACGCGGTCAATCGCCCGCCGGCGAGGCCGTCGTCCAAATCGTCGCTCGACACCGAGGCGTCGTCGCTCGCGTCGTCGTCGTCGCCGCCGCCGTCGCCGGTGGTCTTCTTCTTCTTCCCAACGTAGAAGGACGTGCGCAGCGAGTTCCACTCCTTGTCCTTGAAGACGACGCCGTTGCTCTCGTAGAGGTCCCGCAAATCGTCCTCGCCGAGCGGCTGGTCCCCGGCGTCGACGAGCTCTTCCAATGAACTCCCGCACTGGACGCCCGCGGCGACGGGCGCCTGCACGGTGTGGCCCGACTGGAGCTTGCGGTGGCCGCGGACCAGCGCCGCGTGGACGCGGTCGACCGTCGTTTCCCGGAGCGCGTCGTCGATGTGCTTCTCGAGGTGGTCGAGCTGGAGCACGACGTCGGCGTGGTCGTGCTCGAGGGTCGCGTGGGCTAATACTAAAGCCTTGTGCTGGACGTGGACGACCGTGTCGCTGAGCTTGTGCGTCTTCATGGCCTTGCGCGCGGCCTCCAATTGCTTCTCGACCTTGACCTTGGCGCGCTTCTCGACCGCGACGCCCTCCGCGGCCTTGTCGATGGCCTCCTGCATCTTCGCCAACGCCG